ATGTATATATTTGAAGTCCATTAATATACATTAATACTTGGTAATGTCTTTAATTATATCAATATGTGATTATTACAAAGTTTAATTACATATAAATATTGAAAAAAACACTATGTCAAATTAGTACAATTGATTAACTAAATTGTTAGTAATGGCTTTGGTAATAATAGTAAACTCATAATGTCATAATATACAATTATAAGGATATTATATATTTTACTCAAGTGAGAGATTGTCATATTTAATTTTAATATGGGCATTTATATATAAATTATGTATGTGATTATAATTAATTATTATTATCAAAATAATATGTTGCAAATTAAGTATTTAGAGTTTAAGTATTATCATCTAAGTTAAATGCAATTATATCATTATGTGATGAAAAACTAGAGTGGATAACTAACTCTTGGCTATTTAAGGAGTCGTTGTCTTTGGATCACACCAATCTAGAATCATTTTTGGAACATATTAACATTTCAAGAGAGGAATTCATAGTGTGGATGAGTCACTTGTGCTAATTCAAAGGGCCACACAAATATTTGAGTCAGAATATACCCAAGTATGTGATCACTATCTTACTTTTAATTATTCATGATTCAACAATTGATCTAAATTTCCATTAATACCTTACTAAAGGTTATTTCAGATTACCAGTAAAGTTAATTCTAATGCCTACTTTATAGGCTCCATTGGAGGTCATAATTCACTTACAGCCCTTCAGTTTATAGTCTGTCATCATCATACCCACAAAGTTGGCAAAACCCAGGGCAAGGAAAGGTATTCATTCCTCATCTAAGATTGAGGGCCGCCGGAACCGCGTTTTACTCTCCGACTCTCTGCCCTGTTCCGCGCGCCTATGTCGAACTATGATCCATCTATGGTTCACCATAGGAATCGGGGAAAGTCTACCGGTCTACGTCCCAACCTACTCGCTTATGTGGCATCATCAAATTCTCGTCAACGAAAGAGAAGAGAAGGAAACTTTAATAAGCCGTACGTCAGCAACGAAGTATACATCATTATAATCTCAGGTCAACTGTCTATGTCTAACCTCGGACGTCTTCATCAGAATGCCATAACGAATCCTTTAATGCTATTGTCACGCGAGACTGGCTGTGTTTCAGGTGAATATTTCGTTCTCTATATATAGCCAACATACGCATGCCAGAACGAACAAACAGCAAGAGATCCCCAGATCTGGAGGAGTTCCCGCGTGGAAACCCATTGCACCGGCTCCTCAGTACGGTGCTATCGAGGTTATCCCTACCCATCCTAAGACAAATTCACCTGCCAACGACGCCGTTGACCATCAACGCAATTTTCGGACAACCAAATTCTTCCTTTCCTCCGGGATCTTCTTCACTGCTGTACGACACCGTTGATGCGAGCGCTAACAAGCGCAGAAAGTTTCCAAATCCGTCGTAATGATCTTCCGGACTTCATGCAGATCGCCGATATCCTTCGGGATAGCGACCTCTGTACACTAAAAGTTGAAATTTCTTCGACCATGTGACTCCAGTTTAGGCAACTGCATACTGACTAGCATTCAGATTTATCACTTCCGTTTTGTGCACTGTGCGGCGGACTCGATTTGAATCCAAGCGTTGTTTCATGTTGTTTTCAACCAATAAGATCATGACCTGAATTACACGAAAAGGGTTCAAAGCGATCCCCTCCCGTTTCAGGTTGGGACGGCATCCAGTCAGTGGGGAATCCGTTGAGGCAAGAAATAGTGGGACACCGGAGAATCAGACCATGAATTCGCGAATAATGGGCCCCTCAAGTTCGCTTAATTAAGTCCACTAATAAGGTTAAGGCTTCTCAGCCATAAATAGCGGTTGCAAAAGGGAACCTATCACCATTACCATTGCCCATTCTTGGTTTCTTCCATCGAGAAGCTGCTGCTTTCGACAAAACCTGGAACGTTAACTAACTTATGGTAATATTAAGGCCTGTGAAATCATGGCTAATGTTTTCGACGAACCTGTGAATCATGGAGCATTCAATCTTGGGTAATATTTGTGATTTTTAGTTGAGATTACTGGATGTCGCTCATTTGTGAAGGGATCAGAAAGGGTACGACACCGCAGTTCTAAATAGGACATAACTGCGTGTCGAGTTTTAACATGAAAAATTGCGGGATTCAAACACTCTTCCCGGCTATTCTTTTAAGTACATGCCACAGAGGGAGAGTTTGACTATCATATCCATCACTCAATGCTTCATTCACATACTCTTTACTTCAGGAGAATCTGAAGTAGATTTCTATCCTCGTCTATGTCCCAAAAATCAATTATATTTCACCCCTTGTAGCATCTTAAATCGTTGGTTATCAAAATGTTACCCATAAGAAACGAGAGATCTCAAAAATGCAGTAACCTTCTTACGTTTACGTCATGAGATTAAGTTTTACTAAGTGAGCATAGTAGACACAATTTTGTATCCTCTAGGTAGTAGTTCGATAACTCATTAACATTAGAACATGTCAAAATTCCCAAGTTTATCCAAGGAAACCTAATTATCTGGATCAGATAATGTAATCTAGCCTACTTGACTTATCCTTGCAATGATCAACCTGAAATTAAATTAGTCCAAGTTAAACTAAGACAAAGAGTGTGTTATGAAACTAAAATTAGGATAAATCTTAACCCGATATCCAATCAGCTTCAGAGGTGTAGCGCAGGAAGGAATAGGGTTTCAATAAAAGTAAAACCAGTAGTGTCCCCTGGACGGCGCCCGTTTTCTCCTTTTCTGGCCGAATGTAATCACTTTCAAATTAAGAAAATATCAAGGATATGAAGTTCCTTAAGTTGAAAAAAAATCGTGTTATCATATAAATAGAAAGCTTATGTACTTACAGAGCTCCAAAGAGTAAGGAACACCTATTTGTTAAGGAAAACTATATAAGATGCCAGCCGAGCGAAATCCACGAGAAAAATGGGAGAAGCGGCTGGGGGACTCTGCCTATGACTCCTCGCCGCCATATCGGGGCAGAAGAGGAGAACGGACTGCCGCCGTCGTTCCCCAGGAGTTTGGGTAAACACCTAAGAATCGCTACGTACCTTCAAATCTGCGAGTCCCCAGAAGCTATCCCAGATGACGTAAATGCTCCTCTCACAGGCTTTGGGCAAGGGGAACCTCCCATGTCATGGGGATGCGCGACCCTACTCGAAGACGTCGCCACAGCAGGAAGAGCCCTTTGCTACGGTTCCGCTCCAACGTGAATAGTTGAGCTCCGCGAGGACCGCGTCACTTGATGGGATATCCTGTCGCCCCGCTTTCTCCGCAGCTCCAGATGAGCATCTCTGCAAGAAAGTGGAGTTCCTCGAGTCTTGCTTCCTGGCGAGGAAAAGGAGCTCTCTCTGCCGGGTTTCTGGTCACATCCCATAGATGGAGTCGACTTCAAGTGCCCTACATAATCCGGAAGAGGGAGACGGGTTCTCGGCGTCTTAAATAACCCTTGCACTCCTCTCGTCGCATCGCGTCCGTATCTGGCGTTGCGGCAGGCTTTAAGCCTTTCCCAGAATCCAAGACCTGGGGAAGCAGGGGAGCCGTCGAGAATAAAGAAAATATGAGAAGAGATGGAGACAGGGAGATGAATAGCTTGTAAGGGTGTTGGGAAGCTGAAACTCTGCTCTTCGTCTTCGAACGGTGGCAGAGCTCTATTGATGGTGAACTGATGCGGAGAGAGATTAGAGTGAGAGAGAGGCGGGGAAGGAGTACTGTGGCGAGTTAGTCCATTTAAAGAGAGCCAGTGGAAGGGGAGTCTGAGGTAAGGGAGAACAGTCGCGAGACGACAGGGAGAGACCTGGACCGGCATCAGCTTGTATATCGTCAGCAGCAGTACTGAAATCCTATCAGATGACCTCGACAAGATCATAGGGTTTTTCCTAGAGATGTGAGTAGATGAACAGCGAGGGGGAGAGAGGATTTAATGGGCAAATAGATAAATGGGCACCTAGAGGAACTCGAAGACGAGAGAGAGAGGAGACGCGATGGTGACAGGATCCGTTCCTCCACGCAACTCAGCATAGGTGGAGACGCGATGGCTTTCGTCGGCTCCACATTATTATAGAGATCCTGAAGATCGTCATCTTCCCTCGTCTCTTATAGTAATACTTGCTCCGTCTCTCTACCGATATGAAGTGATACGACGCTTCTGAGCGATGGACAGAAAGTTCGAGACCAGGAGAGAGAAGGAGCGCTTTAGAGAGAGAAGCTCAGAGAGGCTTTAAGGAAACAATGAAACCCGAAGTTGAACCTTCCCCCGTTACCCCATTTGCATGCCTACAACTTCGTTTAGACTTGTTTCCACCAAATTTTCCACTCCCAGCGACGACATCATGTACTCTCCATTCCTCGGGTACTCTTGCGCGCTCTCCAACTCTCTCCCTCCCTCCCTCTTCCCCATCTTTCTCTCTCTCACTTCTTGGTCTTGAATCTTGCCACATTGTTGATGTCTTGTGTACTTATTACCTCCTTATCTGTTCTGGCTTGTTCATGAACTAGAAGAGGGGACGACAACAGTAGCAACAATGCTCGAATTCACAGCATGGGCAGCCACCACCATCACCACGCTCAGCAGCAGCAGGCGGCGATGGTGGGTTACCATATCGTCGACGCAGTCCTCGATCTCACCCGGAGTAGTCCCCTCACCACATCCTCCCTCCGATAATACAAAACGAAATCTCAATGAGCCGTGTTCAACCTTCAAACTTCTCAGGTCCAATTTTAAGCCCAAAGTCATCCAGCAGCCTCACCGTCGTCACCTCCTCTGCCCTCCAGTTCGGTGGCTTAGCTCACCACGTACTCTCTCTTCTTCTCGTTTCCTTTTCTCTCGGCAATCCTGTGAGGTAGCATTGACTCAAACATCTTCATATGTTTGGCAGGGATTGGCGTCGGTTGACGTGACCACATCGACGACGGAGACCGCTGGGGGGGAGCCAGGCCGGTTCTGCGTGCAGAAGGGGCAGTTCGACAGCTGGGATGACTCCGGCATGGCAATGTCCAGTCCTACGGAGACCTCTGTGGAAGTGGACGCAGAAGATCGAAACAAGACGGTAAAATCTTCTACCCCTCACGTCGCCGCAAATCATCTGATCCGCTCGACATGGTTTTGGTTCTTGGAACTTCTATTAATGGTATCTTCTGCATGTGCCAGTCCGGTGGCGACCAAGATGGGGCGACCGTCTCTCTGGACTCCTCCGGAAGACCCTTGGGGAAATCTGAAGACCAGAAGGTTCTTCCGGCGGCTCTATCTCTGAAACATATCAAGCTCTTGTTGGTGTATGGCTGACCTGCTCTTTGATCTCATTCTGGCTCAGACAGTCCGTCGGCTTGCTCAGAATCGTGAGGCTGCAAGGAAGAGCCGTCTAAGGAAGAAAGTAAGTAACGCCGATAGATTTTCGCGCGGCCTTTTTGAGTTTGATTAGTGATGGAAAGTAAGCGAACTGTGTTTATCAGATTCTCATTATCAAACTAATTTTTCTTGGAAGTGAGCAAAATTTGGTGGGACACGAAGATGACGCTCTAACCCGATTTCACTCACTTGGACGTACGTTGAGATGGACTGATATAGACGGGGACAGATTTTTCTTGTCTTCTCTGATTTTGCCGCCCCCCCCCCCCCCCGAAAAAGGATCACATGATTTTGAATATACCCCTCGGTTTTGCGCTTCGCTCTATAGGTACCCACAGACTGTGCCTGTTGATGAACTTTTGCTTCGTAAGTCCTCTTCTGTACCTGTTGAGATTACTGGTTAACATTTGACTCAATTAGAGAGAACAATTAACTCTCAGACCGGTTCTCCCGATGGTCAGCGCCGTACTCTCTCTCTCTCTCTCTCTCTCTCTCTCTCTCTCTCTCTCTCTCTCTCTCTCTCTCTCTCTCTCTCTCTCTCTCTCTCTCTCCTGTCTCCTAAACTCTCAAATAGAGCTCGACTTCCGCATACCAAGAAGAGCCATTTCTTCTTTCAACAATGGAGTAATGGAATTATGCAAAATTAGTCTGTTATTTCGTGGGTATTCCTCCTAGTTGATGGGCAACTACAAAGGAAACTCAAGACCAGGAGTGATGCAGGACGAGAGGTGCTGCTAACACCCCATGAAGTTCTTCGAGCTGAAGTTTTCTTACGAACCATGTGGTCTATTTACCTATACCGATGAGAGTTATTACCATCTTTGATGAGATTTTGGAAAGGCTCTTCGTCTTTCAAGGGTGTGCACATCAAGAACCTTTGGTTGAATTCAAGGGTAACATGGAACTACGAAAGAGGAAATAGAGATTTTTTGTGATGCTTATATTTTGTTAGTGGCATTGAATTACCATGGAGCAATAGAAAGCGAAATCGCTTGTCATGGGTCTCCATCCTTTTCTGCCCTCTGTTATTAGCAATGAAGTGGTAGCAACTGAGCGGCAGCGATGAACTATGTTAGCAATTTATGGAAGGTTGAATTGAGTAAGGCGAGGGTTTGGAAAGCAGAAGGATCACTGTTTTAACTTCAATAATAGTCTGATTTATTACTTAGAATGAGAAGCAGTTATCTTCAAACGTCTGTGATAAGGAGCGGCTGTGTAGCATATGCAACCCGTTAACCGCTAACTTGTCATTTTCATGTTTTTACTGTTTGCTACGTTCTCCGTAATGTTTCCTTTGTCCATCCTCAGTAGCTGATGTGGAAGCTGTTCTCCGGTTATGTACGTTGCTCCATTTGACGAGTATATTCGTTATTTTGGGGTAGGCTTATGTTCAACAGCTGGAGAGTAGTCGTTTAAAGCTGCTGCAGCTTGAGCAGGAACTTCAACGAGCACGGCAGCAGGTGAGCCCGTTCTCTTTTGTGAACGTCTGACGAGAAAACTTTGAAGCGAAGAATTACTGGTTTTTTGTTTGTTGTATATGTCAAATGTTGGTAGGGCGTTTTTGTTGCAAACGGTTGCTTGGGAGAACAAGGTCATTCACTTGGTGGAAGTGGTATGTGATCGTGTTCATTGTTTTTTAAGTTGCTTTTTCTTCTCGTTCAAATTATGTTCGTTATGGTCTTGTTCCAACCCTTTCAGGCTCCTTAACGTTCGATATGGAATACTCGAGGTGGCTCTACGAGCACCAGCGGCAGATTGGTGACCTTCGGATCGCGGTGAATTCTCATGTGAGCGACAACGAGCTTAGCCTCCTAGTCGATGCAGTCATGGCGCACTATGACGAGGTCTTCAAGCTCAAGAGTATCGGAGCCAAATCCAATATATTCCACATGCTCTCAGGAATGTGGACGACTCCAGCCGAGAGGTGCTTCATGTGGCTGGGAGGCTTCCGGTCATCGGAACTCCTCAAGGTTCGACCAGATTCCCCGTACTATCTTCATTCTTCTTCACTTTCTTGGATTCATCTGGAGGACGATGGTCGTTCCAGATACTGGCGAGTCAGGTGGAGCCCTTGACGGATCAGCAGCTGATGGGGCTGTGTAGTCTCCAGCAGTCCTCCCAGCAGGCCGAGGATGCTCTCTCGCAGGGAATGGAGGCTCTTCAGCAGTCTCTTGCGGAGACGCTTGCTTCAGGATCGCTTTGCCCGGCTCCCGGATCTGATAACGTTGCCAGTTACATGGGTCAGATGGCGCTCGCCATGGGCAAGCTTGGAACCCTGGAGAACTTCCTCCGCCAGGTATACCGAGGAACCAAACTTTCCGGCCACGCTTCTAACCAAGGCGTAAACCCTAAAATCATCTTGTGTTTCCTGTTTTTTATGCTCTTGAAGGCTGATTTACTGCGGCAGCAGACCCTGCACCAGATGCAGAGGATACTGACGACGCGGCAGGCGGCCCGCGCTCTGCTGGCGATCAACGATTACTTCTCGCGCCTCCGCGCACTCAGCTCGCTGTGGCTGGCTCGCCCAAGGGAGTAACACAGGAGTTATATATACTGAAAACTCCACCATTGGAGGAATCTCTGTGAGAGCCGGAAAGACTGTACGACCGAGTTATGATCTTTACTAATGTTTTCTTGTCATCTATTATCTTTCCTTCTCCGCGGGCAGGATGGTATGCGATCGCGCTTTCTAGTGGTGGAACCCTGTCAACATCGGGTTCTTGTGTATGGGAGCAAAACGAGAGTTTCTTCTTGTCCTGGTAGTGGTGGGCAGGCAAAGATTCCTACCCCGAAAGCTGCGGCCAACTAGCAGTCGCCTTTGCGGCATCGTCTGGATTTGTCTCGCGCTGACAAGGGAGGTGGAAAGAGAAGGTAAGGCGGGTTTCTCTTGGCGGTCGTTGGGAATTGACGGGGATTTCTTAGCTTCGACGGAGGAGAGTATGTGGGCCGGGCCAACTATTTCCCGATGCCCGGCCCAGAGGCCCGAAACTGAGATCTATAATTTTGTTCCTATCTCCCCGCCCATCTGTACCTTGAAAGCTCAGTTCAGAAAAGGCCAGGAAAATAAATTTAAGGTGGGGTTTATGCGGGTTATAACTTGAACAAGCATTTGATATTTTATGTTTTCCTTCGATCCTCTGGGTTGAATTTTATCCGATTAAGGACATCTCTGGGCCCGCATAATCTAAAAACTTTGAATCAATAGTAATAAAATAATTAATTATACCTTTTATGGAAAATTCAATGATTTCGAATGCAAAAAGAGAGTCATAATTAATAATATGCCCCTTTAGGCTAGTACATATTGAGTGGAAATCATAAATTCAATAAAAAGCAAATGAGGGCCAAGGTTCATCATGTGGCCTCGACGTCCTGAACGAGGGTCGACAGTTCTTTGATTGTCGTCACCAGTTACCCATACGGCACAGGTGGTTTGTGGAGATTAGGCAAACCCATAGGCAGCTTCCACTAAACTGGCGTGCTCCATTTATAAATTATCCCTGATCTTTTTAAGCTCTCTCTCTCTCTCTCTCTCTCTCTCTCTCTCTCCCCTATCGGGGCAATCCTTTCCATTTCTCCGATCAACTTGTTTAATAGAATTGTCGTATTCCGTTGACGTTGATGATTGTGCCGGGATTGAACGGCTTCGCATGATGATATCTTATTCTGTTGAAAGTGAAGGACAAGCAATATCATTGAATTAATCCCTGGGGGGAAAATCATAAACTAATAAAGTTTTCAATATACTATCTGAAGGGCCACAGGTTAAATATTGGCCTTCTGCATATTGAACACCACAAATTATGAGTCATATGGTCGTGAAAATTAATATTTGCTTCAAAAAATAGAGTGATTTTCTCTAAAAAGTCGTAAGTTATTTCGGAACTATGGGTATAGCCTTCTATGCTCATACATGTCACGGCATTAAGTCGTAAGTTATTTCTGATTATGGTATGTGACTATTCTATGGCCACTTGTGTGGCAACATCTCTTTCGCTCCAATTATATATGATTGAGTGAGACCTATTAATGTGGACCCAAGACTTCATCGAGGTCATTATCCAATCTCATTTTAAAGCTTTAGGTCTTTAAAATACGTATAGATCTAAGCTAGGGTTAACACGGTCAGACTAATCATGTTGACCAATTCTCAACCTATGATTCAAAATTAGAACTTTCCTAATTTCAACTCATTGACTAAATATGAAATAATCTGAAAGTAAAGCACATTTATGACAAGAGAGCCTCTTCTTTGACCGATCAAAGTCCTCCATGTGAGATGTTGTGTTGCGTGAGTGTCCGCACGGTTCTCCTCCGTGATAAAATACTCCATAGGTAGGTATCTACCCATGGTTAGGGCAGCTCTGACACATCAACAAAATTTCGAAAGAAGCCCTAATGTCGACAATCCTCAATGAAACCACCTCCTCTTTTTATTATAAAGAGTTTTATATGGACAAGAAGAGCTTGTTAGGACAGCCAGAAGCTCAGGGAATATGCCACGGCTAGTGGACCAGCCGTGGAGGGATGTGCACGGCGGCTTCTGTAAAGAACTCTTCGCTCCGTCTTCCCACGCGACCTTCACAATCATTACCCCGATGGAAGAGAAGGAATGAGAGAGAGAGGGAGATGAGGGGGAGGGGGAATATTCAGAAGGCAAAACAACGTGCTTTCTATCTTCTGAGGAAGGATCTGAGCTGGGAGATCATCTCCTGCGCCCGCGACTGCGACACGCGGGAGGAGTTCAGCACCTGAAACGCGTGCCCGACGCCGGCGTGCATCACGGCCTCCACGGTATTCCCGGCCCTCTTCATCGCCCGACAGAAGTCCATGTCTCTGTCGCGGAGTATGTCCGTCTCCGCTATGCACACTAGGTAAGGGGGCAGCATCAGCCTTGCAAGCCTTGCGGCTGCCCCGCCGGCGAGCGGGTTGCACCAGGGATGCTCGCGGCTCTCTCCCGGTGGCAACGATAGGCGCCAGTAGGCGTCGGAGGCCGCCAGGTTGAGTGCGGACCCCGGCGGCACCGCCATGCTTTCCGACGAAGTCCTCGCCTCTCCCCCGAAGAAGGGTTGTATCAGGACGACTCCCCTTAGTCTCGATCCGATCTGCAAGGACACGTTGTGGGTGATGGTTGCCCCTGCGCTGTCCCCGCCGAGGAAGACCCTTGCGAAGTCGCAGCGGCTCCACCACCATCGAATCCGTTCCTGGCCGTGGATGGCCTGCTGCCGGATCCACTTCACGGCGGCGATGCCGTCGTCGAAGGCGGCCGGAAGGGGGTTCTCAGGGGAGAGCCGGTAGTTGACCGACATGATCAGGCAGCCCGCGCGGGAGGCGACCTTGGCTAGAAACTCGTGGTAGCATCTCCAAGCGGCGGAGCCGACACAGAATCCTCCACCGTGGAAGTACACCAGGGCGGGGAGCTTCCCACGAGGGGGGGCGATCGGCGCGTAGAGGCGCGCCCACACGCGCGTTGAAGGGTCGATGACGACGTCCCCGGAGATCACTTCCAGCTCCGGCAACCACGTGCATGGGACCTCGGGGACGACCGGGAACCTCTCGACGTGTCCATCCTTGTAAACACGGAGGAGCCCTTCGATCTCCTCGACGACGACGGAGCAGCGTTGGTGTTGGGGGGCTTCGGCGGCGCGGAGGCTCAGCCTCAGCTCACCTACAGGCACGGCCCCCGTCCTCCTCCTCATGCGGGAAATCTCTCTTCACCTCGAATTCTACTGCGTTTCCTTGGGAGACAGACAATCTCTTCAGAGTTCATATATATTGGTAGCGTCAGATGCGGATCTTTCCGTAGGCTCACCCATCCTGACGACAGAGGCGACGGGTCTGGTCTAATCTGTCCCCTTGCCTCTCATGCGAACAACTTCCGTTAACCGGACGCGTCAGACTTGCTAAACATCTCGATCAAGTTCAATAATTTGCCTAGAGGAAACATTGGAAGGGGGGAGCCGTGAAGGGGGGAGGTACTACTGGGGGATGGAGGGCCCCGCGGGAGCTGGGTAGTTTGTAGCGGGGAAAAGAATCAATTGAATTAGAGTAGGGTGGGGAGCCATAGTCATCGGAATAGGTCCCAAACCAGTGCGCCTTTTCGCTCGGCATTCGCCCGAGTCCAAGGGGGAGGCGGGAGAGTGGGGACGGTGGAGCGGGCCAAGAGGCGCGAGAGGAGATCGCGTCTGTTCCACCACGGTGAATGTTGTTTAACCCGAGTTGCAAATGAAGCATGACTGAGCAGGGATTCAAGCAAATTTAACTAATCTCCACTCGGATTTCACTCAACCCTGAGGGGAAGTAGGGCATCCTGGTCCAACTCGGAAAGATGGAAGAATCTGTGGCGATCTCGTGCACTGCACGAGGGTGAAAACGAAAGGAAGCTGTTTTGGAGTTTAAAGGAGACACCGCACGCAGAGAGAATAGAAAAGTGTACGAGAGACGAAGGATGCTCGTCATCTTGTCTTCTTCACCTTCGGCTATAGTCGGAGGACCGGCACCGTCGACCCGTTCTCTCGTAATACATGATGCCACAGGCATCCCCAACCAAGCCCTCGTCTTTGAAAAACGAGAGGAGGAAGGAGGAGCCGCCCTAGAGCGAGGACGCTATGCTGGATATTAGCTTCCGGATGGAGGTAGAGAGTGGAGAAGCCGCCGGAACGGGGCGGCCGGGGCAACTGGAGAGTTCTCCGAAAATATCTTGTAGGATAGAGCTGGCTCCTGGGCTTGGTGTATCATTGTCGGTCAATTTGAGCCCACGTGACGCTTCTTTTGCGAATGGACGTATTTATCTTCCTTTTTGACGTTTTTGTTCTTATCTTTGGTGGTGGGTCAGATCCAGCCATCATTCATTCCCCACATTATATATTTATAAAATTGGACGTTTCCCTTTTTGTCAGAAAACATTATAATTTGAAAGAGACAACTAAAAAAGGCCTAGCCCAATTTTTACTTGGGATTGAAATCCGGCCACAATTGTGGGAGGCCCAAGCCTTGTCCAAATGATGTTCAGAGGTCGGGACTTGGTACGGTTCGAAATGTTCTACTCATCTCCTCTCTCTCTCTCTCTCTCTCTCTCTCTCTCTCTCTCTCTCTTATGATAGGTGTAGCAACGGTTGCTGTGTTCAGACAGCCTCTTGTTTAATTCACTTCAATAACAATTTGATGGCAATATTATCTAAAATTCCGAAATATAACAAAGAATTCTCAAGTGTGGATCAAGTTAAGATTTATAAGAAGCCAAGAAAATTCTTAACATCCATTAAATTACGGATTTGCATTGAACCTCAACGACAAAATAAAATCATCTTCAATAAGTTTGCATTGCATTCAAGTCAAGCCTCAATATTGTATTGGCCCTTGTCATCTAGAATCATGAGGTATGACCTTCATTGTGAGATCAATTTATTTTCTAAGGTTTCTGAAGCCAATTACATGTAGTTGGTGAAAATTGGCTTAAATTTGATAGAAATTCTAACATATGGAGTTCTCTGTTCAATATCTTAATTTTCTTCATGTGCCATGAAAGGAGGTTAAAAGTTGTCAATTGATGGTTGTAAATAAGAAGGGGCTTCCAAGTGCCTAAAATTTTGTGCTCACCTCTTGGCGCTAAAGAAACAAAATGACATGATATAAAGCCCTTAATCCAAATAGATTAAATTTTCAAGTTAAGATTGATGGTACCAAGTCACTCATCACTAGATAAAGAGCTAAAACATCATATAAAAAAAAAGGTATCCCCTTGTTTTTGTAATCACCACATCCCTTTCTTCCTTCCATCATCCCTCTCTATTTAAGCATATGCCATGGGGTATAAATGCAACAATTATAAAGGTTGCAACATGATCAAGGTGGTGATATTAAGTGAAAGAGCATGACAGAGCACAATGGCATGCATGGCTAGTATACATCTCAATTGACCACATTAATTAGTTAAGAGGGTGAGCTGAGTTGGACTAGATGCAGAATGGGTTGATTGAGGAGAGATGTATGATGAGCCAAGAAAATCACACACAAATTAAGCAACATTTTACAAAAGTATGAGGCATGTAGACATCTACTTTCCTTACGGCCCTTTCTTTAATTTGTATTGTTCTTATCTTATCCCAAGTATTCAACATTAGTTATTTTTTAGGGTTTATGACATCTAATTTCAAGGTACTTAGAGGTTGGAACAATAGTTCATAGTAGCTGAAAACCTTTTTTCTCTTATTTCAAGTTTTTACAAAAAGCCTAACTCTAGTTTCATAATGATAAGAAGAAAACTAAGATTTTGAAACTAATAGACTTTAAATTAAAGCAGCAATCAACCTCTTAGTATTTTCTCAATGAATCTTGAAACAATACAAAACAAACGATTAGAGGATTGGCTCCCTTATCAAAGGTTTGACTCAGTTGACAAATATCTTATCATGTGTAGATTTTTTATTCCAAAATCAATACATATTATCTTGGGATACTGTTCAATAGTATTAAACAATACAAAAAGGGATATATGTCCAACATAATATAAAAATACTAAGCTAATTAGGTATTGGCCCTTTTAAAGTCTTTGAGTTACAAATGAGTTCTTTGTCTTTTCAATTGTCATTATTGGTTCTTGTAAAATACTTCAAAGTTTGAAATTTGTCTACAAAATATTACTTAAAACATGTATATTTTATTTTTACACATATAATTAAAATTTATTTATGGATTATTATTGAGTGACTTATTGAATAATTTATTGAACCATCTATATACATCATGACTGATCACAAGTTAAATATGATTGATAAATATTCAAATTAGATATTGATGATACTTTGTAGAATCATATGACTATTGGATTCATACTCAAAAGAAATAATTTGACTTGGCTTTAGTCCATTTTTTATGCTAACGACCTATTACATTTAAAATACGTGCTTTTATCATTCAATCATACTTTAGCTTGGGTCTTACAAATCATGTGTGTCATCCTTGACATTTGTGTATGGAGATCTGTGACGTGACTTAGTTGTTGTATAGTAAATCACGTAAATTTAAAATTTATAAAATTAGAAAATATTAATTTTCATATATTTAGTATTTCTGAACAAATATATCAATTATAATTTAATAAAACTTCTTAAAATAGTGATAATTTTCCAAGTCGATCACAAAGATGTAATATAATATTAAGTAATTTTCAGAATTTTTTCAAATAATACAATTTTTTTATAAATTTTATACTAAGAAATAAAGATGAAATATATTTAAAATTTACAAAAAAAGGAAAAAGGGTGCTCGGCGAATATCAACACTCAACAAACACAAATGGGGCGAAAATAAAATTCTGCTCAACGATTCTTACGTAAGCGATTACAGACGATTTAATTGATCAAATTAAGATTTGTAAAAGCCAGAATAATCGTAATTGAATGAAGTATAGTTTAATAAATTTAAATCACACTTATCACTAAATGAAGTAAAAATTAAGTTAAAAATAAAAAAATAGAATTCTGACGTCGTGACAGCGATGTGTCGATAATGCACTAGAATCTTGAGCATTCGGAAGGATCGTCGTGCAATGTCCATAGCCTCAAAGTCTCTTCTTGGACAAGGATAATGTGGGCAATCTCTAAATCTCCTTGCGAAGTCTAGATATCAATGAAATAGGTCGCCGAATCATCTCTGGCGGCTGTCACCCCGCGGAGCAGAAAAACAGTAACTTTGTGGCACTTTAGTGGCCGTCACCCAATAGAGAGGAGCTGGATGAAGGTGGGGCGCATGTTAAGAAGCTTCATCCTCATGTTTGTGTGGTAAGAGGAGGCTCTTCATCACATCTAGTAAGCTCTCAAGAGGTGGCGACTTGTCTTCCGGCATATCGTCCTCTTTTTTATAACGACTTATTCGTCGATCAATCGGAGATGATTTAATCAATAGATTCGTGATCTTTTTATCGCGAATCGTTCAACAATTTTAGTAATAATGCTCCGTGAATCACATTGACAAGATTTTTACCGATGATCAAATGATTTTGGTGACTTAATCATTCACTGTTAATCTGTAGGAAAGTCGCGATAATTAGATAAAAATACGAGTTTTGACTCTGAGAGGATTTCAACCCGTGCCGGTTGCCCGCCTGCATGAGAGAGATTGAAATAAGTACTCTAATACCCTTATCAAGTGACGTTATCATAGTATATCTCTATTATAACTAAGGGGTAATTTAGTTATTAAAATCTTCAAAGCCTTTCGGAGGAAAGTATGATACAAGTTTAGTTCCATATCACTTGTGCGTCGAAGTTTTGAACGAATATATAGTAATATCACATTTGCAAGTAATTAGTCTATTTCTCTCGTGTGTACGACTACTCTTTGTCCTACAACTAACTGGCCACCAGTGACGTGGAAGGAGAGTGGCATACATGTGCCTCTATTAGTCCTAGCCACTTGAGCCCTTGCTTGCAGCTCCCCTCGACTGCGCTTCCAACATGCTTACAAGCCCGGTTGGCCGACGGGTCCCCACTTTTTACTCTTTTTTTATTTTAATTTCTTTTTCTTTATTTATCTCAAAAATAGAATTATACAAATTATATAAATTCATAAAAAAAATCACATAATTAGCCAAAAATTCACGTTAATCAACTAAAAACTACTTTTCAGAATTTAACATAAATATAAATTTATTTATCATGAGTTAAGGCTAAAACTATATTATTTACTAATTATTAACTCATGATAATGAAGACTTATCAATCCCCAATTGATGAACATACGTCTTTATCTTCAAAGTCGAGCTAGGACAATATTATTGAACTTGTCATTTTGTCTATAAACTCTAATTACATATTACTATCCAAAATGTATGATACTTGCCTTTAATTTTTCTATGGTTCAAAATATGCAAATAATTTACAGAAAATCTATAAATATTTTTTTGGAGATAAATGACATTTCAATTGTCGCTTTTTCTTTTCCACTTAAGATTCTGATTTGTCATCATGTAGATTACATGGTGAACACTTTCTTCATTATTATTTTTACCCTATACAAGCAATCTAACTCAACTACTATGTAAGACTTAAGTTTGTCTTGTTTCAAGCACTAATCATGTATTTTCACTCTTATTATCTAACCAACATTATTGCTACAATGTTCTTGATTTCAAATTTTGCCTATAATTTAATTTGAATAATTCCAGTCATCATGTTTTCACTTTCACATAGCTTGCTTCTTGAGTTTGAGTTATATTTATCTTTATGCATCTTTATTTTTTTATATATTTTCTATACTAATATTTATGTATTCATAGTGCTCATGCATCACATTTGAATCTCATTTGAGACTTTGTTTTTTTTAGAATATATATGAGACATCATTATAGTGTTGACATAGTTAATTGTGTACTCAAAGTTCAAGACATCACTATATCTTAAGGCTATAATGTTTTGCATTCCAAAACTAAAAAGTAGTTGAAGGTCACTAGAGCACCATTAGAGTAATAAAAAGTTTTTTAAATTAATATAACTACTTTCATGTGCTGAAATGACAAAGATATAGTGAAATATAATAAGAAAGAGCTAAGAATAACCAAAACTCAATGTTCAAGAAAAAGTTATACTTGATTATTTACAGTAAAAGCTTCATCTTACTTAATCATCTAGAGTATTTGACAGATCAAACAAATTAATTGAATATTGTCTCTCTCTACTAAGCCCTAACATAACTTAAGTGGTGAGTGGAGAGAAGATAAGACTAAAGCATGAAGTGTTGAAAGTTATAATTTATATGTAAAAAGTGTTCTTTAAATAGAAGTATATATTAACTTAAGCATATGATGTTGTGAGTCAATACTAGTTTGTGAGAGGTAAGATTGTTGCAGAGATCAAATAATACTATTTAAAAGAGTTGAGCCTATAAGGTCAACTATAGTTCTAGAATTAAATAATAATAATTAGTTATAAAGATATATGTGTCCATCATTATTGCTAGTGAGAAAGAGAGATTAGAGTAACTATGTGACAAAGGGAAGAGCTTTAGGCCCATTTACATATAGATTGAATAGACACTATTAGAATATATGTCAACACATTTACGTAGCCATAAAATCAGAAGAAAATGTAGAAAACTAATTCACTCCCCCCCCCCCATTTTAGTACTTTACTTAGTCACTTCAACTCCAACAAAAAAAATTATTACTTTTTATATATTGTTATTTTTTATGAACAACTCACTTCATCATCTAGAATGTCTTATAAAGCTTAGATGAGAATGATTATTTATGTAAATAATTGCATATGTTTTCCCCATTTTCTCCAAAGTCTTTAATCAACGTTATGAACATGCACCACAACATGAAAAGAGCTAACATGAAGCTTTGACCACTTCATTTGCTTTGCTCTCCTTATGATCAAAATCTGTTAACATTTCTTCCATGATGGCTAATTCAAGTTTGTACAAAATGTTTGCCTATGTGATGGCATCTAAAAGCTATTGATAAGACTTATCCTCTAGCAAGGTTATTGAGATAAATAGTGCTGACTTATTTTTTAATGACATTAAATCTTCATCATGCACAATTAGTTTAGTTTTTTATGTATTGTTAACTCAACAACTTGTGTTTTTAGCATGATAAAAATAATCCATTTTTTTATTTTTCATCAAAGAATGACCCTTTTATTTTTATTGAACATTCTTCACATATAAGTTAAATTTTAATTTAGTAATTTATTTGACTCAAAACATTTACACTGAGTTGTCATGTAGCACAATTCAAGAAAACTTTGAACAATGATCCACTCTTCATTGTTCTTAGATTGGTAAAAGGCCAAACTATGATGAGCTATGGTAGCTTGCTTACATATACATGTTTTTGGTTTTCATGTGTTATGTTCAATTTGTAGAATTAACATCTAAAGCATCTATAACTCGTTGTCTAGTTCCCCAAGTTTGGGCACATTGAATTTGGCTGAGATTGAGCTCATGATAGTTGATATTAACCTTGAATCCATGTTTCATTCCCCTTTATGAAGATAATGTGCATTAAGACTATCAACATGCCCAATTGGTCACATCTTAAAGGGTCAGCAAACTTCAGCTTCTTGAGGGATTGGAGAAGTAGGGTATTGTTTTAGTTTCTTTAAGGTGGTTTATCAATGAGGAAGTTTTAACCTAGATTTGACCATTGTCACAAGTTGGCCTTCATATCAAGCTTATGATCAATATGCTTCAATCATATTTGTTTTGCTTAAAATTGGCTAAGGCCTTTCTGGGCTGGCCCAAGCTCGGTTCCCCGGGTTTCATGGGGTTCCCGGCCCAGAGCCCATTGTACGATGATGCCCATTTAAAAGCTTTATCCGGGCCGGGCCTCCCCATTTTGCCTCCACGCTCAAGAGTTGGACTCCTCGAAGGTGGTTGACGACTTAACTTCACCGTAGAGGATGAGATCACTGATGATGGATGCATGAGCCCCACCCCGTCTCCTCTCCACAACGGCATCTTCTCCCTCGGGTCCTCCGCCTTCCCACCCCGAGCTCGTCGTATGGCGTCTTCCCTCGTCCCCTCCACCGCCGCCGCCGCCTCCGGCAATGGCCGCCGCCCCCTCGTCTCCTTCTCGTCGTCCCTCTCTTCCTCCGCTGCTCCGCTCCTCCGCCGCCGCGCAGCCGCCGCCGTCCCCCTCCTCCGCCCTCGCTCCCGAAGGTCCCCTTCCAAAATCTGCGCCAAGATCCGGGAGATCTTCATGCCGGCGCTGAGCTCCACCATGACGGAGGGAAAGATTGTGTCTTGGGTGAAGTCTGAGGGCGACCGCCTCTCCAAGGGGGAGAGCGTCGTCGTCGTGGAGTCCGACAAGGCCGACATGGACGTGGAGACCTTCTACGACGGCATCCTCGCGGCCATCGTCGTCTCGGAAGGGCAGAGCGCCCCCGTCGGCGCCCCTATCGGCCTCCTCGCCGAGACCGAGGAAGAGATCGCAGAGGCTCGTGCGCGCGCCCAGTCGCAGGGGCAGGCTCCTCCACCTTCCCCTCCCTCTCCTCCTCCTCCTCCTCCACCTCCTGCGGCAGCGGTGGCGGCGCCGCCGGTGCAGGCGATTGAGAAGCCTGCCGTCGCAGCTGGACCCAAGAGCACTGTGCTGACGCCCTACGCAAAGAAGCTGGCGAAGCAGTACAAGGTTGATGTTGCATCTATTGTGGGCACTGGGCCGTATGGGAGAGTAACTCCTTCAGATGTGGAGGCGGCTGCTGGAATTGTACCCAAGGTGGCAGCTTCTTCACCTCCTCCATCTTCTCCGGCAGTGGTTGCCACCGCTGCGGCAGTGGCGCCTGCGCCTAAAGCTGCTCCTCCTGCTGCTCCAGCGCCACCAATTCCTGGTGCCACCGTGGTTCCCTTCACGACCATGCAGGCGGCTGTGTCGAAGAACATGGTGGAGAGCCTATCTGTGCCAACGTTCCGCGTGGGTTATCCTGTGAAGACAGACGCCCTGGACGCCCTCTATGAGAAGGTTTTTCTCTTCTCTCTCCATCTTGCTTACATTCGTGCCCACATGATATCTAACTACTGAGTAATTCTACCTTGAAATCGGTAAAAAAAACGTGAAAATACACGACATTCTTGCTAAAGTTGTACAATTACGATCGTGATGTCATCAGAAATTGTCGATTTCTCTCGCAATTAATTTCCGGCAGCAAGTTCAGGCCTTCGCTTTATTTCCATCGGTTTGTCATCAAACTGTCCAGAACTGTCAAGAACTATGTTAGGAAATAAATTCAAAGGCAGTCCTGGTTTCTCTCCTTCCATAAATTCACGCTTTTTAAGTCAACAGAGATGTTCTAGACATATTTTTCCTTCCATGCTGGTCAACTATCCATTCTGGTCAACGATCCATTCTGGTTTTAAAGATGAACTCTTCTTGTGCCAATAAATTTCATAGGTTAAGCCCAAGGGTGTTACAATGACTGTGCTCCTCGCCAAGGCCGCAGCCATGGCTCTTGCTCAGCATCCCGTGGTCAACTCCACTTGCAAGGACGGGAAGAGCTTCACTTATAACAGCAGCATCAATATTGCAGTTGCTGTTGCAATCGATGGTGGGCTCATAACTCCTGTTCTTCAGGACGCAGATAAGGTCTGTATAAATTCATGACGGCTTCAAGGATCGTTACCCATCTCTGCATTTGAAACTAATGGGAACATTATGCAGTTTGATATTTATCTCCTATCCCAAAGATGGAAGGAGCTGGTGGGCAAGGCCCGTGCTAAACAGCTCCAACCTAGTGAATACAATTCAGGTCTCTCTCTCTCTCTCTCTCTCTCTCTCTCTCTCTCTCTCTCTCTCACCTCATGTTTTAGATTCACAATCTTGCTGACGAATTCCTTTCTTTCCATGCTTTACTCTCTCTCTCTCTCTCTCTCTCTCTCTCTCTCTCTCTCTCTCTCTCTCTCTCTATCTCTCTTTTTTTTTTAAGCCCATGTTTTAGATTCACAATTTTGCTGACGGATCACTGCGGTGTTCTACAGGAACATTTACCTTGTCCAATTTGGGCATGTTCGGTGTGGACAGATTTGATGCAATTCTCCCCCCCGGACAGGTGCAATTCTTGCCCAATATCATGTGCAATTTTTTTTCCTGGAATGCGTCAATAAGTTGGAGATCTGATCTTCTGGATTCAGGGTGCGATTATGGCTGTTGGAGCATCAAAGCCCACCGTCGTCGCCGATGCAGATGGTTTCTTCAGTGTGAAGAACAAAATGCTGGTAAATTCCATGCCCTACTCGAGAACCCAAAGAGCTATGTATCAGTTCATTGCATCTTTTAGTATTAGTGAGAGATCTGACGGCAATGATCATGCATATATTATAGACTAAGATGGATGCCGGGCCAAGAAATCTGGGCCAGATGGGGGGGTTTTTTAGTATGAAATCTAGGGTTCGTCATGGGATTTATTCCATCTGGATGTAGTTGGTGGCATCCTCTCTAGGGTTTCTCCTTGGAGCTCATGGGCTTGATTGATGACTGAGGTGCTGATTGATGATGGCCTCGCCTCCATCTTTGATCATATGGGTTGCCCGGAATATAGCAATATTGATAACATCATATGGTAGGGATGTTGCTATTCCAAGATGAAAATCATTTCATTTATGCGGCCCCCTTCTGTTTCTTCAGGTGAATGTGACGGCTGACCACCGGATCATCTATGGCGCTGACTTGGCGGCGTTCCTCCAGGCATTTGCAAAGATAGTTGAGAACCCCGACAGCCTCACCTTGTAGGAAGTCGGGTCAACTCCACCATCATCATAATCATCATCATCATCATCATCATCATCATCATCATCTGAGAGAACTTTGGCAGTGCGGCTTCTTACTAGCTGAGGGGACTAGAAACCAGGGCGTAATCACATAATTTGACTAGATTTTTCATTTCTCCCATGCTTTCTAGTGGTAGAGTTGCCCCGGGGAAACTTTCCATGGAAAACCCACCACCATCTTGACGATTTTGTGGACGACCAGGGACTTCATGTCACTCTGTATGAGGTTGACTATTGAATAAATTGCCTACCTCCAATGTCAGCGCACAGCTATCATAAACATGAAATTCCATGCAATTAGTACCCCACTATAGTGGTTGCTGTCAGATTTCATCAAGAAATACTTCTGGCGACGAATTCGTTTCTGCAAGAAAAAAAAAAAAATCAAGTAAATTATTAGGCTTCTGTTGTCATGAAAGAGACGCGGTTTCCATGGAATTGTAGTAGCGTTTCTGGTCATTGAAAGGGGAAGGGGGAGATCTTGGTCTGGCGCCTTCGGAAGAACCCTAACCAAAACGAGCTGCTTTATGAACCATTTACAGTGTTCTTGTGAAAACTGTCTGGTGCTATTTTTTGGAGCAACCACATCTAGAAATTTTAAACATATGGGGCTCCTTAAAAAGGGCGCCCTTTCTACTAACTGATGCATACTGAGGAGACAAGGAGGTCAGTGAGGCTCCAGATCCCTCGAGGAATTTTCCATCAGCCCGCATATTTTTAATTCCTGAAAAAAAAAAAAATTAGTTCACAAGTTAATATGCAAAGATTTCAACTTTTCAACCCACATAATTTCGTCAGCGGCGCAGAAATTTTCAAACTAAATCAGGCTGAGTTTAGGCTAAAAAAGGTCAAGACCCAAGTAGTTTGGTCATCAACAAGCATGAAAAATAATACATCCATCATTCCTATGTGCATATATAAGTGTGTGTGTGTGTGTGTGTATATATATATATTTATATATCCATTGGATTTTTACAAATGATAATCCTTAGAATAGGAGAGACGGAAAGGCGATAAAATTCACAGGGAACCAGAAACTTTGTTCGGTTTCGTGGCTTTCGATTCTTGAGAAGGGAAGAGTGGTCTACCTGGAAACGGTAAACCTAAGGCGCTGAGTAGAGCCACCTTTTAATTTGATCTGCACTGTACATCGGGAGAAATCATCGTATCTTCCTCTTTTTGCCGTTTGCCAGCAATTCGCTGAAGGACTGGAAACTTGTCCCAACATCTTCATCATACTCAATTCCCAGCTCCTCCTGCGAATAAAATATAACCAGGCTTAGGAGATTGCTAAGCCGTCTGGATAGAACTGTGCAGAAGGAGAACCTTCAATTCTTTCAAGTCCTTGGGCGAGTTCTCCGTTATGGCATCCCATAGCTCCTTGAACATCCTTTTACGCTTCCTCCACTGATTAATTTTCGCCAAATATGTCTCCTCCACAGAATTCCTTTCCTCTGGATTAACCAGCTGGGTGCCCTCACCTAAGATCTTCAATTTTTCCTCCATTTCTTTCACCTGGACATGGGTAAAAGAGACTGAATATAATCTTTTGCATCGTTCAGAGTATTAATTTTTCGGTGCGTTACAGTCTGTAGTTAGGGTTATCTTGGCTTTAGGAAAAAATCCATGACTTCCAAAAAAAAAAAAAAAACAAGAACTTTTGCTGGATTGAGAAAGAAGATGCAGGAAATCTAATGTTAGAAATAAATCCGAGTTGAATGAGGATTGTAAACAATGAATACCCTTAGAATATGCTTCTAAGCGTCGTTCTATCATTTAAATGACTAAAATACACTTTCCTTATTTGGCAATCAGTTCTAAGCAAGGGCCTGGCCTGATCCGATGTCCCTCAAAGCTGGGGCCATGGACCAAGTCTGACCAGCCCTCCCAGGGTGGTCAAAGAAGACCCGACTTCCTCCATATCTGGGAGGGAAGACTGCATTCTACTGGGCCCATTCCGACACCAGCTCTCCTTCCACCCAACATCACATGAGGAGAGAAATCCAACCGGCTAGGCCCAAACACGCAACACCCAACCCCTCCCCCATAAAGCGTACAGAGAGCCAAAGGAGAGAGAAATTTAAAAAGCAGGAGAGAGGAGAAGACATTTTGATTTTACTTGAAATTATCCCCTCATCTGAGCAACTAATACAGGCTGAGCTAGATCTAGAGTGATGCTGTTTGCTCATTGGAAGCTAGAAAATCATTTCTTATGTCTAGTAAGTTCTAGCTAACTTTAAACAATGTTTGTCGCGATAGGGATAACAGCAGGCAACAGAAAACTGGTTGTAAAAACATCAGATTTCGGCAACCTATTTCTGATTGAACGAGAATCAGAAAAGGAAGGTTTTTTATAATTTAACAAGAATTAGGGGTTTTAAAACTGAAAAACACTAAAATATATGCGACTATTATGTTACCTCTGTTCTCAGCTTGGATTCTTTTGTTCGTATCTCAGCCAGAGTTAAATTTGACTGGAGAACTCGAATTTCTGCCATTATAACGTCCATAGATATATTAGCTCGAGTGGAGTTAAAATTTTCACTAAGAAGAATGGAAGTACTGCCACCTGCATCAACTTCCGCAATAGTTTTATTCTTAATTTGGAGCTCTTCTTGAAGTTCGCTGTTTGCTTTCTTCATCTGGTCGAGCTCTTCAGCATTGGGAATGTCAAACTGGTCTTGCCGGGCAATGTATATCTTCTGTTTACCATATTCCTTGAATGATATCTGTCCGCTATCCGACAGACTATCTAACGCTTTCTGGATACCAGCCTTCTTGAGATTGTACTTTTGCAGTGCATCGGCAACATTTTGAGTATTCAGTGGCCTATTTTGCTGAGAACAAAATGAAAATTTGTTACAAGAACAATTATGTATATGGAAGCTAAACAGAACCAACCACTTTGAATCAAGATGCCTTCGAGAGAAGTTGTGATGACATTAGAGAACCTAGGTTACTCGGCAACATAGAAAAAGTCAGTTGAGATAGAGCAGGTATTCAGCTTGATTATCAACTAAAAACTTTACTAAATAGAAAAAAAAATACAGCATAGCTTAGAAAGTTTATAAATGCTCATCACGTTTGCGACTTGATACAACAGAATTGTGATGTACGTCAGCCAGTTTTTCCCCATCGATAATGGTGGCAACTATACAATTAAATCCAGCTATTTTGACAGTCAACTCTTACCATATCCAACCATTGAAAAAAGTTGGGTTGTTGAAGCTAGTTAGAACCATTGAATTGAAAATTTTATATTTTAATATCCTTCACTTTATGGAGCCTTAATTTCATCGAAATAACGCTAATAATTCACAATCTTAGCTAATGGAAACAGTTTGAGACAGACGATCGAGCGTTCTAATCATAAACATTTATGCTGACTTGAAAATTGTGAGTGATCTTCCACTATTATCCAATAATACTCATCACGTGTCCTGACACGACCTGAATCTTCTTTTTTCTTTCGTCCTCACTGCTCCAAGGAACATGAAAGACGTCTCATAAACGCCATCATGTTTCGTATAGTCCCATCAATCAATACCTGGCTATATATCTGGTCCACCTACTTTTGTGAGCACAACTAACACAATATTTACCATTTCCATCAGAAAACGAAATTTTTGGCCATAGAATTCATGGAGATGGCAGGGACCAATTATGGATTTTTATGATAACAATAAACTTGGTTGGCTTAAAACAGTGGAATGATTTTCCAGTGTTCATCCAACAATTGCCAACTGAAGTGGGATCAATATTACTGGAGCATAGTCGTGTTATTTCTTTTTTACTTACAAAAAAAGAGGTCATACAATACTGAAAGAAAAAGCAGCCAGGCAAATTTCTTGGTCACGCTGGATTTGAATCAGCACAGACACATTGCCAACCAATTTACATTCCGTCTCCAACAAGACAGTGCCTTGTAAAAACCATTACCATCGTCTTAATCCTATCCCATCAATAAACGACTGGCAATATGCTGCAAAGGATTCACTGTTGTGGTTAGTTTTACAAAAACTTAGTTGAGCTCATTCTTCAACATGGTAGCACAGCATGCTTAGAAGAAAAATGAGCTGTAAGAAGTTCAAGAGAGTAGGCAGGTAAAATGAACTACCAGGAGCATTGTCTGCTTTCTAGTATAATTTAAGTTCAAACATAATGTTCATCCTTATCTTTCGGATTTTGACGATCATGATCAGTGTGATACAGCTCACAACATGAAAAGGGAAGCATAAAAAAATGATAAATATTTAATAATATCATTTTGAATTCTCCGATCATTGAGAAAATTTAACAGTAAAAATGATTTATGATATAGAAAAAAATTATCTAATTTCCATTTTATTTCAGGTCCTATTTACGGTGATGTCCATCTCAAGCTTGCAGGCAATAACCCACTTTGACCAACTAGATCGTTCTCAGTTTTGCAATTTAATTACATAGTAATATATTTCGTAAGCTAATTCTCTATGACAAAAATAGACTCCACATCAAACATCACATTCAACGAGGAGAAAGTTTTGGTTACTTTAACTGGGGTTAAATTAGAGGCAAATCCTTGTGAAAATTAACGGTCCACAGTTTGCAGAGATTTTATAATTGTGTTCGGAAAGTCTCCCAATTCGCTAACAGAGACACTGGGGTACAAAAAAGGAACTATAAAGCGCTAGCGAAACATAGACAATAATTAGGGATCGACGGCGTTTAAGAGTTCAAATTAGTCATCAAAGAAAACTTGGCATCAATTGAGCCACAAAATAAGTCTTTTGAGAGACAAAAAAATTAGAACAAAAGGATATGTAGTAGGGATAAGAAGAGAAACTTAAGAAGGCTAAAGAATTTTGCAGTAGGATAGGAGGAAAACAAAACAGGAGCTGTAAAGTAATTTTACAGTAGAAAGTTGGTAATCTATTCAAACAGCATTTCCTTACGATCACCTTTACTGCTCAAACTAATGCGTACTGTCAACTCAAATCAATGATTTTTAACATCATCAATGAAAAAAATAATCAGCTAAGATCTTCCCAAAGTGTTACAAGCAACTCATTAGTCATGATGAACTCTAGTAGGATATACTGCTATCAGCATCAGATAACGTAATGAGAGATATACTAGCAGGGATTTACGTCAAGCACTGCCTCAGAGCTGCCAAGGAGCCGAGGGAAAAGATGGTCAATAGCTTCTGCCGTCCTCAAACAACAACTATGATATTATCTTATGATTAGATCCACATGGAATAAAACACGCTACCACCTAGCATGTTATCATCTTGGGCATGACCTTCAGCGTTTCATCACAATTTCACAATTCATTCGTCACTGGGCATGACCTTCAGTTAAACCCTTCCCATGTAAGAACAGATCAAAAACCCATCTTATAGGAAGCCTTTTCCGACATCCAACGAGGCAAAAATAAACTTTGAAAAATATAAAAGCAGTTAAAGGGAGCCTGCTCGGGGAAGGAACAACGTATACAGAGAGTTAGCCAGAAAACGAAGAAAATGACGGGAGAAAAACTTAGCACTATCACGAGGGCAGAAGCTCCAACTAGGTTCCGCACGCTCACCTCATTGACATAGTTCAGAACAATCCCTGCCACCCAATTCAAAGAAAGTGAGCCAAGTTTTAACGAGACAAAATAACCACCAAAAATTTTAAAAATAAAGCTTAATTTAACATCATTTCGCGACACAAAATATCGGAGCATTCAATGCGACCTAAACTGACAGGCAGCATTGATTTCTAGAGGGAGAAAAATACTCAGAAAAATAGTTATAGAAATGGAGTGTAAATCTTCTCCATATTTCTGCGGAAGTGGTCCCATCCAATACTACGTGGAATGAAACTCCGACGGCAGAACAATGAAACACGCGAAGAATAACACAAACGCGAGATAAGAAGGCGAAAGAACAAAACGCGATTAGAAGAAGAAGAAGAAGAGCTGAAAAAGAGTTCAATATACCTTCCACACTGTCGGATTTGGGGGGCATCTTCACGAAGAAATGGCTTCTACCCCGAGGAAAACCAGAGAACTGCTCTCTGAAACTTCACTAGCGCCCACCAAATGAGCTAAAACGCAGTATTACCCCCGATGAGAGGCCGGCGGTGGGAGTGGAGAGATTGACAGATCACATATCCCTCCCTTCATCGGAGGTCGAGTCAAGCAACTGAACTTTACAGCTATATCATCTCTCTCTCTCGCGCTCTCTCTCTCTCTCGCGCTCTCTCTCTCTCTCTCTGGGTTTTCCCTCCAAAACCAAACCAGGGCATTCTGCGCTGTACCTAGCCCCCCCCCCCTCCCGATTTCTTAAATTTACGTTAATACCACCGTTTCACGATGACTACTTCTGGCAAGTGCCTAAATGGGCCTCAATGAGCCGGGCTTATCATCTCTCTCTCTCTCTCTCTCTCTCTCTCTCTCTCTCTCTCTCTCTCTCTCTCTCTCCCTCTCTCTCTCTCTCTCTCTCTCTCTCTCAGAGGTAGGTAAGATTGTTAATTAATGGACACAATTTTCATTTGGGCCCCCATTTGTTGGCCCACAAAATAATTTTTTACGTATGGAAAGGCCCAATGGGTCAGAGAACAGTTTGATATCCTGCACTGGTTTAATCTACATTGATTCCACCGCGGCGACGATCTCGTCTTCAGTTCGCCGCCGCAGCCGTCGTCATCGTCGACATCCCCGCCGCCGGCACGGTGGTCGACCTACGGTCCACGGCGATCCCACCGCGACGGTCTCTTCATGTTCAGAGGGCGAACCGGACCTTCTTCTTCTTCTTCGATGATCTCCTCTTCAGTTCGCCGCCGCTGCCGCCGTTATCGCCGCCATCCCCGCCGCCGCCGGCGCGGTGGTCAACCTCCTTGACGTCGAGGATCTCCACGCGGCGGTTGACCGCCTTCCTCACCTTGATCGCCAGGTCCTGCGGGACGAACTCCCCGCAGACGCTCACCCGGCCCTCCTCCTTCTCGATCAGATGGCTGTCCAGCTCTTCTCCCCTCGCGTCTCCTCAGAGTTAGAATCAGATCCCAGGTTCTTGGAGAGAACCAGATCTTGGGGTCGAACTGCTCACCGTGGATCTTGAGGAGGATTCGCCTGATCTTCCTGTAGCAGCCGTTGCAGTCGATGCTCATCCTCATGACCATGCAGTAGAACTGCTAGGAGAAGGGCGTCACTGGTTTGCCATGAAACGTGAAACAGCGAGAAGGCGAAAGGGCACGCACCTTATCTGACATGACGGAGCACAGAGAGAGAGAGAGAGAAGGGTTCTTGGAGAAAGGAGAACGAGCTCTGAGCCTTGGGAGAGTCTTGAAAGAGAGAGATAGGGAGAGAGTTAACGAGGAAGGACTATTACCTGCTTATTCGGGGAGAGGGGGGTCTTTATCTCTCTAACGCTGATGGAGGCTTCCAGGAATCGTATTCTCTTGATGGGGGAAGGGGTGAAGAAACCATGCGTGCGGCCTTTCCATCCCCCGGGCGGGGGGGGATCTCTTCTTCCTGGTTTCCTTCGGGACTGCGCTTTCTGCAAGCTCTTCTTCTTCTTCTCCAACCCCCCGGCCGGCCTTCCTTTCTAAAATTCTTCGGATCCGAAAACCTTGAGACAAAGGTGAGGTCAAGAATCTAGTCGCCGCTCTCTCTCTCCCTCTCTCTCTCCCTCTCTCTCTCTCTCTATCTCCCTCTCCCCCCTTTTTATACTTTCTTAATGTATTTAAAATAATATAAAGGTATAATCTTTCTCAACTGTTTACAGTGCAACCTCTAAATACACCTTTCATCAACCAAAAGTGGGTTACGTTGATGGCTGTTCTTCATCTGTATTAACTGATCAAAAAATACCAATAATTTATTTTCCTTTACAAAAAAAAAGTAACCACACCCACCAACATAGTCTTCCTAGCTTAGCTTCGACGCCCACCTTAACCTAAGCCAAAACCCCTTCGATTCCTCCCCATTCCAGAAGCTCTGAACTGCGAGAGAGTTGTGTTTGTGTGTGTATGTGAGAGAGAGAGAGAGAGAGACTGTTGTGGAGGACTGAGTGAACCAGTGAGAGATCGCAGAGTCATGCGGAGTTGCTGCTGCACGGGGGAATCTCTCCGTCGCCTTCTATAAAACTGGACACCAACCTGCCCCGCTCCACCACCACCAATCACCATGGTCCCTCCGTCCTCCACCTCCGCCGCCACCGCAACCCTGGCCCTGCTCGCGCTCATCCTCCCCAGCGCCGCCCAGCCCACAGACGCCGGCTGCTCCGGCCGGCTCCTGCTCCTGCTGCCGTGCCTCCCCTATGTGCAGGGCGCCGCCCGCGCGCCGCCCAGCGCGTGCTGCGACGGCCTCGCCGCCGTCTTCGTGCGGCAGCCGGCGTGCGCGTGCGCGGCGCTCGACCATGCCGCCACCTTCCCCGTCAACCGCACGCTGGCGCGGCAGCTGCCGGCGGCCTGCAACCTCGCGGCGGGCCCTTCCGCCTGCTCGGCCCCGTCGCCGCCGGCGGTTCCTCCGTCTCCGGCAGCGGCGGCAGGTGAGTACTCCGCCACAGCCGCTCCGTGCCCATCCATCGAAAGCACCACCGACTGCTCGTCCCTCTCACTGTTTCTCTGTGCAGTCTGCCCGGCGGGCACGCTCACGCTGCCGCCGCTCGGCGACCGGAGCAGGCAGCCATCGGCCGGGTCCCGGCTCGCGCCATCGGCAGGCGCGGCGGCGCTCTCTCTCCTTGCGGGGGACCTCGTCTTCTTCGCTCTAAACCACTGCTGCTGATGAACATCTCATCTCATCCCCACCGGAGATGATGGTGTCTTCTTCAAGATCTGAAACCCACATGAATGGAGCATTGGCATCTGGTTAAACTCATCTTTCGCATTCACACCCAGAAAGAAGATCACAATGATTTAGAGCGACAGCTGAAGAACAACAACAGGGGGGGGGGATCAGATTAGAGTACAACTAAGATAACTTAACTGGGGCGAAAAGTAAACAAAATTACACGGCCTCTGGATCACAGAGGCCTCACTCACTGGTCACTCCCTATACCTCTAATGGGTGCAGACTAAATGAGGCACCCTGATATACCTAAACCCTGAACTGCAAGTATACAACTGGCCGGACTCATCCAGGCCGAGATACAAACCCTAACAACCATGGGGACGGATCAAAAACGCACATCGCACCATGAATACCTCAAGCATGTTAGCGTACCAGGGAGAGAACAGGAGAGACGCTGGATCAGATCCCGCTCCTCCTGAACTTGGACCGAGAGAAATGGGCGCCTTCTCCTCAGGACACGACCAGGTTTGAGATGGCCGTGGAGTCGTCGAACAAACGGCCCCCTCTGAACTTGCAGGCCTCGCTATCCGCCATCAATGGAGGCGGCGCCAAGAACTTCAAGCAACCCAAAGAGTCGCCGGCTGAGCCGCGGCCGCTACTGTCGCTGCTTCCATCGCTGTCTCCTGCCCAGTTCTGCCTGCGCCGGGCAAATCCCCGCCCGCATCGTTTCCTTGAGGATCTCCACTTCAGGCGACCGAACAAGTCGTCCAGTGCAAGGTCCTGGACATCTGCTTCCTTCTTCCCCATCCGGGGAGGATCCTCAACATCCCCAGGCGGAGAATCCACGTTCGATTCCCGATGCAGAGGGGCTGGGTTAGAACCCCCACTGTCTTCCCCATTGACCTCCGTGATGGAATCAGAAAGCAAGGAGCTGACAATATCTGGCCGCTCTCTCAATCTGTTCCACCTGTTGTGAAACCAATCCTGAGACGGTCTCAGGTCTTGTGGCTCAAATGCAGATGTCCTTTGCTCTCCTGAATAAGACAAAATAAATAATAAATAATAGATTTCTTGAGCCAGATTATATGGAGGATCGTTTTGGGATGAAAATTCACCTGGGAAATACACACGAATGGTGTAATCGTCCTCTCTGGACAAGACGACCCCTTCCCACCAGCCGTCATGCCACCATGCATCGACAATGGACCCGACATTGAAGACTGCTGAGGATATTTTGCTCTGAGGCAGCAGTTGGGGGCGGATCGTAGTCCTCCCCTGCAACCTGATACCCAGTTTGTCAGCTGCAACTTCTCCTGGTGCCAGAATCCATTCCTGTATATGAAGATCAAGTTTACCCTCGTAAGCACCTCAGATTGACCCGTCAGGATTACCCAGAATAATTTTTAAAACAAATTAAAAAAGACGAAAGCTGTTACCTCCAAAGGGCCAGTTCCATCAGCATCTTGAAGGTCGGTGTACCTGACCTTCACCTTGTCTTGACACCTCTTGAGGATAACACAACGGAACCAGCAGCCTCTCAACCCACTGTCCTGTGAGAGAACCTCAATGCATTGGCCAGGAGAGAGCAGCTGCTGCCTCTTCTGGCCAGGGTTTTTCTTTGGGGGCAAAGGAGCGGGTGGGTAGTGGTGGGTTTCATCCAAACGCCTAAATTTAAGCCGAAGGCTCCCCTTGGCACCTTCCCCACAGATCAAATCTCTCCTACGCGTGGGCTTGATGTCTGAAACTCTGCCAGTGTCAGCTTCATCTGATGTAAAGAGGTTGAGCGCCGTTGACTCGGTTGACTTTAAATGCAGTCTGGCATGTGAGAACATGAATCTGAGAACCGCCTGCTTCCAATAGCCCTGGACACTCGTGATGTCAAGAGGCTTGATGACGTCCCCATTCTCAACCTGCCTACGGCATAGAAAGGGCTTCCATGGGGTGTTTACTCCCACATCAAGATACTTGTTAAAATGCTGAGGACTGAGGACAGCTGCTAACCCATCTAGGCATTCAACACTGAGATCTTGGAGACAAAGAGAAAAGAAAATCTCTCTGTCATTAACATCGGGAGGCAAAATAACATTAACCTCATCAATTTGGTGAAACCATCGTACCACGACCTTCTTCCTTGCTTTAAGGTCCTCATACAAGTCCTCAACATATGCAACCCGCCTCTTATTCTCTTCGGCCATGACATACACAAAGTCCTGAACCTGATGCGAGGTATCAGAAAGAAAGTCCCACAAATGAGAAAATGGGTTGAAGCAGAGGATAATATGCAGGGGAACGGCAGCAATAAAAACCACTTACAGAGATTTTAATTCCATGCTGAAAGAAAGCACTGTAATGCTTTCTTTGTTTACTACATGTCCAGGTAGAGCCTAACCATGAAAATTTTCTCGATCTGTGGCTTGTCTTCTCAGAGGGCGTGAGCTGGAATGATAGAGAGAGGGAGAAAGAGAACGAGAGATAAGAATAAGAAGGAAAAATCATGTTACGTTGGATCGGAAAGAGCGGACAAAAATCGTAACATAAACAAACGTATAGATATGACTACCGCAGTATACATTAATCCATGATTTACCTTCCATACACTGTCATCTGCAATGACCCCATCTTCTTTGTTACACAGTTCATCTAGTGGGTTCGAAAGGAGTAAAGAACCTGAAGGTGCAAGTACATTGGAAAGCACAATGTGAGCACGTTTATCCCAAAAAAGTTGGAAGTCAATAAAAGAACCATGTCACAGATGAAATCCAGATGGGAGATAGACTAGCATAATCTAAAAGGAGCTCCACCACACAAGTTTTTGGACTATCAGTCAATATATAGCTGACAGCAATGGAAAACAATAAATAGAGACAGAAAAAGAGGATTTTTAGCGCATTTATTTAAAAATTGAAATTTTTCTTTTGTGCAATCTACAAGGGAATCGACCTATCATTGAAAAAAATCAATTAAATCAGGGGAAAATAAAAAAAATGGGGAAAAAGCCGAAAAAAACGATAAGATAAATTTCACAAGAAAAAGTCCCCATTCATCAGAATACCGAATCAAATTAAACATGTCTAAGACCAAAAAACTCTTGTGTAGCGCACAACATGTGAGATGGAAGTGATCTCCCACCGGAAGGGTAGGATTAGAGCCACAAGAAAAGCAGTTTCTGGTGAATAGCAGCCAATCTGTGGCATCACATCCTTTAAATCCCAATTCTCAACATCTTAATCCTCCTCCGAGCGGTACCCACGTCAATAATCGTCATCTAGGAGATTAAACTTCGCTTAGCCCAACTCTGCCTCTTTAGGTGCACCAGCCAGCTGATTTGCCAACCGACAAGTAGAGCACCTGTTCTCGTGAAGACATCGGGAGTGGTTCAGTATCTTTGTCTAGTCTATCCATTTAAATGGGTTGATACACTATTGTGTGCCCAACACTTGCTGTATTTCTTAAGGAAAAGAAACCAGTTGATCAACCGAAAACTTGAAGGCGAGCTCAAATCATTACAACCCACCCCATAGATGAGAAAGCCAAAGAAGTAGACTTCGGAACGGATAATCAAAGGGCACGGAGTGGAATACACCTCTGGACACCGAAACATTAAAAGTACAAGATCATTGGGATATAAGCACACGGGATATTCAAAGCAGAGGGCAGGAGATCGCAAATAAATTCGCCCGAAGAAACAAAGTCAACAAGTAATACGACATACGTTGAGGAAAAAGTTCAGGCCACTAAACATGAACGCCTAAAAGGGCCTAATCTTTCTGCAGGGCACATAAACACGAGGATCAATACAGGAAGAAGATATTTTGATTCCACCGATCAACTATTATTACATGAAAGGCGCCCTAGTGAGGCGTGGAAAAGTACACCAACAGCAAGGGATAGGACATTCAGAACTCTAGGGTAAAACAATCGACAAGGAAAACGAGGACCAAAAGGAGTAAAAGTCCCCGATTTAGAAGTTCTGAAACCCATATCCGTTATGCCAAGGAAACGTTATAGCCCCGACGGAAGCTGGGGAGGGTCGCGATTCTTCTTGGTGGCTACGCGTGACCCGAAGAGTTAACGCAAAGAATAACCCCAAAAAGGATCCCCAACAAACCCTAGAACCCCGAGGACAGATAGCAACCCGGACCGGTTATAGGATGAAAACTCACGGATCAATCAACACGCCAAAATCCTGACACGCAGATCACGAGGGTGCAAGAGGTTCGAATGGGCAAAAATAGGTTCGAAAATCCCAATTTCATCCACGCATGGCCACAAATCAGCTAATATGCAAATAGCTCTTCACCTCGTAACGAATACGATCTCTCCACAATCTAATGATCAGGCTACGAAATCGAAATCGGAAACCAAACGAAAAAAATAATCCAAGGCGAATCTGTCACGGGGTGGTCACGAAGGGGGGGAAAAAATCCCCCTGATAGGGAGAAAGATTGAACAACTTATTCATCTTTGCATCCCCCGCCCTATATTTCCAATCCAAAGAGAAGGATAACGGCACAGGAAGACGTGAGCGCGCAGGGGGTCACAGAGACAGAGAGAGAGAGAGAGAGAGAGAGAGAGGGAGAGGGGGAGGTGTTGTGGGGAAGAGAGAGATCCCACCTGAAACGGCTGAAGAGAGCCAATCAATCACCTCCCTTCTCGAACGCCACTTGAGAGACAAGGTGGCCGCGGGCGGCGAAGAGGATGATGGAGGTGAAGGGGACGACGAAGACACGGTGCTAGCGGCGGATCCTATAGTGCTACAGATCATAGAGGACGTCGGCGACTGCTGCACCGTCGGGAGCTTTACCAGGGCATCCGCACCCCAGGACCGGAGGAACAGAGCCGGCACGGCATAGGACATATGCCGGGCGCTCCTCTCCCTCCCCACCACCGCCAGAACCACCCCGCCGCTGGCGTCCTCCAGGTAATAGTGCACCTCTCGCCGCCCCTTGTCTTTGGAGACTACGACCTCCTCCCACCTCACATAGCCTCCCGCCCTGTTCACCATCGCCGACCGCCGCCCTTCTCCGATCCTTCCTTTTCCTCTCCCCGCAGATGGAGCTCGATCAACAAATCCCAAAACCTAACACATCAAAGATCCCTCGCGCAGGAATACAGATCGGTAGAGATGCCGGAGACACGTAAAAACCCGTCGAGGGGCGGCTATTAGATGGACAGAGAGAGAGATAGAGAGAGAGAGGAGGGGATTTTTGAACAGGACGGTTTCGGACCGTCTTCGATAGGTTTTCCTTGTCCCTCTGTCGATCCTCGAGATGCGTACATGTAATGATTGACCGAATCAACGGCCAGGATCGCACCACAATAAAATAGGTAATACAAAGTCAAATCCCATAAAGCCCCTCATCCTGCATTCAAAATTACGAATCAGGACTGCCGCGTTGTCTTAAATGTTATGTCAGAAAAGGACTCGTGAGAATCAGGACGTGGGCAATCGACCACGTCATACTGTGGTGGCCGACGCCCCGCTAAAGCCAGGCCCAACGGGTCTAGTAGACCCATTGAAGATCCGGAACAAGATAGCATCCCCCCGGATCACTCCATAAGCTCTCAATAGAAAAAGTATTAAGCATCGAGTCCCTCTATTGAATAATATGTAACTTTATTTTTTTATATCATTATTTAATGCATATCTCGACAATAAAATATTGAAAACAATATATAGTGTATTTCCTCTCCCCTCTATGACAAGAGGATTAAAACTATTATTTCTATAAAATAAAAATCGGAAAAAATATTTTATGAATAATTATAAATGGGTTCATTTTATGGTGTGCTAATTATTCAAATTAATCTATTTATTCAACTTTTTTGTGTCAACCACATCTTGACTAGACATTTTTAATTGACCACAAGAACCGAGTTACCTTAACCATTTTTATATTGATTTATTTATTAATGGCCGTCATTTATTTACAACTTTTACTTATTTTGGTCATAATTAGTCTTTTAATAAGAATAGTTGGAATTGATTCCCCAAAATAGATTCATATTGATATAAATAGCTTATTTTAAAGTATTGAGACCATTATAATAAGTTGACGATGATATGAAATGGGTAAAAAATAGTAGATTGAGAAAAAATAGCAAAAAATATGCTACTATTTTCAGAAAATTCTTCATTATTTTCTCAATGACCAGTAGATTGTGGATGACGGCATAAAACATTCACCTAGCAGACTAAGGAATTTTGGCAAGAGCTTGCTAATTTTGATTTTTTTCTTCATTATTTTTTATCGGTCAAAGTGAATGTCATTGACCAGGCATGCATGTACGCTTTACTATATATATATAAATGATATTTTTGGAATACAAAATCAACTATATAAAGAATTAAATATCATGGCTCATAAAAGGCGGCCAGAGAAGACAGAGACTGGTCCCCAGTCAACGTCACTAGATCTCCTGGTCAAGCAACATTGTGGGGCACGCAGTTGAGAGTAAAGGCCAACAGGAACCCATAAATTTATCTGCTTCGGTTCAAATTTCTTGTAAAAATTGTATTTTTGTGATATTTTAATAAAATGTAAACTTTCCAAAAGAAGTTATCCTACACCAAGTGGACGAAGAAATTCCGAAAATGGGGCACATTAGCCATATCTTAGCAGCTCATCAAGTCATTTTAGGAAGTCAAGAGGATGATAATTGACTAACAAAATAAATAAATCCAAGAAAGTCAAATCCCCTCGTGGGAGAGATCTCCCACAATCTGTACAGCAACCCAAGATATCGCCAAAACCCTCTGTATCTATCGATCAAGAATCACAGGGAAGAAGACGAGGAGAGCTTCAATGCTTCTTCCCTTTCTTCTTCCCCTTCTTATTCCCTTTACCTTTCCTTCTCCCGCCGCCAATGGCCTTGAGACTGCGGGTGCCCTCCCTGCTTGGCTGGCTAGGCTCCCCAAGGAGGTGCTTCACGTTCAGTATGCCCTTCTTGAAGACTCCATCACTGGCCATCAACACACCGCCCTCTGATCTCCGCTTGTCATGCTGCTCAGTAGCTCGCCTCTTCCTCTGAAACCGCCCAAGAAGGATATCCTGCAGACAGAGTGTAGGGTCTTCGTTGAGGAACTTGCAGAGATTTCTAAGGCAGATGAAGAGTGGGATCAGCGGCGCGGGGAATCACCTCCTGCAATTTCTTCTCTTCTCTCAACTTCTGCCTCTTCATGGGGACCTTGGCCACACTCAGCGGTAGCCTCTGTCTCTTCGGAGGCTGCAAAGAAGAAGGCGGGGTTTCAGGAGAGTGGGTTCAGGCCTTGAATTGAATGGTTGACCCAAATGCATCGAGTCGTCTGACCTTTCCACCTAAGAAGACAACTTTGCGGTTCTCCATTGCTTTCCTCTCCTTCCAGCTCATGGTTGATGAACCTGGGCGGCAGTTTGGCGGATCAATTCAGGAATAAAAGGAATTGCTGGAATGAGACGGAAATTAGACCTATTTTTAGTTTTTTAATCCTTGCAAGCTCATGGAATCATAACAAAGTCGCATAGTTATTGATCATGGGAATAACTCATTACAAACTCCCACTCATTAGATGAATATCAGAGCATGCGGCATTGGATGCATTAAAGTGAACAGTGGTTTATCTCAATGACAACCAGCTAAAAACCATCAAGTGAAGTCGGAATCTGCATTGTTGGTTAACATAATAAACAATGATTCAGACGTGCATGGATCAGCAAAGGATCAGATAGAGCACAGTCAAATTCTTGGGACTGAAGTGAGAAAAGTGAGCATAAAAGGACCTACCCAAGTACTCAATGTCCTTGAGAACCTTCATCATATCCACTTCCTCTTCCTCGGAGTCCGAATTGTCTGCGGGTTCACTGGTTGATGCCTTCCGATACATATCTGTGAGGTTTGATGACTGCACACATGAGATAAGAAAGTCAACGAAAATAGGAGATCTAACTGTCTAACAGGCTGGGGCATTGGGAATAATAGAGGATGACCACAGGATTGATCCACTGATATGGGCAAAAGTCAACCAAAAGAAAAGAACGTGACAAAAAGTAGCAAAGTGTACGGGGTTACAGAATGGGGAGAGTGGATGGAAAAGAGAATCCAAAAAAGTACACCAGTCTTAGTGTATAATCTTCTCCAATCATATTCTCAATATGTGGACCAAAAAAACTGAAGATGAAGAGTGGACTAAAGGGAGAACGAAACATGAGTAACTCAAGGATGAAAGATAGTATTTCCATGTCCAGTGGGAAGACCACAACTCGACAGAGAAGAGCACACACCACGAACTTGCATCACACAGGCTAAAAAGGAAGGATGTAAAGCAATTTGGGCCTTGGCAAATGCACCAGGATGTCTTGCTCTTGTCATTACCCTAAGCAAGCCACCACTCTGTGAGAATACCATAGCCAAGTGGCAGCCACTGGATGCTAAGTTTTCTCCATCCAATTAGACCAGTTGAGGCCGCAGCATGACCACTGCACTATAAAAACTGATCCGATATAGCACCCACATGAACTGAGAGGCACTTGGAGACATTTCTGAAGAAGGAGAAAAGAAAGATCGAAGTTGACAATATGATGAATAACTTGAAAGGAGTCGGTGGCACTACATGAATTATAATTCTCTAAGAATTACGATCAAGAATTTGGTGCGGAAAGAATAAATGAAAAACTATTAAACACTAGAGTAACTACAACGGAAAAGGATGCACAGTGATGGAGCAAGATCGAAAAAGTGAGCTCCTATTTCCATTTCAATGGTGGCAAGACAAGGATATGACCCGTCATTCCATTCGATCATAGTGGTGAAGCTTTTCGAAATACTGGGCTCTAACTCTCGGTAGGAGGCTGCGGAAGTGGACCCATGTCACAATTTTTGGCAGCAGCCAGGGGGGCCTATCTACTCTCCCTTATGAAGCATAAGTTCTCATGGTTGCTTAATCTTTGAAACGCAAGTCCTATAGGGTTACCAGTAACAGAATACTCTGATCGATGCATAATTTCAGCTCACGACGAAGATCAAATAACAGGGTACACGTTTAAAGGCAACGTACCATGAAGTTGCGCCATTCATTGGCATATGATCCGGAACCTGATCTACGGCCATATGCATGAGAAGTATCGTAAATCACTTCGGCACCAGAACCTTGTTTAACCATCTTGTATGCTTCACCTGGAACACAAAATAACAAGGTCGCCACACAAATAAAGGAACATGAAACTACAATCCACATTGAAAGATTTGGAACAAGAATCATAAACGAATCACGAAAATAAATTCGATAGTTCAATACTAAAATGATGGGGCGATTGAGCTAGACTTGGAATTGACTCACGCCGAATCCTATCAGGATTCTCCCTATAAACTTACGGACGGAATGTCGGGACTGCGCACCACTCGCTACTCGACCGCCGCCGCCGCCCGGCCGCCTCCGCTGCGCCCTCCCCCGTCCCACAGAGACTCTCTTCGATCCGCCGGCCAACTCCATCGCCGTAGCGCCGACGTAGTTAGGTTTGCTAGAAACAGTTTGGGTCGGTTATCGGGTCGATTTCCGGTTCATTCTCGGTATAACGGGTCAGGAAAACCCCGTTCGGATTAACCGCGGGCCAGCGGATTAACAGTCCGGTCAGACTATTACTACAAGTCCGCGATAGATATTGTTAGTCAAAAGATGGCGGCTGGTCGCCGTAAAAGTGGGGCTCACTTTGACCGCGTCTCGCCGGGCCACCAGACCGATTCCCCAGCGTCGCCGTTCAGCGAGTCGCCGCTTTCCGAGTTTGCTCACGGTTGGGCCAGCCAGCTGTCGATCTTATCTATTCGGTCGTGGGAATCACGTGATATGTCTACGTCAAAGCATTCACGCGCAAGGAAGCACCATTCCCCAATTTCTGAATCTCTAGGGGTTATTTAAAGTAACATTTGTAAAATAATATATTTTAAAATGTCCACATGCGGACACCGACCCACTCGTCGCCGCGTGGTCATGCGCTGGTTCCGAGTCTTTTAACGCAGACTGCTTTTCCTTAGTGGGCCCAGTCGGTCGTCACGGCCCAGTGGGGTTGTGGGCCGAATTTTGTCAGGCTGGCGTCTGCTACGTGTCAACTGCTGATTCGATTATTTTCGGTGACATAGGACGAGGCAACTTGAAGGCTCGATTCTTCATCTTCCCCTCTTTCTCTACCCTTCGTCATCACTGGTCTCTCAACAGGAAGAGAGCTAGGGTTTGCGCTGTTGCGGTAGATTTCCCGTCTCTTCTCTTCGTGCTGTAGGATCCGTCTGTGGATCGGGCGTTACAGTCTGATCCCGTGGTTTGATCATGGTTTCTTTAGCGTCGGTGGAATTTCCGAGTCATTTCTCGTTTTTTTTTCTGCGGGGAAAATGCGGATTGTTTGAGCTTACCTAGTTTTCCTTGATTTTTTTCCTCTTGGTTCTTTTCCCTCTGTCCAAATAAATATTTGAATCTTTCGCGAGAATGTCCGCTATCGCGTTCTGATATTTTTTTTTTAAAAAAACGATATATTTCTGGTGGGGGGGGGGGGGTGGTCGATATTTCTCCTATTTAATGACATTTATTTTGTAGTTCTCCAGTTCTAATCTACAATGGATCTCATTTGATACGCAGAAGTACAAGTTTCGGCACAGAGAAGTGAGTTTTTCCGTGGAGATAGCTCAAGATGTCGCCGGCTGAGTCGTCCAGGGACGAAAATGTCTACATGGCTAAGCTTGCTGAGCAGGCCGAGCGGTACGAGGAGATGGTCGAATTCATGGAGAAAGTTGTCAAGGCAGTGGATGCAGAGGAGATGACCGTGGAGGAGCGCAACCTCCTCTCTGTAGCCTACAAGAACGTCATCGGTGCTCGTCGTGCTTCGTGGCGTATCATCTCCTCCATCGAGCAGAAGGAAGAGAGCCGAGGCAATGAGGATCACGTCGCCACGATCAAGGAGTACAGGGGGAATATCGAGACTGAACTTAGCAAGATCTGCGACGGGATCCTGAAACTGCTCGAGTCCCACCTCATCCCCTCTGCCGGCGCCGCAGAGTCTAAGGTCTTCTATCTCAAGATGAAGGGAGACTATCACAGGTTGGAATATGGCCAATCCAGTAGAAGGCCCTCATGGTGGCGGTTTCAGATTCCGCCCGCTGAAGCTGTTCTAATCTTTCCAGGTACCTCGCTGAATTCAAGACTGGCGCTGATAGGAAGGAGGCCGCTGAGAACACTCTTCTGGCGTACAAATCTGCCCAGGTGGACCCTTTTGCACGAATTTGTTTATTTGCTACTCCCAGACTTTCTGATTCTGTATCGGTGGGTATGTTGCCCTCTCTAACGTTCTTTTTAAATGATTGAAGGACATCGCGTTAGCTGACCTTGCGCCTACGCATCCCATCAGACTTGGGCTTGCACTGAACTTCTCTGTTTTCTATTATGAGATTCTGAACTCGTCTGATCGTGCCTGTAGTCTTGCAAAGCAAGTAAGTGTTGTCATTTCTCTTCTCCAAACAAATAAGTCGCGTAATTATGAAAGAATTACAATATTTTCTTGTTGATTATAAGTTTCTGTCATGATGTTTCATTGCCATGCTAGATTCGTGCTTATGTCTACTACCTCGTGATTCTAGCAGTTGGGCCATCCCTTGATTTTATGGTCTTTTTTTGCCATTAGACCCATTTTTTTGTATCTTCTGTATCTCAAATTTTATTCTTCTTTGCCCATTGGATATATTTTCCTGGTAAATGTACCGAAAATAGACATATTTTCATAGATTCCATTTTTTTGGTATGAAAGAAAATAAATTTCGTTTTATTAACAACTTTGAGTAAAATTTGTATGAAATGAGCTGTTTGCAGTCATATTTGTACCAGATAGGGGATTCTTCTCTACCAACCTATTTCTCAAATCTTATGCCACTTGTTCTCTTAAGGATACTACTACTATTTGGACGACTGGTCCATATAACGTCCCAAAATGCGTTTTCAAGATTCCAAGAAGCCAGAGGAACATTATTGGGCCCAATTTTTTTTATTCATGTTTGTTTGTTGTTGAATCGTTGGAAAGCTTTTCTCTTAGTTTCTTACTTGTTACAATTTTCAGGGTCAATTTTTTCATCTAATATGAGCTATCACCATTTGGTGCGATCTTCATCTAATCAATAAACTTATGCGATAAAATCAATTATGTTCATGACTGACATCAAACAAGTGTTGCATCGTCCTGTGGTACTGAATACTTTGTTCTCTGCTGGTGCAACGTGATAAATATTGCTACGGTTTCTTTTGACGTTTCCGGTTGTAAAATTAGTTTATTTTCTGGTCACCCTTTCTGGGTAGGCTTTTAGCGGAAATGTTGAGCATTTTTGTTTACATTTGTCATCATTACAGTCTATATGGCGTTGTCGGGCTGTTTCTATGTGTAATGACAGCAATTACGTTTTACTAGGTAAATGCTCAGTTTAGCCTAGTATAGCTAAATTATTTGTTACGATGAGTATCCAGTTTGTGAAGGATACTTCTCAGGCATTTGGAAAACAATATGATTGAAATGATTGTCAAGTGAAAATGCTGTGATTTCCCATCATCTCCTCTCTTAGTTTCTCCCATTTGCTCCATTAAGAATAACTTCTCGGGGAAGACTCTTATTTTTTAAGGTTTTCATCAGGCCTGCCTATTTAGTTATTTTTTATGCTCTTTTGAACATCGCATGCTTTGTTTTTTTTGCGACGATGAACTTTTGATTTGACATTTTTCACCCCCATGCTTTGTTATAATAACTAAACCCCCCAAAACGTCATGCCATTGTGTTTTTCAGTGGTTTTTATAGTGAGGAATTCAACTGTTGAGTTTTTAATAGTGAGGCATTGAAAGCATATAAGATTGCTAATTTCCGAAGTGATCCCTGCCAGTTGACTTCAGGGGGTGGGAACATTGAAAAGAAAATAGAAAAAAAAAAGGAAAAAAAAAACTCTCAAGAAACGCTTGTGTGTTTCCAAGATTTCCCTCCTATTGGGACTTGACACTTGGCCCTTCGTCATTTGTTTAGAATAGCTGTAATCAGTAGAGCTTGGTTCTAGACGAAAATAAACCTACCATGGAGATTTGTGCTTGATGGGTTGAACTCCTTGGCCTGGCCTTGAAGCAAACCTCAATGGAGGTCAACCCAATGAATGGACCCCAAAGGAAATGGTGTCTGCTGGCTGTGATCCCCTTGTATTAAGAGTCTCATTCTATGTGATTTCTGATAGTTCAGTCAACATAGTTCCTTTCTCCTCCCCGAGATTTACCTCAGCTGCTGTCTGTGCAGGCCTTTGACGAGGCTATCTCAGAGCTCGACACTCTGGGGGAGGAGTCTTATAAGGATAGCACATTGATCATGCAGCTCCTCAGGGACAACCTAACCCTCTGGAGTTCCGACATAACGGTTGGTTTTCCTCCGGCTCATCCACATCCGTTGACTCTTATGCCACGTGGCCATGGTGGGTTGACGATTCCTAAGTTGCTTCCAGGACGACGTGGGGGACGAGATCAAAGAGGCACCGAAGCGCGAGCCCGGGGATGGCGGCCAGTGATTCTCCCACCCCCCCCGCTGCAGGTTCTACCCCCGGAGTCTGTCTTTCTCTTTCATTTTCGCCTCTTCTTCATCTGCAATGCTATATATATACAGTGCGTACGTGAAATGTAAGCTGTGGACGGTCGTTAAGTTATCACAGTGAACACCCTTCCATTTCTTTTCAGTAGAAATCTTATGCTATTTACGGTGGTAGCCAAAAAGGGGATAGAAATCTTCTAGTCGTCAAGAATTTCCAGAACAATCATTCTACCCACCCCACTGGAACGAAGTTTTTCTTCTTCTTTATCACCATCATCATCGTCACCTTTTTCTGGGAATCCCCTACTCAGCATCATCTTCTGCTTCTTTCTCCTCTGTGTTCTCTTGTTGACCAGAGGCTCGGGGTCCTCTTCCCCTTCGTGTTCCTCTGCGTACCAGTGCAGCCACCCACTCATGACGGAGCACTCTGGCCCCGGCCCGCCGCAGTTACCTTCTCCCGCTTCTGTGAACTTTCGTTTTCTTCTTCCTGAACACTGGCTTCTCTTACCTCTGGGGACTGCCTCGTCTGGTAGCATAGCCTTCAGGTCCTCTCTAGGGGGTGGTCTCTTGTCTTCTTCGACAGGGAAGAAGCTCGTTATCGTCCTCAGGGAGCCAGTCAGGTCCACCTTACGCACCTTAAGCTCGTTTGTGGCATTATTAGGAACGAGAGGCGCGTCACCCTTCAGAGCCCTTCTTCCTTTGAACCCGGTGGGCTCTGCGATCTTCACGTACCTCCCAGAACAGGAGGCCCTGTGGCTGTGAAAACCAGAGGGAAATCAATCATGGTGTGAAATTGGTTGGTTGAGTTTGAATCTCTCCTTACCTGTGCCAATGACAGTAGGGGTTGCCGCAAGGCCCACCATGCTTCACCTTCCCAATACAGTCGCTCGCCATGGGAGGTCTGTTCATGGCCCTCTTGATCAGATCCCCACAGGATTCACACTAAGTGCAATACAAGAAGCCAGTTATCATCTAAGGTCAACCCTCAAAATCGCTGATTTTCAGTCTTGATCAGGTGAAAAAATAGAAAACCCAGATAGATAAAGAGATTATTTTTTTCGTAATCCCATTATTACCATCCATCGGTGGACTTGGTACTTGTCAACTTCGGCGTGGAACTCGTGGTACACGGTCACGTTGTAGCCTCCAGCTGGTTTCTGGAGAAGCAATTGAACACAGTGAGAAAGGGCAAGTCTGTGGAAAGAAGCTTTTTCTTAGAACTCGCTCAGTTGGTTAACCAACTTGATGGTCTTCCAAGGAGCTGCAGTTGATCCCATTCATCAGTCTCTGGAAGCACGGGCCATGGTCGCTGCTTTCACAAAAAAAAAAAAAAAAAAAAAAAAAAACGCATTCAATAAATATCTGTAGATGGGTAGATAGATAGATTGATTGAGAACCAGGGTATGAAAGTTTATATAACGACCTATGATCCCTGTTCTGGTTGGCGATCCACAAGAATGCGTGGATCATTTCGTGAAGCAAGGTGTTCTTCAGATCCGCAGTCGGACGGAACTTCAGGAGAGGTTCGGAGAGGCGGATCTCGCACCCACCGCCTGGACGATAATGGCAGACACCTGCACACCTGGTTTGAACATAGTTCCTGGACATTCATTAGCCATGGAAGAACCCCCAGTGCCGGAAAGTTTCGTTCCTAAAATGAAGCAATTCATGGTTTTTCATGCCGATCAATCGATAATCGGTGATATACGGTAGTAATGTCCTGAGATTGGAGTAATGATTTCGAGCAATTAAATAAAACCATGATGTTATATATCACAACCTACGCGCAGTTTCATGCTGTCCGCTGCGTGCCCTTTTTTCTTCAGATGGCTTGATAGCATCCGACGAACAGATCACAGGCAGATCGATTCAGAAAGGATTGGAGATGGAGACTGTTACTAATCTAGGAAGAACAAAAGAAGCTGTACGTGATCTGCAAGCATACGATGCAGAAACGAAGGAACCTCTGAGAAATCGTTGGTAAAATGCTCTAAATGCAGAAATAAAGCCCGGCTGCTTGAAGGAGTAAAGAAGAAACTTGTGTGGAGGTGATCAAACTGTGTTCATCCCCAAGCATCCGATACCCACATTTCAATCTCGGAATAATTTCTGATGATGAGCAAGGAGGATTATCGGCGATCTAATCCACACCAACGAGACACTACTAGGGGCGTAGATCGTTCGAAGCAGATTGAACAGAGGGTTAACCTATAGGCGACGATGATACTTGAGAATCTGATCCGGGGAGCAAGATCGCCGGAGAAATGTATGCTGACTCTAGGCTCTGTCCGGAATGGATCCCCAAATCCACGACTAGAACTCGCAGTCCGGAAGCGGATCCTCGAATAGATCTCCCGTGAATTCCCCCAAATATCGTCCAGTCCGGATGTAGTGACGGATGGACGGATTCCGACAGGGATGCGAGATCGATGACGAAGGAAAACGCCCAAAAATGGCCGTCCAGAAACACTGCAAACTCCGAGCAGAGAAGAGATGGAAGAAACGGCGACCAGAAATGAGGCGGACCTCGTCATACGAGAACTGCTCCAGGAGACGGAGCAGGCGCCGAGAGATTCGCCGAAGTAGAGCGAGTTGTAGTAGCAGAAAAGGGCGTGGATGTCCGGGTGGGGGTCCAGCACGTCCTCCTCTGCCAGTCTCTCCATTAGACTATCTCTCTCTCTCTCTCTCTCTCTCTCTGCTGGACGATTGCAGACGCCGGCGCCGTTGAGGATGGCGGAGAAGGGTTTCGACCGGAGAATCGGGGGGGAGGAAGAAGAGGATGTGGCCGCCGACGTGCGAAAAGCTCGGAGAACGATGCCGCCAAAAGGGCCTCCCGCTAAATTAATGATTTGACTTATATGACGTCATAAATATAATATGTTACTATTTAAATAATTTTCAAATTAAGGAGTATTTGGGTTAATGGGCCGAATCAGGTGCTGCTGGCCTTTAATGGGCTAATATTGGGTTACACACATCCGATCCAAGTACGTTGGCCCGATTCCATAATTGGGCCAATTCTTGCACATTCCCCAGTGAGTGGGCAGGGCCCATTAATACCCTTGGAATCGACTGCAGACTCGAGTATAGTTACTAGGGAGATAGATGGTGGCAGCTGGAAGAAGAAGCCTTCCCCAAACTCCGGGCTATTATTCTGCCAGCACGTTGAATTCCGCACCGCAACGGCCACTTCCTCCGGCGGTGGCGCCGCTACACCTTGGTGTGGAGCTCCACGGAGTCCTCCGGGGGGTCCCCAGCCTGCCGTTGTTGCAGGGGCTTGAAGGTGTAGTAATGGGCGCAGGCGGCGTAATAAGCGAGGTTCAGGAGCTGGAGAAAGGTGATGATCCAGTAGAGATTCTCCAACCGACCCCTGTTGAGATTATCCGGCAGCCAGTGGGCTCTATAGCGGTGGACGAGGGAGACGATGAAGGAGCTGGCGTAGTTACCGGCGGCGATGGCGAGCCAGAAGAGCGCCGTCGCCGTGCTCCGCATGCTCTCCGGCGCCTGGTCGTAGAAGAACTCGAGGTGGCCGATGGCTGAGAAGGCCTCCGCCATGCCGTGCAGCGCGTACTGCGGCACGAGCCAGAAGACGGAGATGGGGACGGTGGCGCGGGGCTGGTCGAGCAGGCCGTGCGTGGCGGCGACGTCCCTCCGCTTCACCTCCACGAAGCCGGCGACGAGCGTGGCGAGGACGGAGATGGCGAAGCCCACGCCCATGCGGGTCAGGTAGGAGATTCCTCGCCGGAGCCCGGTGGCTCGCCGCGCGGCGGGGATGAGGGCGCGGTCGTAGACGACGATGGTGGTGAGCATCGACAGGATGGTGAAGACCGCCATGGAACCCGGAGGGATCTGGAACGAGGAGGAGGACGACAGGCGGCGGTTCATGGTGCGGGCCTGCTGCAGGGAGAAGGTCCCCTGCTGTGCCGCCGCCGTGATCAGCAGGATCCCCGCCGCCCATATGGGCCCCATTCTCATCAGCGACTTCAGCTCCTCCACCCGGTGCACCGTGCTCAGCCTCCACAGGTTGGGCTTCTCCTCCTCCTCCCCCTCCGCCACCACCGCCGCCTTGTCCAAGAACCTGCAACTCACACGACGAACCCCCACGTCAACTAAAAAAGACGGAAACCGACGAAGTTTCCCCCCATTTCCGCCGGTGCTATGCACTGTACGTTGGAGAAATAGACGATGCTTCTCCTTATTTTCCTCCGAAGCTTGTCAGAACTCATTAACTCTGCGGCTGTCTTGTGGACGGGGCAATGATGGGCCGGGCACATGGGGGGAGAGAACCTCCGAGGATTGTCTCCTTCCCCATCAATTACAGCTGGGGGAGAGTTCTACAGTGCCGGAGGCGGAGGAGCTCACGTTAGGTTTCCGGTGTGGATGAGCTTGCCGTCGAGGGAGATGGGGCCGTCGAGCTCCGAGTTATCGTACAGCGGGGTGGAGTCGGTGACTGGCGGCAGACGGCGCTTCCTTGCGGCGGCGACAGCGACCTGCAACAGCCTGGTGAAGGGGCTGCCGGCAGGGTCAAGGTGGCGGTACAGGGGGAAGCCGGCGACGAAGGAGACGAGGGAGGCGGCCATGGCAAAGGTGGGGATGGCGAGGCCCCAAGCCCAGCTGACATTGTCCTGCACGTAGACCACGGCGGTGACGGCGACAAGGATGGAGAGCCCCATGCAGAAGTAGTACCAGTTGAAGAAGTTCCACGTCCTCGTCTTCTGCTTCCGATCGGCTTCGTCGAACTGGTCGGCGCCGAAGGCCACCACGCAGGGGCGTATCCCGCCGGCGCCGAGGGAGTTCAGGAGGAGGGACGCATACAGGACGGCCAGCTGCCCGCCGGAGGCTTCCTTGCAGGGTTCGTTCCCGGCGCACGGCGGGGGGTGGAGCTGCGGCAGTGCCGCCGACAGGGTCAGCAACACCATGCCCTGCGACGAGGAGGGAGTAGTCAGCCATGAGGAAGAGAAGAGCCAGCTGATAATCTCAGTCTCATGGGCTTCGCCGGAGAGGTATCGCCGCCGCAACGGGTGGATGGAGGGCCGGTGTACCAGCTGGTAGATGACGGAGGCGCCGGTGATGGTCCAGAAGCGACCTAGGTAGGCGTCGGCGAGGAAGGCCCCCAGAAGCGGCGTGAGGCTAGCGGTGCCGCCGAAGTTCGTGAGCGTGGTGGCGGCCTTGACCAGCGGCATGTGGAGCTCTTGAGTTAGGTAACTGATCATGTTCGCTGAGAAGCCCACCACCGCCAGCTTCTCCGCTATCTCGTTCGCTGCACCACCGCAATGTTTCAGTTGCAGAAGAAGAAGAAGCAGAAGAAGAAGAAGAAGAAGAAGAAGGAGTACCGAAGATGAAGGGCATTGTCCGGAGACCGCCCTTCCTCATCTGGACACCCCGAGAAGCTCCCTCCATCCCCCGGCTCTCCTCGGCAGTCTTCCCCTCCGCCATTGCCGCCGCCTCTGTGATCCAAGATCTCGACCCAGAGCTGCTATTTGTAAGTGCACCTCCGACCCTGGGGATCAAACCCGTGAATAAAGTAACTAAATAAATGAACGGGATAAAATATTTTTTCCTTATTTGATTGTATTTTCGAAGGGGTTGACCGAGGACTGACCTCTAGGGTCCACGTCACCGTCATAGCCTCTCTCGCTCTCTCTTGATGTGTGCTATCTGATGGGTCAGGCAAGTGATGTCTGGCTGAATGTGGGCCCCCACAGAGTGGCCGTCTAACGGCGATGGATCACTGGTACTCTGATTCGGAGAGTTAAGTCTGACATCACCGTCCGATCAATTGTATTATATGATTATTAACACAGTAAAATATTTTTTATTAACACCTAATTATATAAAAATAAGCAAGAACGTGTTCTACATGTGCATCATTGAGCAACAAGGAGGAATGTGGACCACATCAGTATCTAACTAAGTCAGACGGAGATTCTATTAATCTTCTGAAATACATTTTAAATCGCCATTTCATAATATTATTATTTCTGACAAAATCCACACGTTCGAATTGATTTGGTCAAGTCAATGATCGACTCTCCACGAACTATTTGGTTCCCTTTCATGCAAAATCCGTCAACTTTGTCAGATTCCCGTTTATTAAACGAGCTCCAAATCCTACCACAACATACGTTTTTTAGTTCTCCAGAAAATTCCGTGCAAAATCTCCCTCTCTCTCTCTCTCTCTCTCTATATATATATATATATATATATCGAATCCCGAGTCAAATGGGATATGGTTGGGTACACTAGATTTATCCAGAGATCCAAATTATTCAATCCAAAGGTTCAAGCCATCTCTCAGATCTACCTTGACGCCGCAACAAGATTTGGAACAGCGTCCAATAATCTTCAGGACATGCAAATGAATCGAACTAACACACATGCATGCAGAGGGTCGGGCTGATTCGAGCCGAAGATCTGGGTGGGAATCGTCAGGGTGACGTCAGATGGGTGGGGACGGCACCACGAGCTCTGCCTGATGAATTAATGGCGGCCGACTGTCCTTGTTTTAATGGGAGGCTCCATTGTCCTCCAGCTATGCAGAGGCCAGGTGAGTTTCGTCTTCTCCGGCCGGTCCGGAAGTCGGCTCCTGTCGATGGCATGGTGGAGACGACGGGCGTCGGAGACTCCCCCATCTTCTCATCACTCATCCTTCTCGGAGATCAACTCTCTCTCTCTCGATCGATCGATCGGTCGATTGATATTTAACAACGGCTAGAGCGGGGTCATATATTTGACGATCAGGTTTATTCCGAGATCTGTACCTGCAGAGCTCGACTCCATGGGGATATAATGGAGGTAGGGGACTGAACATGAGCCGCATGCAATGTCTGGCAGCATACCGCGACGCGACAAAGGAGGAGGAGACGAATAAGAAGGTTGAAGAACTGGACGCAGCGGACCACAGCCTCTTCCCCCACCTCCTATTTGACGTAAGGGGTGACGATGAGCGAGAGAGATAGATAGAGAGAGAGAGAGAGAGAGAGATCGTTCCCTTTGTTTGCATGCAGCAGTTGGATGGCGGAGCCATTCCTCGCCGCTTCCACCTCCCTTCGTCTCTCTCGGCGCGTCCTCCATCTCTGGTTTCCGCCCATGTCCATGTCCTTTCTGCTCACCGGCATCACCCAAGAAGCCAAAACGAGTCACGTGTGTGCAGCGTACAATTAGGGCTCCTGTCGCTAGTCGACACGAAGCGTGGAAGCGGGTACTACGCTGCCCCCTCCCTCTCTTCCAACCACGCCCATTTCGCCGGAAAACCCTCCTCTGTAACCCTCCCTCCACCCCGCCTCCCTCTTTCTGCCGCATATTTCTGTTGAGTTCTTACGATTTCCTGTTTCTACTTTCTCATTCGGGAAGCTTCTTCGTACATCGCTCGACCAGTGGCAAAACGTCGCCATGATTCTGGGGAGAGGAACTCATCGCCGCAAGTACACGTGGACGTAAGGCTACCCCTCCCTCTCTCTCTCTCTTCTCTCTAAGATTATTCGACTCGCACTGTTAGCGACCCCACGAGTGACGGAAGATTTCTGTGATTTCTTCACATCTGGCCAAACCATGATCTTGATGCCCATTCATGTCTCGTCCACTGGGGGAGACAGCTCTCGCCATGGAGCTCATTGAGAACACATAATGGGGCCCATCAAGAAAACACATAATGCATTTGCCGCCAGGCTCGGTAAGGTAAAACCCCACCCGGCGGCCGATCAGTGGAGGTTTGAGTACTCGGCCCGCGGTTCCGCTGGCTTTTATGTATAAGAATATGTGCATAGTACTGTTTACGCTGCAATGAAATTACTGCCATGGTGAAGAAACACGAATAAGACAAGGAGAGCGATAGAGAGAGAGAGAGAGAGGAGAGAGGGAGAGGGAAAAAACGAACGACTCTAAACAAGAAGCTCCCTGCATCCCAGCTGATCTTGTCTTTCTTTTCCACAAGGGGCGGCCTATGAACAACATCATCATCATAAAGCGTCCTCGTTATTCAAAGGGGAGGGGGGGCGGGGGCAGGCAGCGGCGCCGCCGCCGGCGTCTCGCCGAGCCCCGCCGTCAGTCGTCGAACTCGTGGCCGTGGTCCAAGAGGTAGTTTGCCGCCAGCTCCTCGTTCTTGTTGCAGGCGAAGAACACCTCCAACACGAGGGCCCGGTCGAACCCCATCGCCTCCAGCTGCACCCAAAAATCAAAACCCGCGGCCCCTCATCAGCTGGCTGACCTTCCAATCCAAATTTGGGCAACCGAGAGAGAGAGAGAGAGAGGGGGGGGGGGTTAACGCCGCCGCTTACGCGCTCGATGGCCTCGCGCTCCTCCGGCGTCACCGTCACAGCCTGCTGCGCCGCCGACGCCAGCTGCCCCAAAACGTTCCTGCTCCGCAGAGACAAAAATTAGGGTTGCAGAGAGTCGCCATGAGAAGACAATTCTCTGGTTTTTGTAAGCGGAGGAAAACCAGTGATCCAAGTATATGAAGGGTGATCAAGGAGTAAATCAGGTAATTCCTTAAAATCCAAAAAAATGAGTGATTCGGATGTTCCTTCCGATTCGGAAATGTAGCAATTTATTGAGGAAGGAAATGATCTGATCTCTCACCCTTCGCCCTCCACGGGCTCGTTGATCAGCCGTAGGAAGTCGGCCTGGTGCTCCTGGATCATCCTCACCAGCTGCGGGTTCTGCCTCCCCAGCTCTTGGAGGAGGGGCTGAAAGATACCATTTTTAAAAAAAAAAAGGAAAGACAGAAGAACACCTGTCTGTCGATCAGAGGGCGTGCGGGATAGATGACCGAGGGGAAGAGGGAGACCTGCAAGATCTGGGGGTTGGCCTGCACCATGGCCCGGAAGGCTTGGAACTGCGCAGGGAGAATAAGATGATCTTGATAAAATAAATAAAACATTCGTCACCATTCACAACCAAAAAAAGAAAAAGAAGAATAATAAAAAAAAGGCTGCTCAAGGCACCTGGGGGCTGTTGCGTAGGAAGTCGAGGGTGTTGTTGCCGGCGTTGGCGCCCAAGCTGGGGAGGCCCTGTTGAGGGTATTTTTTTTCATATCACTGGACGGATCTTGGTAAGCTGATCAGGAGCTGGGGTGTGGTGACACTGACCTGGGGAAACAAGTCCAGAGGGTTCGCGTTGGGTCCGCCAGGGGGCACCGCTGGCTGCGTAGGCGGCTGTGGGGGCTGAACCGCAGGGATTGCGGCGGGGGCCGCTGCCGCCGCCGCCGCTGCTGCCGCTGGGGCGGCTGCAGCAGCTGGAGTAGCTGCCGGTGCGCGGGCCACGGGCGGGACCTCTGCATGCTCGGGAATACCCTGGTATGATTCAGGCAAACAAACGTCAAGGACAAAAAAATAAGCCTCTGCAGCTGGGGAGAACTTTCAAAAGGGGAGAGAAATCTTCAAGAGAGGTTACTATGGGATATGGACAGATGTTGATTTGTTTGGCAACCAATAACAGGAGTAAACTTAGATTAATAGGTGGATTTCATCCCCCACTCGTCCTCCATCCTGAAAGAGTTATCCATAGGAGCACGGGGTTAAGAACTGTGCCCACACACAAAAGGGAGTACTTACTGAATATAGATATTCAACGGCTCTCTCGGGATTATTGAAAGCAGCACGCAGTGCACGAACCACAGTGTCCCTGTCCCAAGTCCCACCGCCCATGTCCAGGATCTGTTGGATGGTCTCCTCGAGATTACTTCCAGCAACGAGGTTTGATGCCGCTTGACCATAGACGTCTGCTTGTGTACCGCTACTGGAGCCAATAAAGATTTTAGGAAAAAGTCAGCCACCGTTCACACTGAAAGATCTTGCTTCCATAGTTCTAAACACAAGCACAGTGAATGTGTATACAGCCTGTCTCAAATGTTGGGGAAAGCCGCGGGGGTGCCAACCACTAAATATCACAAACTCGGAAATAAATGTAGACTTCCTTTTCCGCAGATTGAAGTGCAGAGAAGATTAGTATGGCAATGTGAGCAAGGATGACAATTTCCAACAAAGGTACGTGGAAGAAAAGAGAAAGAAAGATACAAAAATGAAGAAGCATGACTAAAGAACGTATTGCCAAATTCCTAATCAGATTTCGTCATGCTATCAAATTTTGGCTTCTGTATTTAAGCGCCTAAAATCATCCCATTCAAAACACGGACGAAGGCCATGGTATATTCAGGTTTCAGCTTTAACGAATACATGAGGATCTTAAATGAACATAGATACAGGGGGGGGTTTAGAAGTGGTCTTTAGTACAGGTTTACTAATCCGATCCCAATTTGGGGCATTAAAGACTGGGCAGAACGGAAATCAAAAAGGGAGGAAACTAAGTCAGTAAAAAGACCAATAGAATGCCTTCTTCAGTTTCAAGTTATGGGTGTCAATGCTTCTAATGAAGGAAAAAGACGTTAACCAAGGACCTGGAACGAATAAACCTTCAGAGGATGGTGTCAACGTGTAGTATCCAAGCTGGGTGGTTCAAAAATGTACAATAAACACAATAGAGCAAGTAAGATCCATATGCAAGGACTCGAAAATTTTCAGCTCCAAGAGGAAAATATCAGACACGGGCCTTGAAATCAGCCTCTTGTCTTGAAATCAACTCGTGAAGATCAGTAAATGAGGTATAATAATGAGAAAGAAGGTATTCTAGAAGGTCAATTAAAAACAAAGGCTTCATCACAGCTATAAAGCATTAAAAGTACAGATAGTATCACAGGATAAAAATGGTGCTTTCAATCTTCATGCTTCCTAAAAGTTCATTCACGGTGCCAAAAAAGTAAATATTGTTCAAACAATGAATTGGCAACCAAAGATTAGTAAAGTACAAAGAGTCGACTTACGGTATAGCAGGAACAGGAGCTGGTAAAGATGAGGCAACTGCAGCAGGCGCAACTGGAGTAGGTGCCACTGCAGATGAACTGCATGCAGTGATTAGACAATGCAGCATGATTTAAGAAGAAAATTATTTCAATGCACCATAAACAAATTTCATGCATTTCTTGACCCCCAAATAAGTCAAATAAACCAACTTACACAGCAGCAGTCTCTCTGGGAACCTGGGGTGGTGGTGCTGCAGGACTCAAAGGAACAATGGCTGCCGGGCTAGGTGTCGAAGCCTACCCAGAAGATTCAAATGACTAGCCGTTACATGAGTGTATAAAATACCCAGATTATTGAAGACCATATACATTAGATAGAACAATAATCAATTGTCTCACAGAAGTAACGAATGAAATAGTCGGAGAAAGTCTGGAAAATTGTCTAGCATAGCTTTTCAGAAATAAAATATCAAAACAAAAAAAACATTATTTAATTCCAGTAGGTTCCAATTAAGATTATGTATTCGATACTTCTTACATTTTATTTACCAAATTATCAGAAGAAAGATTCAGCAGATGAGAATAGCCTAACCTGTATCAGAAAACTGTTATTTGAGTTGAATAATATTTATTTAGCTGTGACTTAGGACGTGGTTAAAATTCATACGATTACGCTGAAAACATTTTGAAAAGGATGTACTCCTTTTGAAACTTTTCATAAGTGACTCAACTGCTATGATTGATCGGGGACCACTGCTAGGGAAAGCAGACTCAACTAAGCAAGTAAACATACGTTTAATCAACTCAAAAGCCCTGACCATACTGAAATATAAGTGGTAAGAATCAGCCAGGATTGTAACAATTCGGAATCCTCCAGCTCTACGTTTATAATTTATTAAAGGAAATCGGTAAGCATCAAAGAATGCCTAGAAGATGATGATTGGATACCAGCAGCATGTCTTACATTATACTTGAAAAGGAAGAAATGAATGCACATTGAATTATCAATATGTGCATAAAAAGGCTAGCATACTGATAGATTGGTTTAATTCAGAAAGGCGGACACTCTGCAGTAGGAACTTTACGCTGGACATAGTAGCAGGTCCGTTGGCTATTAAAGATTAGTAGTCTCAGCGAATCATCCAAAGGACCAGACAGTAATCATTACTTTTCTTTTTACTTTCTACAACGGTCAGTTGCAACTCACCTGAACACTTGGGCATTCATCTATTTAAAAAGGAAAAAAAATATTTGAAATAAAATTTCACTTTTACCATAAACTCTAGTAAAAATGTAAGCAAACATGATCTGGAACTTCTTTGTCAGTTTATGAAAATTTTGAAGGATGGAAGAAGGTTCAAGTTGCACTAAACTTGTAAATTCGGGTCACAAGTTCCTATCGCTGACCTACCTAACTCATTAATGCATACAATAACAACAAAAATATAAATAATCATAATAATTAGAAATAGAGAAAAGCAAGATCTGACAAAAGTAGCAACATACAAAACCGACAAAAGGATAAAAGGTACATACGAAGTTAAGTTAAAAATGCAAATTTCAAACATAACTTCTTGCTTCATACCTGACTTACTGTTGATGTTCCACCAGATGATGGCTTACTCTGTAAATATAAAGACACTGAAACAATGAGTAAAAACCAGGAAATAGACAATAACATACATTTCCTGTCCTTAATATTATAAATACCAACAGTTACATCAGAGTTTATAAACATGTAGAAAAAAAATTCGAAAAGATAAGAAGGCTCTATAAGAAAAGAGAGGATATCAAAACACATTTGCAAGATAAATTATGAGGACGACAGAAGAAACGCCAATAGAATACCAACGTAGGACCCACCTATTGGTAAATAGCCTTTGAATGTTCATTGAAAATTGCATTCTGGCCAACCATAACAGACATGCAATTATATGAAAAAAGGTACAAATTTTGCGATTAACATGACAAGCAAAATATTTACAAGAGTCTGAGTTTCTATGTAAAATCAGAACGATGATCAGAGAAGTAGACATCGGTAAAGCGTTGATTTAAGAACTAGGGGAAGATAATTTTTAAAAAATATTTTAAAGCATAAGCTGATGGTCATTTTAACTTCAATAGCTTCGCCAAAAAATTGCATCGATTTCATCAAAATCATTAGAATCATATGATCGACGAGCTAATCAAACAATAGGTTGACTACTACATACAACCTACATAAAGGGAAAATAAGAAACCGGATATAAGAATCACATAAGATCATGAGGGCTCACTGCTAATGGGTCGAACCACTAGGCATGAGACCAAAAGAAATACAAATAAGAAAATTGAACAATAGCCTTGACCACAACAGAAAATCTACAAAAGACCCTCTGTGGGGAGCTTCTACACAATTGTCAAACAAATCGGTAACTAGGTTGATCTTATACGGCCCTTGTGCCCAGCACCTTAACCCAATATCAACCGCCTCTCATGGCCTTATGTGAACCTCATCACTGTGAACAATCATCCAGTCAACTATATGGGTTGTTCGGACATTAAAAGCTGTATGCAGAGAACTGGCTATCTTATCCCCTGAAGGAACCTTTTTTTACTGAGTGTGACAATTTAGCTTGGTAGATAAATTGGTTCTTTTAGTGGGGTGTGATAATTTTACTTAATCAATTATAGTAAAGATATTGCTAACTGGATTGCAGGAGAAGCTGATCTTGTTCAGAATTTGGTGATATCAGAAGGAAATAACAAGCTGATAGCACTAATGATAATTGGGTGCCATCACATCGACAATCAACACTGTGTACTTGTCACACAAAGTACCTCAAAGAATTAATTTACCTTACTTAACATTATGACTAGGAAGCTGGCCTCACAGACCCCATTCTGTTCCAATGTTGTATCATCCTTGAGAATCTTTCCCTGGTGAATAAGCATCTGCTTGTCAGCTGGGTAAACATTTTGCCCCTGGGAAGTCTCAATATTCTTCTTTACATCAGCAACCTGAGGAGAAAAAATACAAACATTTAAAGTTCAAAACAGATGGATGTGCAAGCATTTTGCGTGACGGTGAAATAGGTTACCATCTCAAGATTTCATATTACTATAATAAGTAGCAGGGTTTTTAAGTGCCCAAGATAACTGATAGACAGAACTTTTGTAATAAGTGAGGAGAGGAGGACGACCTCACCATTTAAAGTAATCTTAACTAACTACCACGCAGCTTTTTTCTTTTCTTCATCCCCTAGGTGTTGGAAGGGGGTTCCTTTTCACGACTTCATCCGTACCTAGCCATTAGGTGTTGCCTCTTCATGTTTTCTCCTGATTTCTGTTGTAATTACCACGGTATCACAAAGCTTCTTTATTTTGTCCATTTATCACCGATTCACAGCCATTGCAATTCGATATTTTCTCTTCATTCTCCTAAAATAGCGAGATGACACTTATACCCATCAACGAAAATATATAGATACATATGATTTCCAAACCGACTGAATTACCAATGTACAGTCTTACAACCGAAAATGGTAATGGTTTTGACCACGAGGCACCTAAGTGCATCACCTATAGTTATTTCAGTCATAAGGCTATTTCCTCCCACAATCCTGCGAGACATTGATCCAAACCATTATCTATTCCATTCTAACAACGATGTATTTTTTTTTTCTGCACACAATGCTCCGTAACTTTCCAAAATTCTAGCTAAGTACACAAGAGGGTATTATACTTGCCATTATATCCCACAACTTCACTTTTTTACTGTCTGCGCGAACCAGAAAATCTCTGAAAACATCTCAAAATAAACTGAAAAATAAAAACTAAGACGGAAAAACCAGTGCAACTCTTTATAAACTATTATAGGGCCAAAGCTATGCTTCCTTCCTCCCAAACCTTTGGACTTCATGGGAACATTCCCCAGGTTTTCAATGTCGAACGCAAAATCGACAAACACTCCTACAACACCGTATCCAAAAATGGGTCGAGCATTCTAACTGATCCATCACAAAAAATTCCCAATATCAGCCCATTAAAGGAAAAACACATTAAGATAAACTCTGTCCTTCTAATCTGCATCCTTTCCATCGGGTCATTTCCCTTCCAGCCTTCATTCCGACAAATACTGTATTTTGGTCAATGCTTTAACCAAGGAATCTCGTGACGATTAGCACAGATCATTACATTAACCAAAATACTCAGGTCAAAATCTGTAATGGGTCAAATAGCAGAGGATCAACTTAGATACACTCCAAAGCGAAAGGCTGCTAATATCATTCTTCTTGAAAACTAGGCACATCCTAACAAAAAAAAAAAAATAGCAGTGATAAAATGCAGCCAGAATTGGTCCTTTTTTTTAGCAACATCCCATCTTTTCATAAATTACATCCGATATTTATAAAGACTAAAAAAAAAATCGTCGCCATTAGAAAACTTTGAAATGAAATGACTCCGAATTCTCCAATCACCGTGATATCAATTGTGAACACCGTTTATTCCCAACCATGCAGACTTCCCTTCAACCCTACAATACTTGAGATCACAGTAAACCATAATTCGTTTCAATTACAACAATACATTTCACAAAAAACTAGTTGAAGGCCCAACGATCAACCCACAATATCAAGCACAAAAAGCAAGCCACGCAACTGCAGCAATCAACCACCCCTCCCACAAGCTGGAAACCCTAATTTCCCTACCAAACAGTCGTCAATGTCGACTAAAACCACAATTGGGCAAAACGCAACATCGAGGACGTCCAGGACCCAGCTGGGACGCCGGATCAGCAGCAATCAGCCACCGCCACGACTAAAAGGAAGGAAGCAGATCGATACAGGCGACGAGACATACCGTGTCTTCGGGCTTGACTTCGATCTCGAAGTGGGAGCCCTTGAGCGTCTTCACGAACACCTTCATCTCCGCTGCTCCTCCCCACCGCCGCCCCTCCCCAACTCCGAGCGTGGGAATGCGTGCGAAGGGGGAAAGGGATAACCTGGAGCAAGAAAAAGCGACCGAACGAGAACACTCGAGACCGTGGCGGAGGACCGGACTCCAAATTTATAGTGCCTCCATTAAATAGATATTTTTTTTATGAAAAATCCTACGGATCCGAGGGAGGGGCTTGTCAAGATTGACGGTTACGATCTCATACCCTGGCCAGAGGCTACTTCTTACCCGTCCGATGGATGGGACCAATGATGGAATTGATGTCGTAACTAATGAAATTGGAAAACATTTTGAAGTCCGAATGTTCACTTAATGGGCCAGCTTTCTGTGGGCCCAAAATGCCCATTGCATTGACCATTAAGCCGTCCCACATGAATGAGACATCAAATGCCCGTTTAGTTCGGTTTCGAATAAACAGAAAAGCTTAGATTTTCCACTTAAAACATTAATTGATTTCTTATACAGGAATTATTCGGGTAATAATTCCAACTTTAGAGTAAATACTATGCTTCAAAAATTATTTTAAATCCACCCAGACCTCTAAATCCAATTTTAAAATTATTTATTATTTTAAATAATTTACAGACCTAAGAATGGGCCAGGATAGTCTGGCCCCTGCCCTATCCATGTCTATTATAGAACTTGGGAGGCCTGAGGGAGAGAGAGAGAAAGAGAGAGAGAGAAGTGGGATGAATGGGCATTGGACTGGCCATAGACATTCTCAGACGGGCATGGAAAGATGGAACACAACAACACAAGATAAACCAAAACAAACGAATAAAGAGGGACAGATGGCCCCAAAAGATCATCTTTTTTCTTCTTTTTTCTGTTCTTCTTTTCTAGAACGGAAGCTGAGATGAGGAAGGCTACTCGGCAGAGTCTGCTCATTCTGCAGCTGATGCCTCTGTCTCCGCAGCCGCTGCTCTCTTCTTGGCGAAGTACTCATCCGCACGGGCGAGGTTCTTGGCAACGGAGGGCTTCACCCACTTCTTCCGGCCTGGAAGGACGGTCAGAGAGCAGCCTGCCGCCTCGAGCTTCTCCTTTGCCGCTGCCGAGAAGGCCCGGGCTTTTATGTTCAGCTTCAAGGAGAATTCTCCATCCCCCAAGATCTGAAAGCAAGAGGAAAACAGGTGATCATGGCAAGCAATTCATGAAGAAGGGGGGGGGGGGGGGTTGATGAAGCCGCATTCCACAATACCCACGAATAGAAGGCAGTCGGCTGATGGCTGAGAAAGCTCTAAGAAAGAAGCTCATTCAATATTATTTTTATTAAAAAAAAATCTAAGGAGATGGTCCAACCAGAGGGAATCCGTGGTTTTCCTGTAGAGAATTAATCAAATGAAATATGTCCATTTAGGATCAGATATTGTGAATTCGGAACTGATAACATGTCTCACGAGAATTATGATTAAACTATCAAAGTTGATCCGAATCACTTAAAATAAAATACGATGTCCAAGAAGACATCTTGATCAACGATCTCAATATGATTAATTATGGTTTTGGTGATCCAGATAATTAAGAAAATCAATTTACATTCGGTAGTATCCAGAAAATCTTTTTGACAGAAATGAATACTATGAATACACTTTATTAATTTGATGTCAAAACCTTTCAAAACTTATGATGTAAAATCATGGGTTTATAGAACGTGCACATACTTTCAACGGAAGCTTTCTTTCTCTGCCAGATGGATTGATCAAACCGATGGCTTTCAAGGACTCCAGGGATACTTCATCTCCTTCTTGAAACCCAGCAGCCTCAATGTCCTTCAAGTTAACTGGAACATACTTTGGAAGACCCGCATGCATGCCTGGGAAATAAAGATGATATAACTTGAACGAAAATAGAGTGTATTAAATCTAAACATAAAAAAAAACATTAATATTCCTCTTTATTAATTTTCAAACTTAGATAAAACAAGTTTGATCCCGTCGTTCATAAGCTCTAGCTCATGTAGCTCGTGTAGCCCAGTTCAAACCGCCAAGTATAGTTAGAGAGATGATCCCCTCCTCTCATTGAGAGCAAGCACAGACAGTCTTCTTCAGAGTTAAACATATGAAACTGAACTAGTAATCGTTATATCCCAGAGGATTCAGAGTCTTATGGAAGAGAGAAAAACATGCAACAATCTTCAACTCAGGTCACCAAACAAAGAAGATGATTACCATTCCTAGGAATTATTCCTCAACAATCCTTCTCATATCGTCATACTATATGCATCTCCACCCCCCCCAAGATGAGATCACCTAACATAACCCCTTCTTTCTATAGCCTAATCAAGAAAACAGAGGAATTCGAACAATCTTCAACTCGCATAAGTAAAGTTGTACTTTCATCTGTTCTTCCGCTTTCTTACTTGAAATAATATAAAGAAATCTTTAGCAAGTTTATCTCCAAATGGCCTACTAAAGGGGTGATGTCACCACACACTCAAATGCACAAATGATTATCAAAAAAAGTTGTTTACTCTAAGATTAGCTCTAGTTCAAGCTGCAGAAGTGCCAGAGTCTAAGGGTTGGGTTGGCTAAAGGTCACCTTTGGCAGGGCAGTGCTGCCTATCCCTATTCAGCTAACTCCCCATACCCAAAAAAATGGAAAAAAAAAAAAAGGCTTACTATGTGGGCAACTTCATAGAAGATAAAGCATCAGAAAACATGGATTCCAAGTTCTGAAAAATAGAAGAGAAGAACAGGGATGGGATGCTCATCACCAGCATATCGCTACTCACTACTTTGTCAAGAGGATGATTACCTAACCTGATCAATGGTCCTCTAGTATGATCAACGTAAAAGGTAGTAATGCAGCAACAAGGCTCCAAAAATTTTATCAATAAAACATTGGGGTTTCATGGATTTCATTCTGATTCCCAGGAATTAAGATCAAATATTTTTATGGAAGAACCACTAATAAATGCCACTTTCGGTGAGAGAGATTGCACAATGATGACGTACTGAAAAATTAAATCCTTCATCAGATACTCAAAAGTGTTTCCTTTTTCAACTCTTGTCATTTCCTCTTTCAGTGCGGAGAAACTACATTCAGGATCAAATTTTCTTCGTGTTTTCAACCTCCTGGTGATATTCCTTGATTCCTGATGACCATAAACTATTGATCCGACATTGCAGCTTCCCTTCAGATGCAAAACCTCATACACTACTTTTTCACCTTTAATTATTGGAAAAAAAATAATTCTGCAACTCATGGAAGACACCAGTCTAAGATCCTAAAAATTATCTGCGAGGTAAGACTTAAACGAAGTCCTCAATTCTCTACCCGAGAGAAAATTTCAAGCGTATGAGCGTAATTCGTTCATCAGAGCTTAGCTACTTATCAGGACGAGAGAAGAAAAGAAAGAAATCGGTACCTCCTGCAATTCCGCGGAGCTTGGGAATGCGACGGTAGAGCGGCATCTGCCCGCCCTCGAAACCCCTCCGCACTCCAGGACCAGACCGCGACTTCTGCCCCCTCATTCCGAACCCGCAGCTACCTCCCTGCCCAGCGGCATATCCTCTCCCCTTTCGCTTGCCCTTCTTCCGAGACCCGGGCTGTGGACCTAGATTGTCGAGTCTGAAACGCCCAGTGGAAGAAGACGAGGATGCTGCAGGTGAGGAAGCCGCGGCAGAGACTCTGAACGGTACGACAGGCCTCCTCTGCGCCAGCCGAAGTTGATTTGAAGCTGAGGAAGGGAACAGAGACAAGTAGCCAGGTCGGAGGCGGACCACGTTCCCCTGCGTCAGAACGAAATTGAGAATGTGAAGAGGGGGAAGCTGAGGACAAAGTGAAAGAAAGGAGCACTGTAATGTGGGTAGCTGGAGAAAAGACTGCACCTTGAACTGCGACGAAGGAACCCGCGGAGAAGCGGTGGCAGGGGAGGCGGCGGAGAGGGAGAGGAGGGCGGCGGCCATTGCGCCGAGCAGCGGAGGAAATAAGCTCGGCTGCGATGAGGATGGGATAAGAAAAGGTCCTCTGCTATGGATTGCCGCGAGAGCCAGTTCTTACAGAACAGTACGTAGAGAGATCTATCAGTGACCAATCACAGATTGCCACAAAAGATTTAGGGGGTGAGTGGGACATGGTGGGGGGTGTCCTGGGTGGGCAAGTCCAAGGCCCCATACAGCCTACCTTTTTTCAGAGCATAACCCTCCAGCGCTGGTCCAAAATCTGAGGCACTGTGAATTCAGGCCGGAGAAAGTGAGAATATTTTCTTGCTCCCATGTATCCGTTACGTGATCGTCTTCATGTTACTCTCTCTCTCTCTCTCTCTCTCTCTCTCTCTCTCTCTCTCTTTGCGTGTGGTAAGTGCATATGAGTTCAGTAAGGGTTCATCTCCACAAGTTAATTGTCCAGATTTCTGCACACAGTCTCCATTAAATGACATAACATATTTCTGCCAAATTCTCAAAAAAAAAAAAATTAATGTTAAAGTTCACAAATTATAATGCGTACTTAAGCATCCAATATATTAAATAATAATAATAATTATTATTATTACTATTCAATAATATTTGTGACCATACATAATGACACTTCCCATTGTAAGAGCTAGAAATCTTAATTAGAAGGGGGACCCCGTATAAGTAAATTGGCGTATGCTGACAATATTATATTCATAGTATGAATAGAGAGTTGAACTCAATAAACCTTTGAGCAGGATTTTGTATGTGAGTAAAATTTACAAGCTTTTCAAAAAAAGATACCCTCTATTGGTTCAAAGTAGAAAGCTGTAAGAGGAACCAAAAAGGGGAATGAATGTCTTTTTATATGATATAAAGGTTTTCATATTGAGTTTTCTCCCACACAATCAAGTATGTTCTCTTCAAACCACAAACAAGTACCTATGTTTATGATAATTTTGAACTATCTACGTTCTACTATTCCAAGGGCATGGCCCTTCAATTTCACAAACAATCAATTGGTACTTTGAATGAACATCAATGCATCATCTCACCTCTAACTTTAGATTCACAATTTTAAATTTGTCCAAGTGCACCTGCAATTGGTGATAATCGTCTAAGACTACAAACTCTTTCCCAATAATTATTTAAAAAAAAAAAAGAGTTTGCAACATCGATTTTATTGCTTCTTTGACCAAGGAGTGTAGATCTTAATATTGGAAGCATGGCATAGTGGTCCATGCAACATAAAATCCATTGCTAATTATCTCATAAATCTATGAATGGTAAGGCTTGGGGATGGAAAAATGGATGTAGATGTTAATATTTGTATATGTTCTTCATTTTTCACTTCTTAGAGCTTACAATAGTTGAAAAATGGTCACTCAAATCCATTTCAATGACTAATTGTAAACATGATGACTATTTCACAAATTACTAGAATGCTTGCCGTTTTCTATTTGGTGGATCTTGTGCATCAATTTTATTAAATATTTCAATGGTTAATAAATATTTAAAATATATATTCACATAAAATATTTGTATAAATATACCCCAAAAATTACCCTTGTCTCTTTCACTAGTAGAACACAATTAGCTCCAAATAAATCACCTACGCCAAACCTTTTATTTTGCTTATAATAGAACCCTTGTCTCTTCACTTATAATATGCCTAAATATAAGTAAAAAAATGAAATTTTGCTTATGTGTGTTTCTATTTTAAGAATATCTTGGAATGAGTCTTTACAATGTCATTTGTCTTGTTAAAAATGTATACCATTACGTATGTGACATGTTAAGCATGATCAATCTATTATTTGAATGAAATTTACATTTTTCATATTTGAGGGGCTTTTTCCTAGATAATTCGTGACTGTTTCCTTAAAACATTTAAAACGAAGGGGTCAAGTCAATTAATCCATTGATATTTTTATTGAGAATGTGATTTGTATTAGTACCAATCAATATTTTTCCAATTAACTCAAAACTTGCTACAAAACATGAATTAAATGATATCCCTTGGTTGTATAATTTGATTATTCTTCTAATTTTTTTTAAACTTATTTATTCAATTGATCTTTAACTATGTTCATAATGATTTTTATCTAGATTAACAATGATATATTTGAAAAAATATACATTTTCTCCACATATTATGATATAAGTGCAATAATGAGAAACAAATTACATTAATGTTTAAATTTATATATTTAAAATAACATTGTATCCACTAACATGGCATGTTAAACCATAGGTAATAATTACCTATTCAAGCTTCTTTAGCATCATTTATGCTTTTGTTTTTTCTTATATTTTTTTATGTTAAATAATTCTCAGATTTCTTGAAACTACTCAAATATTTTATTTTATTTGAGTAAAGTAGTCCATTGCCATACATGTTACATTAAAGAAGTATTGTAGTGCTCAATTTTCTATGTTAATGCTTATCATCTGCGATCACTTACCTTGTTGGATGGTGTTCTACAATATCCTTGAAATATAAAGAAATCCATTTAAAGCAAGCTGGAAAATTAAAAAGGATTACCATACTTTTGATTTCTTTCTTGGTTTATGTCTCTCTTTTTATTAGTCTGTGAACATAATTTTTATAAAATTAGAGGTCCTTCTGAGCCATCATTGGGTGAATGAAAAGATTAATTATATTAGTAAATGACACATGAATTATGGTTAAGATGCATAAACATTCTCTTCACAGTGTTATTAATTAATTAATTTTCTTATCTAAGTATTAATTAATGAAAAAAAGACCATTGAGATTAGCACACAACTTGAATATTACACCATTATTGGAAACTCATTATTGTATTTATTTTATTTATAAAAAAAGGAAATAATTAACTCATTGTTAGTGTATGACAAACCCAAGTAATGAGATGAAAACTTTCCTTTCCAGGCCTACTTCTCAAGTCTACTCACCTTGACAAAATTACAAATAACTTCTCAACCACTATCTAACTGTTATCAGGTCCAGCCAAACCTTGGCTAATGCATCTTTATTGTCATTGAGTGTGGGCTAGAGTCAGCTGGCAAGCGAGAGAGAGAGAGTAAATGCCCAGTAGACAGTTAGGGGACAGCCACACACGGCAATGAAAACACTCCAACCAAGATCTGAGGTGTGGCCGAGTAGGGATTGATTTTCTCTTAAACTTATCTTTGAGTCTTATTCGGCCTTTTGATCCCAATACTCTTACTATGGTAAAGTATTACATTATTTTTAAAGCATTTAGTTCTGGACATCTTGGCTGTCTTTGTATCTATTTGTCACGCCAAATGGGTTATAGAAAGAGATTGTCTTGAACACAAGCCGTCTATATGTGGTACAAGTGTCTGGCTTCCTCATAGCACACCCAAGCCTTCACTCACTAGAGAAGGATTCCCTTGGAGAAACGATCAACTGAAAGATTGATTCGCACGGATTCAATGACCCATTTATGGGTTGAGCAGTCCATGAAGTGGACGATACAGGTGGAAGAAAGGGAAACTATTCAGCATGTTTCTCAAGGTTCTTGCTGGCACAATTACTAAGGTGACTGCGAGGTGCCTATAAATAAAGGGTCACCTCCTCTCATTTAGAGCAACATGGAGTAACCTCCCCTTTTACCCTTGTTCCACCATAGAGAGAGAGTGTTTGAGAGAAAGCTTCTAAAGAACATCTCTCAGGTTGGTGAGTACATCAGAGAGCCAAGATTAAGGATTCATTCTTTGAGATCTTAAAAGGGTCAAGATTAGAGATTTATTCTCTTGGTTCTTTGAGAAGTGATTCTCTTGTACTACTTTTTACATCTAGTAGAGTTTTCGTCGTCGCCTGTAAACATAAGAGGCCAACCTCCAAATTACGTAAAATCCTTGTGTCGGTACTCTTGTTGTGAATTGTTCTTTCTTCTACCTTACTTCACGTCGTGAGTATTGATTTCGCTGAAGTCCATATAAAACGTCTTACTCTAACAAAAACCAAGCTCCCTAGAACATATGAAGGAAGATGACAAACCATCTCAAGAACACAAATATTTTCATCCACCTTATTTATTTCCTCACCCTCTTCAATCAATCTTTGAATTATCTAGTCCTTTCCTCACCTTTTAGGTACGACTCATTGACTTAGATTCTTCAGTCGTTAATAGTTCATAGAAACAAGGGATCCCCCCCCCCGGTGAGTTCTTCAGTCGTTAATAGTGCTTTCCTGTCTTCTGAAACGGGAATGAAAGTCCCCGGCTCTGCGATTGATGAAATCCTGTCGATCGAGTATTTAAACGGGGCGGTTCGTAGACCTGAGTTTGCATGGAGATGCTGAGACAGGTAGAGACTCAGGGAGCAGCCTGTTTCCGCTGGATTTCCCCGGAGAAATTTATCCAAGCGTCTTGTGTGAAAATAAGTGTTGAGAAGATTTCAGGACCAGGAACTCACTTCTGCCACATAACATCCCGGGGAGATAGATGAGAAGAGAGAGAGAGAGAGAGAGAGAGAGAGATGATAGATCATCGCGACAGATGTTCCTGGAGGCGTGGCCGGGGGAGGGTATCCATGTATAGTAGACGGCTCTTCACGCTGTAAAATTATGGCTTTGATCTTATTCGAAATGTTCAAGGTGATCATCAGAGCCTCTAGAGAAAGTAGAGAGAAAGCAGATGGAGCGAGCGAGCGAGAGAGATGATATATCATCGACAAGAATGGCCTTGGTGTCGTGCCGGGGGGGGGGGGGGTACCTGTGATACAAGGAGGTAGTTTGGTTGCTGCAAAATTATGACATCGAATCTCATTGAATGTGTTCGGAATGATCACCAGAGTCCTAGAGAGAGGCGCAGAGGGAGTCGTCAGTGCTACTATTAGTCTTTATTTCGTCCATCCAAGAAAGTACCGGCACATAAGAGAGTGCTCTTCACTTTGCCTGGGTAAACCAAAAAAACCCAACATACAGAACGCAAGAAGAAGAAGAAGAAGAAGAAGAATAGAGCCTTCGCGGATCCTAACTCTTCGTTTTGTTCGTCATCGTCCGTCGCCAAGAGGGAAGTCCGTCGGAAGGAGATGGAGACGGCGACGGTTCGTCGCTGTCGTCGCCAGCACCGTCCGGATTTCAGAAAGCAAAAGCGGGCTGTGGTGCAACTCCGGCGGGGGCACCGGCGGCGCCGCCAAAGGAGGCGCTCTTCACGAACCGGCCCTTCATGCGGGGCCTCTTCTCGGCGTTGAGCTTCCTCACCTCGTACCGTATCTTCTTTGAGAACAGCCTCGTCCTCCTCTTTTCCCTGTACCTCGACACCCTCGCCTCTCTTCCGCCGTCGCCGGCCGCCCCCTGAGCGCCGCCCATGCCGCCGCCGCCCGGCCCGCCGTCCCCTCCCCCGCTCATCTCCCCGCCGTAGGCCAATCCGGGCGCCTCCCCCCACATCCCCTGTAACACCAATTCATAATTCAGTAAAAATAACTCCAAAGGATCGATTGAATCACACATTGGATGGAGAATTGGAATCCGTCACTACCAGGAGAGTGTTTTCTCACCATGAAGTCTGGCAAGCACTCGTCAGGGTTGATCTGGGGCCGCGCCCCGTTTGTCCACGGCGAGGAGCATCCCTGCGTAGACGACCACGCGTCGATGACTCCCTCGTAGTCTAGCCTCAGCGTGATCCTCCTCTTCACCGACGCACCCATCGCTGGCGGCATCGCCAGCTTTGCCGGCGTCGGAGCCGGAGAGCCGCATTCGAAATTCAGATCGAGGGTCTCCCCATTTGGGTCGTCGCCGTCGGAAGTCTCCAGTTTCACGTACCCGCCGCCGCCAAAGCAGCAGTCGGCGCCGTCGCCGCCGGCTTCCATCAGCCCCAGCCCTTCCATGCTGAAAGCATCCTCGTCGAGGACGCGACCTAGCAGACTCTCCACGTCGGCTGAGAATTCCCCTATGTCAACGTCGGAGGGGGAGAAACCGGGCAGTGCGTTGACGAACCCCCCCGGCGAAGAGGCGTATTTTGGAGACGGGTTCATCGCCGGCTTGGCTTCCCCGGAGGACGTGGCGGCGCTATCGTCGGAGACGTGGCTGGAGCAGAACTCGGCGAGAACTGGGTCGAAGATGGGGACGCGATACAGAAGCTGCTCCTCCTCCTCCTCCTCTCCCTCCTCCTCCGCGGTCTCGTCGAGGGAGGTGGCCTCGAAATCGGGCACCAGCGGCTCTGACTTGGCGGCCGCCGGCGCCATCGCTGTGTGCCGAGCTCGCGGGGTTCTGGCCTTCCGCTTGAAGCCCTGGTGCCATGAAGGGGCGGTGGGCAACGCCGCCTGCTTGAAGGGAGGGAGCGGGGAAGAGGAAGAGGCGGTCTTGAGGCGGACCCTCTCGTGCCGGCGTGCGAGGGGGTTAGCGGAGTGGACCAAGGTATCGCAGCTCTGGCAGAGGAAGGCGTCGTCGGCGGCACAGTACCAGCGCGCGCGGCGGCGGAGGCAGCTGTCGCAGGCGCGGGCCGTCTTGCCGCCCACCGCGTTGGCCGACCTCTTCTCCGATAGGGTCGTCATCGAAGCTCGAGAGGAGCCGTAGAGCACCACCGATCAGAAGAGCAAGTAAGATCTAGAGAGAGAGAGAGAGAAAGAGAGGGGGGGAGGAGTTGTATGTAAGGGAGTCACTTTTGCTGCTGGTAAGACCGCTGTACAAGAAGCCAGCCGAAGGGTGCTGGCATAGGCCAGGCCTGTGTGGGAAAGGTAGACAGGAGAGCTTCGCCGGAGAGCTAACGGCTACAGAAAAATATCGCAGCCTTGTTTATATGTATAGCCGAAGGGCGAAGGGAGAGAAGGAACGAATTGGAAGAGAAGAGTGGAGAGAGAGAGAGAGCGAGAGAGAGAGAGAGAGAGAGAGAGAGAGAGAGAGAGAGAGAGAGAGCGAGAGCGAGAGAGAGAGAGAGAGCGAGGGAGAGAGAGAGAGAGAGAGAGAGAGCGAGAGAGAGAGAACGAGAGAGAGAGAGAGCGAGAGTGAGAGGGAGAGTGGGGAAATGCCAGGGAAAATTATGCACCCGCGAGGCCCACCAGGATGCGCTTTTGGGTGGGGGTCTCCTGGCCTTTGCGCTTTTGCATTGATCAAGAGACTACCATGATGTAGGGTAGAGAGAGAGAGAGAGAGAGAGATGGGAACGCCCGTGTGACGAGGGCACAGAGAGAGAGGTAGAGAGAGAGAAAGAGAGAGAGGTAGGAGGGGGGGTGGACCGCAGCAGGTGGAGGTCCTTCGGGTCCTGCGGGAAGCCTTATCTCGACTCCCATTGGAGGATGGAAGCTAGTCATCCAGTTCCTCCGAATCTCATTGGACGATCCTTCCATACTTGGGATTTCCAATGGGCCCCACTTGGCCCCTCTCGCTTTCCCTGTGGGAACGAGCCTTGTGGGCCCCTGTGGGCCACCCCCGCCTATGCTTGCGCCCCCCCCCTCCCCCAGAGTCTCGATCTCATCTATTCGAAAATTTCCCATTTTTTTCCCTAAAAAGTGCCCCAACTTCTATTTTTTCCAATTTTCATCACGGAATTTAGCTGCCTGCCCTTATCCTCAATAAGGCAAGTGACGTCATATTCAATAAATAAATATTTCCTACTTTTTTATTTAATTTAAGTTTGTTGGTATGCACATGATGGCAATATGTTACAATTTACGTCTTTATAGGCCAAGATTGCTATGATAATGATGGAAGCAACTTGAAGAACGGTCAAGATGCAGCTCCACCCATCCAACGATCACGATAATCTAATTCTGATGATCCCCCCCCCCCCAATCAGTCAATCCAACATCCTTAATCATGATCACATGGTAATATATATATAATTAAGACTAATTTTTGACTTATTGGAAGGCTTTTATGTCATCAAGAGGTCCACTTGATAACTAGATACACGATAATTAACGTATTTAATAATTAGATTAATGTGGAATTTTAATTTTCAAATAAAAAATAACCACTATTTTTATCAAATTTAGCCACACAGTTTTAGTTTTTGCTTTCTTGCAAACGTGATATAATATTTCAATAATTTCTCATGTCTAGAATGTTGTTATTCATCAATATATTATAATCTTATAATAATAATAATAATAATATATTCGTACCCCTTGAAAGGGACCAGAATGTGTGTAACAAACTTTATTGTTTGGATAATATCTCTACAAAATTAATCAACTTACTTTAATGACGACTATAGAGTTGGTATTTATAATATTCCAATTAAAAATATATATTTAAAATGTTAAGTATAGTAATGGGATTAGATGTATGGATACCCCTCTACGTTGTTGGGATTAAATTATTATTACTGTTTATTAATATAATATTTTTGTTGAAAATGAGACACGAGTGGAGCGGGTTACCGCTTTTTTTGTGACCTGTTACCCGTGGGTCAGGGAGGTAATCGTAAAATTCCACACGCGACAAAAAGTAAAAATAATTACAAGAAAAGTGAAATCAGTTGCCCTGGCGAGCTGCTTCACACGTGTATCCACGTGTCGGGGGGGACCTGTTTGGTGCCATGATGGGGACCACCCGATGATTGACGCGTGGCAGACAACCCCCCATGCAAACTCCAGGTGAGCCCCCGGCAAGGAGACGCCGCAGAGTGGGTACGTGGCCGTTTCTCACGGCGTGGAAATTCCCTCGGCTTCTCCGCTTACTCTGGCTGGTCTTGCTACGCCATGAAAATTCTCAGGGACTACCAGTTTCTGGCGGCACTTCTTCTGTTCTTATCCTGGACCAGCACGGCCGATCTGGCCGTCAGCCGAGTACTCGATGCGATAAAAGGATTACGAGGAACTTTGGAGCCCTATCTTCCCCCCGCCTCTCTCTCTCTCTCTAGGCTCCGCGTCCCAGTGCCAGTTGGGGCAGGAACAAGTTGGGCGGAAGGGGGGGTGGGCATGAGAGGTATCAGGGCAATTGTCGGAAATGACGGAGTCTGTGAGGAAGGGACAAGAAGGTCTCCCTCGTGCTCACCCTGCCCATAACGTGTCCACGGCTGCATGCACCCTCAGATGCCGAGTTTCAAATTCACCCGCCGCCTCCGTTTCACAGATACCACGCGGGTCTTTTTAATATACTTCCCCTGGACACGCCGTGATTGGTTCTCGGTTGGTTTTGTCGGAGGAAGGGTCGTCGCAATCCTCTCTCTCTCTCTCTCTCTATACGTCGGTATGTTCGAAGTCTACCTCCGAGTTGCGGGTTTCATTACGCCTTTAATTTGGACGAAAATCAACGATGAATGGTGGAATTTCGAATCTCGTTCCTGTCCACTGAGCCGGATTTCTTCAGGATTCAATATCTTTAGATCTTTAGATATGATGGGCTCCGGCAGGGTATAAAATATCTTTAAATCTTTTCGTTCTCACAGACTTGCATATATAACCGGGTAGAGAGACAGAGAGACAGAGAGAGAGAGGATAGGCACGGGCCAGCAAGAAACAAGGGACCATGAGTAGATATTTTCCGCAGTATCTTGCAATCATCGGAGATATTTCCCTCAGGACGAAGCAAAGCTCAAACTGTTGTTCCACGACTAATTCAGAGTTAAGTCAACCTCCAAATCTCAACGACAACACGGACTTGGAGGGTCGGGGGATCAAACCAGGTTAGGGATGACCGATCAGTGCGGCAGAACCGTAATCGAACATCTGAAGACGACCGATCCCTTTCGTTCTGTCTCTGTTGACCCGCTTCGCCGATTATCATCAGCGATCGAGATTTGCGTAATAATCAAGTATTAGTGGGTCCAGAGCTTGGGGATCGGAGGGGGTGCTTAGCTGACGGAAGAGGCGAGCTTTATCCGGTTCTCACGGTTCGTAGTATCCGATGGGCTGCTCACATGGGAGATGCCATCGTCTTTGGCTCATTCTACAATATATTAATCATATTTGCGGATGATGAAACTATGTCGATGGGGCTGGCTCCCACGGGAAGGGGGATTCTTGAGATTATTTACGCGATTTGGAGTGAAGAGCCGGCTCATGATTGGCCGACCTGATTGCCCATCTTAACGCCTCACCAAACGAGATTGTAATGGTTGCAAGTCCCATTCGTCTGATCTCAGCAATCTACTTTACATTATCCGACTAATCCTGGCCCCTGCCCGGAAGCCCGGAAGCCCGGCTAGTTCTCCCTCTCTCTCTCTCTCTCTCTCTCTCTCTCTCTCTCTCTCGTAGGCGTATAGGGGGTTACTTTGGCGGGCTTTCAGGGTCTTGTTCCTGAAGAGGAGGAGAAAACATACCTAATCATGGCATTATATTACTGAGCCATCGGAAGAAGTGGTCTCATCGCGAATCACCGGCCTGGGACGTAGCAATAATTCACGGCCAACCGTATCTCTCGACGAGACCCTCCTCGAGATTCCCCTCATCATCTCTCCTCGCTGGAGAACAAACGTCCCCTTTGTTTCACTCGGATACACACGGGTCACAGTCAACCTCTCTCTCTCTCTCTCTCAGAGTTCCTTCCACACGAGAGGATGTAATTACGTTGAGCTGAATTTGCTGCCGGATGAGGACATGAGCATCAATATCTAGGTATGGTTGAGAATTATGCGCCACAGACCAATTGTACGATTGTTGGATGCCCTCGACGTTGATTGATTATTGATGGCGCCGTAAATACCGGGGCTTCCTGGGCTCCTCCCCGTCAAGTGATCCTCGTCAAGAGCGAGAGCGAGAGAGAGAGAGAGAGGATAGACGAATTCAGGCGCCTCCAAAAGCTTCATATTCGGGAGTTTTGGTCTCATTAGAGTTGAAGGCGCAGAGGGCGAAAGGTTTCTGGGCGTCCACGTAGTCGCCCTTCCTGTGGCGCCGAATACGCAGTGGCAGTGGACGGGAGAAAGGGACCCGGCCTTCCTGTTCCGACCGGGGGGCCCACCCTCGTGCAACAAGGCAGGGCCACGTCGTCGTCATTCCTCTGAGTTGCACATTTCTTTATTGGTAAACAGATCCGTAAATTTTGTTTTGGGAACTGTGCCCTTTGACCGAAACCGCCACCTGGACGCCTCCGTGGCGCGCTGAGGTGGTGACCAGAGTCCTCTGCAGACGTGGTCAGAGAGCTCTGACTCTGATGACGTGGGCACACGTTTCTGGAGATAGCTTGTGTTTTTGGTCAAGATTGCCACCTCGGCGCGTTTGTGGCGCTCCAACGTGGCAAATCTCTCTCCCCCGTCAGCACCAGTAAGGTTGTCTTCCGACCCAAAATTTCTGAACTTGCTCATAAGAATAAGGGGGAATTCGCCACCACAGCGTTCTCCTTGGCATGCCAGGTGGCGAATCGTTGTTCCACGGGGGCGTGGAGGTGGCAGTCCTACTCAGAAGGTGATAGTTTCCCAAAACCAAAACGATTACTGGGTCCATTTCCCCAATTAAGATCTCCAACGTGTCTTGTTTGCAAAAAACGTCGATAGCAAATAACCCACGGGACCTCTGATGGGTACCATAATATATGACATGTCGGAGAGAGAGAGAGAGAGAGAGAGAGGGAGAGAGAGGGAGAACGAGAGGGAGAGGGGGAGAGAGAGAGAGTGAGAGAGAGAGAGAGAGAGAGGAGACAAAGGGGAGGAATGTCAGCATCTCCCGCCCTCTCGACTGTTGTCGGCATCGGAGCGAATTCCAGGACCCGATCTTGGCCGAGATCGCCCCCACAGCGGTCTCGTCTCTATCTGCTCTTCTGGGGGCGCCCATGGACTCGTCTTCCCCTGCTGGACGCTCTAATTTAACCGAATGGATAATGGGAGAAGTCCTTCGTGGGCTCCGTAATCTCTGGTCACGTCGGCTGTGGCGCATGCATGGTTGTGGCAGCGACGGGCTCCACGCCGCTCCCTTCCCTTGCGGTGGCGATCCGGCCACGCCGAGACAAACATGTTCAGCCAGATTGGCCCTCTGTCGCACAGAAATTGTGAACCATCCTCTCTCTCTCGCTCTCACTCTCTCTCTATCTCTATCTCTCTCGCTTTTTCGTATGGGGACGAGGAGGGTTTAGGCTATTTTAAGCGGAGACGTGCCCAGCTGATGGTGGGAGAGGTTTCTAGGAGGGAGCTCTCTGTCTCAAAGCCACAATTTCCTCCGTGAAGCCGGAGAATCTCCGGCCACAGATTTCAGCCGGAGCTAAGAGCCACCATTCAGCGGGGAGGCCGGAGCCTCTCTCTCTGTCCGTTCTTTCCTTCTTCACGTTGGTTGTTGCAGTCGTCGCATAGATGGATAGAGAGAGAGAGACAGAGAGGGAGAGAAGCCACCCGCCGGCGATGACAACGCGTGCGCTGACTCTTCCACCTGCAGGACTCCGGACATGGACGTGGAGAAATAATGATCTTCCTCTCTCTTAGAGAGAGAATCAGCCCCTTCATGTGATTGGGTTTCCACAGTTTTTAATCATCTTCAGATCAATTAATTTTTAATGAGTCCCCGGGCCTGGCCGGGGCCAGGTTCGGGTTGAGGCCCGAAAAATAGTCTTCGGACCGAGCAAAAGAATGGCTCCTGGGGTGAGGGTGAGGGTGAGGGTGAGGGTGAGGGTGAGGATGAGCCTGAAACGGGCCTCGGGCTTCCAGACCAAACCCTCTCCAAGCCCAGGCCCGACTCACCCCTTTTCAAGATTGTGGGTCCCAAAATTTTGCAAGACCCAAAGGCCCGGGCCTCGGGCCCACCTGGAACATCGAAGCACCGCTCAATTCATATTTAAACAGTTCTTCTCGTACGGGCCATTTTTACTAATTTAATATGATTCCTATATTTTCCTTTTTTATTATCCACTTGTCACCCCGAATAAAAAATATTTGAGGGACATGTTGGGCATCATTAGAATAATCGCCGTCAGGAAAAAGCTGATTGGGAATTACTAAAGTATGTGCATTGTTTGTGGGTGAGGGAGGAGAGAGGAGAGAGAGGGGGCCTTGCAAGACGCTCTCTTCTCTCTAAGATATTGGATCATGATCTATTGATGAGGACGATTCCTTACAACAAGTCAACGGAAGGTAGAGGTGGGGGGGGGGGAATTATCACGATTTAAATAAAAAAAATAATGGTAATAAACTATTAATCTAGAATCCAAATTTGGGTAACTTCATTTGTGGATAAATTAGTACTTTATTAAATAAAATAGTCAAATGGGTCAGATAATTAAGCTACTCTAACCCGATCTTAGCCAGATAATTAAGCTTCAAACTTCGAGTCAAATGGGTCAGTCTGCTCTTTTTCCCTCACTCACCCCCCACCCACCCCCCACCCACGTCTCTCTCTCTCTCTCTCTCTCTTCCCTCGAGGTGACGACGCCAGACCACAATAGGGTTAATAGAATCCAAGCTTCAGAAGGGTTTGTCGGGCCGAATCGAGTTCGAGCTTATTGGGAGGAGGAACTCGAACGGACTCGGGCCCAGACAGACAGGACCCGATCCATTTAGACAGCAATAATTTTCTCGAGCTGGGTCACACTTTTTTTTCCAAAATAGGCAAGGATCTGGGCTGGTGGAATATTTTATTATTATTCACTCTGCTTATTAGGATTGTCCGTAGCGATGAACTGGCGGGACAAAACTATCCAGAGGATAAGCGTTGCAATTTGTGGGGCCCATTACTTGTGCACGTGTGGCATGGAGAGTGAGACAGGTCATCTGGGTACGGCGGCGGCTGCGGACGACCGTTAAAAGGGCGAGCTGGGACGTTATTGCCCTCCGACCGCTTTCATTTCTACGCAGACCAGACATGAACGGACGGCAAATATTTCCAAAGCTGGTTTTTGGGCTACTTATCGTACGAAAATTATCAGAGAAACGAGACAAATTTGGTAAAATCATGGGAAGCTAAGTTAAGAGAGTCCGATTAGCTGCTAAATGTCACAGATTTAGGCCACCAACGGGGGGAGGAAGGTCAATGTCGCGCGTGACTTTCCTGTTGGGAGCCGCCGCCCGGCGTTGACGGGGTCCGATTGTGGCGCAGAAGGGCTCCACGCCGCGCGCCCCGCCGGGCACACGGTGGTCAATCCGCCACGCCTCTGCTTCTCTTCTCTTTTTTGACGTGGCGCCTGTTCCTCGAAAGCTCTCAACCAATCTCTCTCTCTCTCTACCCCCTTCTCTGTCTTTCTCTCTCAGAAGGCAGTAAAGAAAGGATCATTGGGCTGTCCTCTCGGCTCAATGAGAGCTTGAGAGAGAGAGAGAGAAGCGACACTAAATTCAGTGCCCAGCAGGTCAGAGGAGACGACTACGAAGAAGACAAGGGTCTAAACCCGGAATCAAAATATTGAAAAAAAAAAAACCCTGGCATGGCGTGTTCAACCCAACCAACCATTTACATCCCTGACCACTCCCCGGTTCATCTTGGGCTCTCTTCCACCCCTGAAAACATTGGCCAAAACATCATCATATATCATACACACACCCATGTTTACGTACAATAATTGTATGTTCTAGAGAGAGAGAGAGAGAGAGAGAGAGAGAGAGAGAGAGGGAGGGTAGCTACGTGGCGAATTGTGAGACGTGGGATCGGGTTATTTCTCGATGCCTTGCTGCAAGTACTGGATCAAGTCGTAGCCGGCGGTGGTCCACTTGTTGTAGGCGTCTCCGCAGGTGCGGATCATGTAGTTAGCCGCCTCACGGTCGCTCATCTCCGGGTGGAATCGCTTCCGGAGGTTGGCGATGGGGTCGCCCCGGCTGAAGCAGGGCAGCCCGCTGTCCACCATCAGCAGCACCGTCGTCAATATGGCGTGCATGTGCCGCCGGGCCGCCAGGTACCCCTTCACGCACAGACTGATCGAACCCAGAAGAAGAAGAAGAAGAAGAAGATTGGGATTAATTCATTACTTGAAATAATAATGATAATGATAAGAATAATTGATCGAGACCAGCTGTTCTATTCGTGGATTATATTAAAACGATGCGGCATTTCATCCAGAACCATTGTGGAGGAGGGAGATAATTGAAATATCGAGGTGAAATCATCCGATACTTAACCAAAGTGACAAGATCAGGTGGGATTCAGTGAGGAAATGAAGCGGGGCTAGAGAGAGAGAGAGAGAGAGAGAGGGGGTTAAGCTTTCCTGACGAATTTATTCCATGTTTCAACCAAAGTGGTGTTCTAGATGCTGCGTAGGGATTCAGTGAGGAAATGAGCAGGTGTTAGAGAGAGAGAGAGAGAGAGAGAGGGGGTTAAGCTTTCCTGACGAATTTATTCCATGTTTCAACCAACGTGGTGTTCTAGATGCTGCGTAGGGATTCAGTGAGGAAATGAGCAGGTGTTAGAGAGAGAGAGAGAGAGAGAGAGAGGGGTTAAAATTGCCAGACGAATTTATTCCATGTTTCGACCAAAGTGTGTTCTAAGTGCTGGGTTGGGGTTCAGTGAGGAAATGAGGAGGGGTTACAGAGAGAGAGAGAGAGAGAGAGAGAGAGAGAGAGGGTTAAGCTTTCCTGACGAATTTATTCCATGTTTCAACCAAAGTGGTGTTCTAGATGCTGAGTTGGGATTCAGTGAGGAAATGAGGAGGGGTTACAGAGAGAGAGAGAGAGAGAGAGAGAGAGGGTTAAACTTGCCTGACGAATTTATTCCACGTTTCGCTCTTCATGGAGCCGGAGGGGTCAAGCAATTGAGTCATCTCATGGCTCAGTTTGAACTGGGCGCTTTCGAACCGCATGTTGCCACCGGGCGATGTCTCCAGTATGAATCCAAAGTCAATATGAACTAGTCTCCCCATACTGTTTGACCATTACCCGGGGTCAATCGCCGCCTGCCAACAAACAATACACCACAACGGGGCCAAAAAGGAGACGAGGAAGAAGCATACTTATCAAAGAGAAGGTTGCCATTGTGCCGGTCCTTGGGCTGCAGCAGAAGGCTGGCGACCGCGTAGCCAGCACTGCTGATGATGAACATCTCCCGGGCAGCTTCGAAGCTCGAAGTGCCGACAGGTCCGTAGTCTTGCTGGAAAATCTCATACAACCCGCCATCAGTGAGCTCGCCCATCTGATTTCTGCTCCGAGTGTTTGGAACGACCTGATGCCGCAGTACAATGAAGCACATTTAGAATCATGGATCTCAGGTAAACCATGCACCAGGATCAGATATTCAGTCTTATATATTACTATACGAGGAATCTAAGTACGAATCCCCTGTATTTTCCTACGAATGGGAGAAGGAATCATTCGAGAGCCGTGACGAATTTTAGTCACTTTTTCTTTGGGGAGCGATGAATCCTCCGCTCTCTCAAATGAAGGTTAAATAAGGTTTTAAACAAAATTAATATTAGATGATAGCCACATATACCGCATATAGCATGCATGTTACCATGTATTTCTCAAATTATGTATCATTCACGCATAGTTAAAGAGAATTATGATGGATACCTATGAATAACCTAATAAATGAAAACATAGTATTACTATGCTAAAATTATAAATAGGGATGCTGAATCAGATTCATATATAACGCCGAGCTGAGATTATTTTGATGCATTGATTCTTCACATGCCCAAATATTCTGAAATTAGTAACCTGAATCTGTACAATATAACGTCAGTTTATACATCAGTCTATATAATCTGAGAGAATCCTCAGCTGCACAAAAAACTAAAGAGTAAAGAGCCTAGGATTTTATTTGAGCTATATTTCACAGCAACGATTGTTTGGGTAAAAATATTTTCCACACATTCCGGAGGTGAATAGATCAAGATAAAAAGGCTTACCTCAATAATGCCCCTCTCAGGTCCGGTGGGCAAAACACCATATGGAAACAGGTAGAGATTTAGACCAACTGCTTCAAATATGTCCCTTAAGAGAGAAATCACCTGAAGTGCAAGCACATCTTGCCTACAATCATCTCCAACCTGAATCAACATAAAGTACAATGTGTATAATCACAGGTGAGGCTGTAGATAAGACGAGAACAACCAAAAAAATTGAGGTAGAAGATACAAAGCAAGAGTGTAGTAAAAACGTGTATTTACGAATATAGTAAAATTTGCCAAAAATTCATCTACCTTATGCATCGGGAAAAAAGTAATATCGACCAGCAGTCTTTCTGGATCAAAAGGTACCCAAATGAACAGTATAATGTTGATCTAAAGCGTCTATAACCGTGAACACAAACCATGATAGAAATCTTAAAAATTTTAGCATTTCATGACATTGAACATACTCGTGAAAACATAAAACACTGATCCTTACTGATAGTCAATGAACAGATCCAAGATCCACAATAACGTTCTCTTATTTTAGTTTCCCTTAACTTATGTTTTCCCTTTTATCCAATCACCTAAACACTGTCATTAACTGATCTCCGAATTTTTCTTAAGCTTTTCTGCATTAGACTCCATTTTTGTGAAATCCCTCCGAGGAATCATTTTTCCTCACTATAATATCCAGGAGATATCCATCCACCTTCCAAATTTTCCGCTTCCCATTTAGATATCACACCTCCCTCCGTTACCTTTCCTCACAAGCTGTAACTCAGATAATGGCATACCTTAAATATGCAGGCTTGTGGCTTTATATCATTTGGATCGCCATCCCTGTCCGTGACATTAAATGTAATCATTATTGGAACTTTAGCAGCCGATTGTAAGGGAATCCCACTGTCCGACTGGATGCTTTTAACAATCTTGTTTGTAGCAGTTGGCAGATACAGGTCTTCACCCTCAACTTTGACCTTTTCAAGTTCCCTGGATATAATTATCACAATCATAAGACTTGGAAGTAAATGAACCTGCTGAGAATTAATGGGAAAAAGGTAATACCTTCTGATAGCCGCTCGGCGTTCTTCTTTAGGTAATGGGAAGAGCACACCAGAAATGGAAGTCACCTTGTCAAAAAATTCGAACTCCCTTTGGAAAAGATCACGTCCCTCAGGACTGAAACCATCTATAATTCTCTGCCTAATGGCAGGGAGCAGTGATTGAAACGCATTGCTCTGAAATAAAGACAAGCAAAAGCCAATATAAGAGAAAGTGGGCAACAATTGTCTCTTAATAACTTGTAGAGTGGTAATTAATGAAGGGCTGACAATAAAATTACTCTTTTTAAAGAACAGTAAACGTACATGCAACAGTGTTGCACAGAGAACCCATGGATCACTTATTTATTTGATGATTTTTTCCACTGGATATCTACCAGAAGATGCAGAAATTTTGTGAAAGTTGACCACGAATGATTTTAGCTGGTATAAAGTAACTAGGGTAAAGTTGGAGAAACGATGCAGATTAAATTGGAGACAAGGTATACAGAGATACTTTGACACGTTTTATTTGTATAAGCCAAGTGAAATGGGAGTGCACTCAGGGAGGTAGGGGTTGGACTGAGCTGGGCTCAGCATTATATGAAGTAGTAGCTTTTTAGGAAAATTAATACTTTTTGATCAATTTTGAGCGCAGCATATATCCTTCAATTTACATTTTGGGTGAGAGTGTTTGAGAGTTTTTAAAGTTTATTGAGATAAGGTGATTATAGATATTATGGACAGCTTTTTCAATTTCTGGAAACAAATTGCCATCCAATGATCAAGACATGATTGATTGATTAATTGATTACATCGTATTCCAACATGAAACGAATGACCATAGCTCTGGAATAGGATGGAAAGTATTCAATACAGACTCTAGATTTGTCATACCTTGGAGAATCACGAGTTATTCCATATAACATTCTTGCGAACGTTGAAGAACCACAAATAATGAAACGCTACCAGAATAAAACTCGAGTAGTATATAGATATTCAAAATGGCAAAAGAAACTCCTGTATTGATCTTGAAAGAGTGACCATAGTTAACTGAAGTTAACTCGATAGAAAAGCACGAATACGGCGCCATTTTAGTCAATAAATGAAAAATCCTTCTAGAGCTTCCTAGAGTGTCAGAAAGAGAAGGCATGAAATTCTAAGCACCTATTTACCATAAGTGTTCGCGTTTTGAGCGATTTTCTCTCAATGTAAAACATTGTAGGAAATAACGTATAATTAGGAGTTTAGTTTTTAGTTGGACCGTTTCCAAGTTTGTTCGTTCGTTTCCTAGTTTGTCGGTTTCCTGGTTGTTAGGTAGTTTCCTTGTTTTATGGCCTGGCACTCGTATATAAAAGCATCTATGATGTGAATACGAGTTGAGTCTTTCCGCTGCATAGCCTCCTCTGGCTTGCACTACCGTTCACGATAAGTATTATTTCCAATTTTGTAATATCACAGTGCGTCTACATGCTGTAAGCTAACTTGGAAGTAAAGATTCTCAAGCTTTTACTTGAATATAATTTTGACTGTCCCTTTACAAATCCAAACAAGATACAGGAAAGGTAAACCGTAAAAATACTAATAAAAAGTCAAGAAGAAGTGACATATGAAAAGAGCGATCACCTTAGCATTAACAGCATCCTTTCCTGATTCTGGGCCGCATGTCTCACCCTATCAAAATACAATATTCGTGACAACAAAAGAAAGCTAGAATAGAAAGAAATATTAAACATATGTGATTATGATGGCCAAAATCAAAGTAGAATCCCTCTATTATTGAATTAACATGACCTAATTTTGGAGATACTCCCCAGAAGCTCAAACATCTGAGTGCATGGCTTTTAGGTGTCATCGATGGCAGCATATTTCGTTGAACAGTTAGAGAAGATCTCATAAACTTAAACTTGTCTTAAGGAGTTTTATTTTACATTTTTTACCAATATTAAAGTCTTGAATGGCTGAGCGAATGGAGAACAGTACATTGTGCTTCACAAGCTTGCCTATGTGAATAAGTAATGACCAATACAATTCTTGTCACGTCCAAAAATTAATTCCCCAACTTCAGGGCTTCGAATAGGAATTAGTTTAGAACTTGAGAGGTAAATACGTTGCGTCTCCAACAAATAAAAGTGCTGGTAACGAATATTCACAAACACCATGAAAGAAATGAATGGCTGCTGGTTTTTGTCACAGAGGTGCAAATGCGAATTTAAGGCAATAAATTTTCAAATTGCACGAAACAGGTTCTCATTTGTCTTTTAGCAAATAGCACAACCTAATGCACATTATCCTAGAAACTAAGTGATTCAAATTATAAATCCATAACTGTAGCTAGGGGTAAGCCTTGCATGGTTTCAATTTTCTGCACCTCTTTATACATGAATCAAGTATACTGCCTTAGAATCACAAGAAACTATGGGTTAGTAATTTAGTGTGGGAACATGTCGAGGAAAGTTGAACCAACTGCAAAACCAGCCATCATTGTCTTCAATAAGGAGGAACTTGATATACATCATGGATACAACAAGACCTACCTGTAGATGCCATATCAAAATGTGTGCAAATACATTGCTCCTTTGAGCAGCTCCAAGCAAATATCCTTCAACTAATTTCTGCAGAATTTTCCAGGAAGACAAATGAATAAAGGTGCTGAGAAATGCAAGAAAAAATTACACCTTCAAGCAATGGAATCAAAGGTAAATGCCGCAAGAATACTGTTAAAAACTGTACAATATTACCTCCTCATCATAACGTAAGGCCTGGACTAGTTGTGGCATAAAAAAGGTGACCCGTTCTGGAGGATAAGACTCCAAAACTCTGAGCACATAAGCCATAACACGCGGGTGACCCTTGAATGGAGGAGTTAGAAACTCTAGAGCAAGTGTAATAGAGCAAGAAGCCCAGTGCGGTAATTGCTGTAGTAACACCGAGTTTTCATCGACTGCCTTTGGAGTTACAAAAAAGGGCAATGCTTCTGGTATAGTACGAATTTCCAATACATGCAACTGCCAAAGACATGTTTTAGAGACTCGTTTCCTTCCCATAATTTTTTTTAATGTATACATAAACAGTAAAGAAAAAAAAGAGGAGAACACGAGCCAAGCCAAATAAGAAGAATCATCATTTCAAATAAAAAGGGAAGAAAATATAGCAAAAGTGTGATTTAGAATTAAATATATTTCAATAAAAATTTATGAATCATCTTTCAGGTAGCTAAAATGAGTTTTGAGAAAATTTTCATGGAATGCAAAACAACTTCTTTGTTATAATTATAACTCTACGCTTTATGACTTGAAGAACTTTGCATTCCATGACGTAGAGTTATAATTTTAAAGGTACCAACTTCTTCAGCAATCCTATCATTTAAATTTTTGCCAGGTGTTTTTAGACTGTTTGCTCACCACTTAGGTTGGCTGATAATGTGGCATTCGGTCATACTCTGTGATGAGTATTCAACGAACATGTAATGTGGCAATCACATTCATATTTTATTTTTTGAATTAATTATTTTATGTATTTTATATATTTATATTTTACAATTACATTTATCTTAAATTATGTATTAAAATATTATTGTAATAAAATAAGCTAGGCCCTCATTTATTTAATTTCTCATGCTTAGACAAATAACATACAGGTGCTGTCTCAAATTTATTTATTTATAAATTTATTCTGAATTACTGTATTTGATATTAAAACTGATCTCACAGTAAAATTTTAAATAATTCTTCATACAACTTTGCAAGAATGATTTAAGATTATTTAATGTGAACATTTATTGGTAGTATTACCACTGTGTGGACACATGTGTACCTCATCATATTGGACACTCGGTTGAAAATTAATCAATATTTCATAATAAAGGTGTAAAATCTGTAAACTTAGGTCTCGTCTAGCACCTTATCTAGTCATTAAGGCAATGGTTCCCCTGCCTTACCTTAGGATTCTCTGTTTTAACCAAAGTCCTGCTTGGCGTCATACATGTTTTCAGGTACATTAAAATAACAAGAATTTCCCAATCCACCCATCTACCTATGCAAGCATCTGTCTTTCAATTACATCTATGTTGACTAGTCAGGCTACCACGTATATCTGCTATTTCTTTTAATACCCAGAAACACCTGGCACGAATAATGCTTAGTCCAGATTACTCGTCTCAACATTGTAACACCAGAGTTTGTGAATAATGTTCATTATTTTTTAATCAAATAAAATACTTCGATAATTAACTTGCCACATCGAAATTGATCATTCAGTGACAAGTTTTCATGAGTTCATCTAAAAAAACAACTCAAGTAACTGTAGCCTATGGAAGAATTCATACTCTATAGAAAATTTATAAATTTTATCAATGGCAACCTACAATCATATTTCAATGGTATCTCAAAGAGGAATCAATATAATTTTGAAGAATTTGAATAAAAAAATTAGCGCAGGAAACATTATGAAATACTCTAATCAATAAACCAAATGTTATGGCCAAGCTGCATACTTGAACCAGTTGTGTTACTTCAGAGATCACTGCAGACACTGTAGGAAACCTGGAAGTTAGTGATATGGCAATCCGAGGATCCACAGAGAATGCAGTTCTCACATAATCAGTCCACTTCTCAGAGCTAATCTTAGTACGGGAAAATGAGCTATCCCTGAAAGAGTCATGCAGGAGTAAGATTTTCAAATCAACATATTTCAATAATATAAAAAAAACATCAAATATAATCAAAACTGTAAAACACAGATGACTAGAAACCTAAAGATAATGGCAAATACTTTGAATTCAAGGGCCGCGCCCAAACTTCAAGTCTGTCAGCTTCATGCTGGCACAGCATTGAAAGCAGATGTTTCCGTTTTCCTCGCCCAATGATATAGTTATCCATTTGGCCCCAAACTGGATGGCATTGATCCATCTGTAAAACACAAGATAAATGGGGGGAGAAGTGAAATGAATATTAACAGAGCATCCAAAACTCTAGTTAGTGCATGACATATCACATAGCTAAAGTAATTGTCTTACCATTTCAGTCAATTCATTTTCACGTCCTCGTCCTTTAAAAGTTGATTCGGTCTGGGGGACATCTGATCGCTCATTCATGAGAGAGACAAATATAGAAACAGATTGTGCCTCACTCAGAGAAAAGCTCTTATCATTTGTCTCGTACCACTCAGGTCCATGAGAAAACCATCCCAATGATGCACTAAAAAGAAAGGGCTACTTGTTATGGACAAAAGACGTGCAAAAAGAACAATACAACTAGCACTGCATAGCGAACTGTGAATTAGGCTCAAGGAAAATGCAGACAAGTGCAAGGAAAGTACGACATCAAGATAGTGGAATATATTAGCAGTACAGAAATCATTAACAAAGACAAACCTGAGACAAACGTGATATCAGCACAAGACAAACCTAACCATGCAACCGTGTTTTAATTTTTTTCACTAAAAGTGTGGATTGTTTATCATATTGGAGGTAGTCTCTATAAAGATCTACAATCACGCTCCATTCAACAAATAAAGAGTTCAAAACACACATGAGAATATCTCTTAGAAATAGAGATTGTAAAATTGGCTAGAAGGAATTATTCTATCAAGTACTCTAACAATTACTCTATCAATTCACTTATCAACATTACTCAAAACGCCATCCCAATCAACAACCCAACAGAACGGTTGCTACAGATGCATAAAAAATACCGAACAATTTTTGTACGTCTAAATATGAAGCAAAGAGGTGGGAATGAATCCATCCAAATGTTATCAAGCAGGAACCGACAAAATACATCAATCAACCAATGAGTGTGGCCACTAGGAATGCGGAAAGGAAGGAAATCAGAAGGCTTACCGATAGACCCGATCTTCTAGTAAATGAAGACCAAGTCTGAAGTTCTGCAAATTGTTCTGAAACTGGCATGAACAGAACTTGAGTCCAAGAAGCATTGCAGTAAAGAAAGTACCAACAGCAGCAGGATGGTGAGAAAAATGAAAAGGTGATTTCATAGTTCCTTGCAACATACGGCCCAGAAGCAGAAGTTGTTCAACACTATCATGACGAATGACCTGTACGTTAAAACAGAAAATGCCAATAACAAACAATAGAATGATGAAAAACGTGAGTTCCAAACAAAATAAATTTTGTCGTATGCAGTAGCTTTACAGTCAAAGTTATTTATTACAGAATGTACACGCTCAGTCAACTAAGTAGACCGGATTTTCCACATCATTGTTATAGCAGAGGCAGACAAGTGATAAGTACAGATCAATGTCTCAATAAACAAATATAGCATACGCATTACTGGTCTACAACTGTATACCCCACTAACATGTAGAGAATCGTGTCATCTCTTTCTCAATTAGTTTTCAAAGCTAAGACCTATGATGCCTACATATAAAATCATCTTCAAGGCATTTGTTTTTTAAAGAGTTTCTATGCAGAAACCACGTTCCATGGATGATATGATACCAAGACCTCAGAGAATCTCTTTCGCCATGTTTACAAATTTGTAGAACGTAAAGGATCTTTGTCCTTCTTTGGCATCATAACTTTTCTCCTTTTTCAGGAGTGCAGCAAAATACTGGCCTAATGAAGGATTTATCAGAAGAACGAAACCACATCCCCTATATCCGACTTGATTATTGTTGGCTATTTCCATAACCCTTGACCACAAGAAACACGGCTAATTACAGATCATATAGCTTGCACTACAAACAAAAATCCATGAGACAAGGAATGACTAGGATGATGACTTCACTTTTCAAGCATAGCACGTAGCCAGGTCATGCAAGATATTGTTTATATACAATTAATGCATCAACACCAGAAAGTTGCATCTACTTCGATAGCACTAGGAGCATAGTTTTGGTTTGTTTATCAGAGTTGAATATGCGTACACATGTATTTTCCCCTCTCCTTTTTGTTTATCAACTTTCAAAAATAAGAAATTAATTTTGCAACACCAGAACGTTCAATATTCGTCATGTAAAATGTGAGAAACTGTTCGAGGATATGTTGGTCGAACAACCATGCAATATGTGTTGTTAAAAATAAAAAACGATGGTAAACATTTACCTCAAAACGGTCAATGAAAAAACCAAGCCACAATCTATGAGCTATTATTCCTTCAACAGGATCTTTCTCAGGCAGTGCTTCAGGCTCCCCAGATATAAGATGTGGTCTCAATTTCGCTGTAGGCCCAGAATACCTCACGTCTGAAGCAAATAAACCACGCTTTGTGTCTATAGTCCATAGCCATGCATCGACAAGCTCTGCAAGGACGAGAGGCCCAAGTTGGGGAGCAGTTGTAACTAACCATGTCCATATAAATATGCCAGTTTCCATGGCATCAGCTGTTGAAATATAGGCAGGACACCAACAAAGAAGCCGCAACAACTGTGAAAAACCTTCTAGGTTCAGCTTGTTATCTTCAACCTGAAAAAATTACAGCACTCAGTACAAAGGAAAGACAATAAGGTCCTGATAATGAGAAGCACGTGTATAAAAAAACACTTACAATATTAGAAAGAAGCAATGCAGTTGCCTGAGAGCAGATTTCACGAAATTCTGTTTTATCCACCTGGCCACCTTTTTCAGCAATGCTAACAAATTGTTGGAGTAGTTGAACAAATTTAATCAAAAGAATCTCATTAAATGATTCTTTCTCAAGGTGGGACTGGGCATGGGCTCTTGTGCCACCTGTGGCAACCCCGTGCACAATGCCTGCTGGTGAACTACCCATCTGGAAGCCCCCAATGGTGTTGTATAGTCTTCTCATTCCAGCAATCTCCCCAGCATAGTTGCACTTGAGGGTTGCACTGGATATAGCAGTTGGCAAAACTTCCAAATTGAAAGTGTCAGTCACCTTTAAATCTGCTCCTGAGGCTGCTGCTGCGGCAGCAATAACTGCAGGAATATTTGCAGTTCTAATGCCCGTCCAACAATCATTCTTCCCAGTAGAAAGATGCAAATCAGAGAGAAGGGAAACAACATCTGCCATTTGTCTTGTCTTCTGCCATGCATTTAGCTTACATAACTTTTCCTGAAAAAAAAAAAAGAACACAGGCAATGGCAGCGTCTCATCAAAAGACATCAAAGATGTTACAAATCGGATTTGATGGAAACAACAAAAATTACATGCTAAATATGTTGAAATTCGTTTTTACATGTTTGAGGATTGAGCAACCGCTAACATCAGTTTTGCACATAAAAATGCCTGGTTTAAAAAATGGTTAAATTGATTTTTTCCTCCCCACAACAAGGTTGAATTGAACTTCCTCATTCTCTCTCCCTCCCTCCTCCCCTTAAAACATGGTTAAACTAATTCTGCACATTCTCAACCCTTACTTATTCCTTCCCAACTCCCTCTCACCCTAGCTCCCTCCAAATGGACTAATTGATTTCTCCTTCTCAAACCATTCCTCTCTGCATCCCTCCCTCATTCAAACTCCATCTCACATGCCATTCTCTCAATTTCTAATAAAAAACATTTATTATGACAAAAAAATTATGATTGGACTGAAAAGAGGCTTGAAATATATATACTGAAATGAAACTAAAAAAGAAGTGCCATAAGAAATGGAACTAAAAATATATATTTAAACATAAATAATATATAACTGTCCGTATTCGCATATACCCAAACAAAATGAAACATTATGCAGAATATATGTTGATACCGTAATAACCACAGTGTGAAGAATATATGCATTACAGAGTATAAATTTAGTAATATGAATTTTTATGATGAAGAACCTGGTGATAAAAGGAGAACTCGACGTCCTAATTTTTCCCAGAGAAAAATGATAACCATCGTATTTTGTCAAAAGGTAATGACGCACATGAAGTTAATTTAAAAAATTACACGCCAATCTTCACATGATATTCAACAACAACGTATTCAAGAGATCCTGACAATAAGTGATTCCCTAGAAGTAATGAGTAACAAGTTTCCCGTGCAAACCTGTAAAAGGCCTTGGGTAGTGCATGGAGCATATGAAAGTGCACCACGTATCCATTCACGAACAATTTTTTGATACAGGCTGCGGGCAGCAGCAACCCAAGTAGGATCATTAACAGACGAAGAAGGTAACTCCGTGTAAACTGAGAAGAGAAGTGAATCCAAGCAGGAAGAGTTCCACAAAACCTGCACAATTGTGGAATCTCTTGGTTAAATTAGTGGATAACGAAATATGAAATTTTTGATAATTAATAAAACAAATATAAACACCACCTGAGGAAATTTATCCTTAAGCTGAGTCAACAAAATAAGGGAGATATCACGAATATGCTCCTCCCTATGAAACAAACTTTCAATGAGAAAACATGCATGAGAGGAAAGAACAGATTCTCTCAGGTCCGCCTCATTGCCAGTTTCAGATATCCTATTTTCCTGGAGATGAACCACAAAAAGAGCATTAACTTTTTTATTATTATTTATACCAAAAGATGCAAACCAGGAAAACATTTGAAAAAAGTCACTGACATTCTATTGTGAAGAAGAGAGAAGATGAGAAAACCATAATAGAAAATGATAAAGAAAATTTAGCATTATAAAATATTATGCGAAATAATATACAAAGCCAATGAAATGAGATAAAGAGAAAGAAGTAAATTATCTTCAAGTTGACGAATTAAGTGGCATGATTATTGCCCCCAAGTCAAATACTGATAAGATGTGATTGAAGAATGCTAACTGGAGACATTATCCAAGTTCAACCTCATCTTTATTTATTAGGTGAAAATAAGGAACAAGATGGGTGAAGTTACTGTGGATACTGCTCATGAGGAAGTAATGACAAATCATTTTTAGAAAAAAAACTGACTACCAAGAAAACTAGTAAGATCAAGCATGATATTATTCTTCTTATTTTATGGACAAAAGGGATCATCAATTCTTATAGAGAACAGAATCATACATGGGTCTCAAAGCTCCTAAGCAGACATAAACATGGATATTCCTGAGCCACTGGCTATCTAACGAGGGTAAGACAACTACGCAGGAAAAAAGGAAGAAATGAACAAAGAAAGAAAAAAAATCCTCCAAATAAAGAAAAGTAATGATCATACACTGGGGGGGAATACCTCCCAATGTCTGTTAGTGAGAGAATGTTGCCGGCACTCAAACTAGACGTGTCACAAACGCATTCTTTCCTGACTTTATAATTTCCCAGCCAAAACCAGCAAATTTCTAAACTTTGCGGCTGAGCCATCCTGAGACTAGCTGATTCTAGAGATCTGGACCGATCGTCTAGATAGGGTTTAAAATGCTTGGCTCAGGCAATTTGCCCAAACCCAATGTTATCTGGATCATCCCTGGGCAATCTAGCCACTAGATCCAATTCCAGGTACCATAATCTAGAGAGTACTGGATATCTTCTAATTTCCACCTGCCACCGTGTTACAGAAATCCCACATCCCTGGACATATCCAACCATAGCGTTCAAATATACTTTAGACCCAATTATCAACCCTTCACCCTCACAGCAACTTAATAAAGAAACCAAATCCTCTTGACATAATAAAAAAAAAAATTAGAAGGAAGAGGTTGTTTCTAATCTAAGCACGTCATTAGGAAGACTACTTTCAAAAAAGGCATAAAAACATTTTCCTGACTACGAGGTTTCCTCACTGCCATTTTCCTAATTGAATGTAAACACCTCCATGTTGTCTACATAATCGTGCTCCCGATGCAATATTAGACATTGAGAAATAGGTTGCTGATCAAACACGTCCTGTATCATGCATGGAACAATACTTGGATAAATTGAGAAAAGAAAACAAAATAAAGATCCAGCACTGTTTTAAACAAGTAACGGCAAGTCCTACAGAAGCTAGTTATAACAAATGCTTACACGTTTGGCAATGAAAGAGTAATAGGATAGCAATGGGGGGAATTTACATGATAATCATAGGAAGACGGAACTTCGCTGATCGCATGTTAAATCATTCATTGGATTATATTGAAAACACAACATGTGCGACACCATGTCTCAGATTCAGAACCAATTACTGAAATCCGTAGTCTCTCCAACATGGTGTTTTATCATTAAAAACACACGATTTTCCGGAAAGCAGCTCTCAGGCGTACGTTTTCGGGAGCTACATATTTTTATTCAAATACTTAAACACTGCTTCACAACGTCATTATGAACCGTATCCCTTTCATTGTTAATGTAAAACATTCATTTCCTGCTATGGCTTCTGAGAGATGATACTTTCATTCAAAAAGAAAAGCTTAGACACCCATTTTCGTAAAAGAGAAATTCTTTTTCCCTCCCAAGTACTTAGCCACGGCCTCCAGTGCGGAAGGTAGTCCAACAGCACATAGCTATAACTACCCCAAAAGATTACTCCACTAATAGTATCATTTCGCCACATAAACCATCAGTTTAAGAAGAAGAAAAACAGCAAACAACAGAGAACTGCCATTATAACAATAGCGTTCGGACTTTTGTTCAGAACCAATCGCTTGTAGTAAAGTTTCTGAGCCAAAAGATCCCATTCCGAGCTACAAAGTCTGTGGTTCAGCCAGTTGTTGGCACAAACTGAAACCATTTTTCAATCCCATCTCATTATTGTTCTGAATAAATGATTTCAACTGACTTTACACTAAGTTTTCCAATTTTTAAACATTTTGAAAGAGATTAGAAAACCATACACGAAACTGACAATGATCAATAGCCCTCCAACATGCATTGTTCATCAACAGGATCCAAACTGTGGTATATGTCTCAACTGTGAAAAAAATCCAGAAATGTTCTTCGACATAACTGTTGAAAATTTGTTCCACACACTGGCATTGATCACGAGTATATCATAAGAGGTGTACACACCACAATAACGGCCAAACAACTCATCCAAGTATAATTCCAACGGTGTTTCACAAAATGGAAGGGATTTTTTTTAATAACCTCATATGATTCAGCATAACTCAGAATAAATCATCCCATATCGAAATCTGAACCCTTGATACCATCCAAATAAATCCCCAACAGTTCACTAATATCATAAATTTATGCTACTAAGGAGACTATTCTTCCTATGTAAACACATATGAACATGGGCTGACATTCCTCGATCAATATACGAAATATGCCATCAAGCACATGCAACCTAATCCCCATCCCAATCATTGAGATTCACAGCATACATGCCCCCTCGCTCCAGAGAGTGATGACTTACGTCATGACCAAGTTGAATGCCTCTAGATCAGCACACACAATTTTCCATAAAAGGTGAAAATAGTCTAGAAAGGAGAGCATTAAAAGATAAAAGGCTGCAGATTTCTCCTCGAATATATTTTCCCACCAAGTATCAAGTAACAAGCTGAATCAAAGATGTCAGATCACCAGATTTATAATCAAAATGTTAAAAAAATTAAGTATGAATAGCAGAATAAGCTAGATGTAAAAAACATGATAAAAGGAACACCCATGAGTGAATAGGGGTACCAGCCATGATACTGCTGTTTCAAAAGCTCTATGGACTATGGCAGTCAAACACTGGCAAACAGCTGGCATCAAATTTGGTGTCCGAAGGTATTCAAACACACAGTTGAAGGCACTCCTCGATGTGAGAGAACCAGTGTCTCCAGAAAGGATGCCACCATTACAACGGAACCGTATGATCTCCAAAAAAGCAACTGCGAGAAGATATGTGGCTTTTACTCCTGCAGATAAAAACTCGATGAAATTCTATTTGTATTGAAAAGATAAAAGGAAAGAATAAGGCAGCGAAACCATAAGAACATGATATTGAACTTGAAATGGATATAGTTTCAATATCACATTTAAAGCAATATTGATTTTATTTTCATCTCTATAAAGTTTCATTGGAACAGGGCTGGTTTTTGTTGTAGAACCACATCCAGAGATGCCTTCAGTTTTCTTTTACAAAGCAAGGCACTTTAAGAGAAGAAAAAAACATCTCTTCAGTAAAGATGTTACTGTCTTCACACCTAATAACATAAAATATATCGCAAAACTAGTATATGCCAAAAAAGAAGAAAGAAAAACCCTCTCCATACATCAATTATAAAAATGATAGCATAGCTCAAAAAAGGACACAATGAGGCTGCCGTTAAGAATGCATCAGTAATGAGTTAAGAATGCTGTTACAGCCGGTACACCTGCACAATCCATTATGAAGTTTAATGCAACCCTATGAAAATTGACAAGCTTCATGGAATGAGTCCTGGAAGTTCATCTAGTTTTTTCCATTCCCAACAAATCATCATAAAGACAAGAGGTACAACCTCAGCCAATCTTTTTATGCTTGTTGTGTGAGGAGCTTTCCCAACAGAGAAATAGATACTATCAGTCCACAACTAAATTCAATCCACAGACTCTTAATAATAACAGCAACGGATATGAGACTTTAACATCCACTTGGTTGGTGGGTCAATCATTGTTGGTCTGGTTCATTCAATCACCCGAGTTGACTGCTACACTTCAGGTCCCCCCTGGTACCTTTTTAAGTTAGATATGGATGTTTAATCTACCCATGGTTCTGTATACTCGAAGGCTATAGTTTAATCCCTTGTTGAGCCATTTTGATGTCTGAAGGTCAGGCTGTACAATAGAAAAAATGTCTTCTTCATGACGTCTACCATACCATCTGCGTTTTATGAAATTTGCTAGAGCACCCTAACCCCAGGAGGGATAAGGGAGCTGAGGAATAAACACAGAGAAGGGAAGCATCATACATTAAAGGAGGCATGGAGAAACGGCATCAAATAGCAGAATGCACCAACAAAATGAAACATGAGGTCAGTTTAAGGTGAGACCTGATATTGTACTCATTCCTGCCACTTCAACTCGGCCTCCTAGTGCTGTTGAAAGAGCAGCTCTTTGCGTAGAAGCAACTTTCTCATTCCCACTACCCCGTCGACTGTCAGGATTATGTAGAGCATTTAATTCCAACTCATCTTCGAGCCATTTCACTGAGCTAACAACCTACAGGGATATTGAACAGCAAAGTAACGTGAGGCCAAAAAAAGATATTATGTCTATGAACAACATAAAAAGCATGATAAATCTCTGTCAGTTAACAAGTGGAATCTTGAAGACCAATCTAGAAGAACACGTGGAATTCCATGTTACAGACATTCAAAAGGACCTGCAACCATCCATAATGTACATGAAACGTTACCTAATCTGACGCAAGTAATTATTCAGCATGCAGTGAAGCTTATTTTTCACACAAGGGAGAGGAAGTAACGAGCACACCATTTATGGAAGTGACTGAAAAACCATCGCACAAATCATAAAAAGTAACATGTAGAAAGATATATTTCTTTTTGAGGAGAAGCCTTGAAGAAAAATATCATCAGGTCATAACCTAGACATCAATGGCCACAGGCACAAACAGAATACATTTTCTTCCTTGTACCAAAGCCCAGCCATTCTGTCAGGTGGTATTGCTATATTTTCCCCCTGCCCATTATCGTCATTCACTTGAACCAGGTTATCAAGCTTCACAAGCAAAGTTCAATGATGGAGACAATGTCAACTTATTCAGCTGTCACTCATTACTGATTAAAGATGCCCCAATCTGCATACGGTATACGGACAATCTGATGTAGCCCAGAGTACACAGAAGCAGGAGAAGCCAAAAACCAGAGGCCCATCCACTCAAGAAATGAGATGTAAAACGAGAAGACTAAAAGGGCCCATCCAGTCAAATCCAATTTGTTGGGCAGAGCTTATTACGTTTTGTCTATGTTTCTTGTTCAGATTCTTCTTTCTATTTCTGTTTTCTGTTTCAATGATGCGCTCAGAATTTATAATGATTATGTTCCAAAATCTGTATCATTCTGAAGACATCCCACTTCCTTTTTAGGTCTACTTTCAGGCCCACACATTGAACCCCAAGGCAGATTGAGTTATTACGAGTTTTTTTTCTCTCTTTTCAGTGTTCCTCTTTGCTTGTGAACTTAAACACCTCTCTCTTTTGGATTTAAGGAACCCTCTCAATCTTGTTGATTCAAGGTCGAACCTATCATACCCTTGTGGATTCAAAGGTTCAAGTTTTCAATTCTGTGGTTGACTCCATTTTGCTGAGTATGAGGACATGCTGATTGATGAAGTATCCCATGCTGGATTAGGTATTGTATAAAAGAAAAGCTGAAGTATTCTTTTGCATTGTCAAAACGATTCAGAACACAATTTATACATCAAAATTATTGCTTTGTGGATTCAAGGTTGGATTTTTGCTCTCTCTAATCAACACTGAGTCACAGTTCTTGAAACTCATTCGTTTAAGGTATCCAAGTCCTATTGACTATTTACTTGTGCATGGCATGGATAGGAAGGCATCCACATAGTACGGAGGTAAAAAGAGTCATTGAGTTACCAAAATAGACTGAAAAAATATGATTAAAAAAATTATCAACATAAAGAATTATTGTTCAAAACAAAGGGTGAGAATATCTTACAAGAGATGGAGTGTGTGGTGCAATATGCTTAACAGCAGTAGACCACCGATCATTCCACATGTATGGTCCAGTCACAGCTTGAAGTGCCACAATGCTTACACTTCCTGAACTGTTCAACGTAGTTGAGATTGGTTTGACTGGCGTTTGACTCTGCTGAATTGGAGGTGCCAACCCAAATAGAACAATGTAGAACCACAGGTTTCGGAACAACTTCAGAAGTGAAGGTTCAATCTCTGAGGTTGGAATAAAATCAGAACAAATTTCAGCAACAGCTGGAAGGAGAGGTCCTAAGAAATCAGCTCCACTTCTGTTGAATCAAAGTGTTAGAAAAAAGATGTATCAATGAGAATCCCTAACCCAGAAAAATAATTTGGGTTATGTCCCACAGGTTTGAAATAATCAGTGTATTCATGTGATAACAAAGACTCGCACAGTATCTTTAAAATTGGCTGACCTTCCAGTTTTTGATTCAGCAGCAAGTCCAACATCAGAGCATAGAGATAGCAACCTATAGCGATAATCTGACCTCAATTTTGAGCTCCTAAGGCGAGATGCGACCAGAAGGAATCCTTCAGGAAGAGTCTGGACCATTAACAGAAGTAGTCAGCAATATGTGACATAGAAAATTGCAAAGGCGCCCATAAAATGCAAAAATAGCATGTCAGAAGATTTTAAAACATCATCTGTGACAGAAACACATTGTTGACACACATGGAAATAAATTGACAGGTAGAGAGGGAAAAAAAATGATACAGACCTCTACTCGCTCGGCAGTGGCTTCTGGAGGTAATGTTTTACTTTCTGCAGATCCTACGGTTTTGAGTTTATCCAAATAGCTTCTTGTCATCAAAACAACTGTTTCTCGGTAAGACTTCTCAAATCCCAAGCAGGCAATGCGAGAAACGGCATCAAGTAACTGACATTTTGGATATTATTTGAGAAATATCCGATATCACAAATATAGTAAAAATCCAAGATATATAAAAAAAATCAAAGAAACTAAGGAAATCCAGAAAATAATGTATGTACGATACCCCGTGCACAGAAATAGATCATTACATTACCTGGAGTCGCAAGGCACTTGGTGCCAAAGCATCGCCCTCTTCTAGGCTTTCAATAAACAAAGGCAAGATCATGTCTACGACTTCCCACTTATTGACAGAAACAGACAAATCTGCCAGCAATCGTATAAGATTAAGTTGCATCACGGGGACAGCCTGTTTTTCTTTCCTGTCCTGGCAATGCACATGTGAAACATCAGAGACAAGTAAATGAAAAGGAGCAAGAATATGAAATCACATATTGCAGATACTGCAAGCAGAACAAACCCACATAAAAAGAATTCAACGATCCAGTGGTAACAGATGTTCAATACAATGTTGCATGCAAGATAAATCGCCACTTGGTCAATGAAAGGGTATTCAAAAGGGCATCAGGTACTACCTCATACAAAGAAGTGTTCATACTAGACTAAGAGAACAAAATCAATGAAATGAGATCCGACAAGATAGGTACCTCACAGAGCAACCACCCTCTCAAGTAATTTTAGAGAAAATATTAGAATATTACGAACATGAAACCCTTTTGCTTCCATAAAACCGAATAAGTAGCAATCACACACCCAGCCAGTCCCATAATTTACATCATCTTTTTTCATATATACTATGCATGTTTTCACCAGCTCACCGCCATGCATTTCCCCTAAACTTCAACGACGTCCAATATGATAATAGAAATCGTTCATTTCAGCGATTTGGTTCCTTTTCCTCTCGTTTTCTTCTTTTCTTTACATTGAGCATTTTAGTTAGGTCATTCAGATGGAGATTTGCTGCTATTTATGAAGTATCAGGAAAATCTCTTTCTCGTTTCTGCCCATTCTGAAGGTAAAAGAGTATCCATGCTTGTTCTCCTTGTATTATCCCTTGTATTTACTTCATCCTACGTGGGTAACCACAAAGAAGAATTTAATTTCCAAAGAGCAGTTCCATTATAAAGGCATATGAAAAAATCATCCAGCTTTAATCTGTTCATGAGGATGGACAATCAGACTGAAAACATGTACATTAATGCTGTGATTCAGAGTGGTGCATCTAATTCCCATAACAATTTTTGGTCTATTGAAAATCATAGCATTACTTCCAGTGTAAGCATCTAATTCCCGTTCGGGCAATGACTCATGTTCAGTGTCGCCAATGCTCCCTCAGGTCCAAGTCCTATAGTCTGTTGCACATTCCATAATATTGAGTAATCAAGGAAATGGCTCACTTTGAATGGTCTGCATCACAGCCAACAGTTGCCCAGAAGGATCATCCAAATCTTTACTTGACGCTGCAACCTGAATTCCTCAGCTGCTTCAGCAGTTTCAAATGATATTTTGTAGACAGTGGAGTTGTTGTAAGAGTATAATTACTGTACATTTAAAGCTGAATTATTTTTTGTGACCATCTCAGAAACAATGCCTATCCACTCCTGAGAATCTATAGCCATCCATCTAATAGCACATTGTTGAATGCTCAGAGCTAGGTGGTGTAGCACTCCAAACTCTTCAGCCAATATATGTCTTTACACTACAAAAAAGTCTTAATATGGCTTACTTTCCGGTCTCACACATAATTGCAAAGAAAAAGATGTTATGGACACAATTCAAACGAATGAGTCAAGAAAATATACTAAATTCATTCCAATTTAATTTTTTTACATAGTATGCAATTTATTTCACTCAAAGGTCTTCAATCCATAGATCCCAAAATAGTCCTTTTTTTTCAGTTTACTGACCTCCCTTAATCTTAATACTCAACAACAAAAAACAGACACTACTCTCGGCTCAATGAGCAACAGCAACTGTCCAAAATTCATGAGATCGGTGTCAACACAGCTTTGGATTTAATCATGATTCACAACAGGATGCACCACCGGAACTCCAAAATTCAAACAAGATATTAAGAAACTCCTCATTTCAAAATCACACAAGAACGCCTTGCCACCTGAAGTGATATAGCTGATATAACTGCTTTGAGATAGCTAAATGAAATCGTATAGCCCAAAATGAAAATTATTTCAAGAAAGCTCCAACACGGCAGCATATATATCATAGAAAACGGAGCAACAGCTGTGAAAGTGGAAGAAATTATCCGCATACAATTAAAATGCGAAAATATTTGTAATTATTCACTCATTTGGCTGTCACTATTTTGGTTAAAGTTTTCAAATCCGCTGTCAAAGACCTTTCTTCTGCGCTCTATGAAGTTGATGGATATTTATTACTTGACTGGTTTTCTCTGGGGAAAGAAAAGGAAATTGTCTTTATTTCATATCATTATACCACCAGTGTAACTGCATCGTTCATATTCTGTTTGACAATAGTGGAGGAGTTTTCCTTCAAAAAGAAAATTTTAATAGAAATTGTCGATAACAAATCGAGAGAATCAAAATTTCATCTGCTTCATTCAAACTAAAATTTTAGGAATATGAACCCATGTACAGTTTTTGCTGGTATGGTAATGAACTCTAAAAATAATAGCTCAGACAATCTATACAGCATTCTCACTTTGGGATTGACTTAGGTTTTCTTAAAGCGTTTATAACTTCTTCAGGTTCTCAATATGCTACCATTTATTTTCCATTCTTCAAAGCATGCTTTTATCAGGTACGCTCAGAAACAATTCATCGAAAAGTCAGAGTCGGTATGCTACAAGGTTCTAACTTGATCCATACTCATAGAATCAAAACCATGGGTCAGTCAACATACTCTCCAGCTTTCTTTCTACCTGATGACTTAGGAGGGAATTAATGACAAGGTAGCACGCAAGTTGCGTATTTATTAAGCACTCTCGCTAATCAATACAAGCACCTACTTAACTAACTCTAACTTGCCAGTCAAGTTGAACAAGTTCGTTTGAAAAATTCCTTCCCTTAAAATATATAAAGAGTGGATTGGGCTATGTTCTTGAGCACTGAATTCGGGATTGCACGGATTTTGAACGTGTCAAAATTTTAAATAGTTTAAGAAAGAACGTTTAATCAGTGATTCAACCCTAATTCTCCAAATTCAAATATGAATGTCTATTTTGGAAATGAAAGATAAGGAACATTAAATTTATGGCGAGAATGGTTTTATGAGAAACATGCAATCAACCAATTTACCAAAGAGGATAAATAGAAAAGGAGAGAATAGGCATCTAAGAATTATGCATGATCAACACCATAGATCCACAAATAATAAACTTGATACTTGTGATCTTGATGTAAGACCTCGAAAGAATTAAAGCACAATGCCTAGAGAAAAATGTTTTTTTTCCAATAATACCAACTGTAAAACAAACCTGCTCTTCATAATCATTCCTTTCACGAAGGCATGCAGCTAATCCCATGATAAATGTATCTACAAGGGCTCTATCTTTGCTCCAGCCAAATTCAATTATTTCGCAGCTGATCTTGGTAATGGTCTCAAACATTGCTCCTCGACTGCTTCCCCACATATCAGCCTGCAATAGGAAGCACTAGTCAGTCAGTATAGTAAGGTTGAATGGGCGAAGTTTAATGAGTGTCAAATAACATACTTGAGCACATGTAGTCAGCACGAGTGGTTTTAGGGGAATAAGCAACACCCTTAACAGTTGCCCTCCACGTGTTACTGTTATTTGAGTGATTCCATTAAGCAACGAGCTGAAAAGTTCTTCACAGATTTTCAACTTCCTCCAAGATGAGAGTACACAAGCTTCTGCAGCATCCAGGAGCAAAGCGAGTGTCCTGCGCAACAAGTCCTTTGAAGTTTTCCCATCATACTCCAGAGAAAGAAGGCTTTTTATCTGCACAATTGTTGCTGCCTTACAAGCAGATAACTTCGTATTTATCCTCATTTTCAGCTGTGATCCTTGTTCTCGCCACTCATTCTTCCGAATCTACGATGAAAGAAACCGCACTTGTACTTAGAAAAAAATTAAAAATGAAATATATCCTTAAGTGGAACAGATCCAAATGATTTCTTCAAAGGAAAAGAACGAGAAAGACCATGGATCAATATCTGTCTTGAACATGAGTTTCGACCAATGAGTTTGATAAACATGGTTAAGATGTAAGTAGAGAACAGCCTTCTAACCTTGAGAAAAATTGGCAAGAATTTGAGCTGCCTGGAAGCCACCTTCCTCACTTGCTCCAAATACCCAGTCTTTACCACCACACCCCTGTCTAAAATATGGCCGAACAGTTTAAATGCAATCTCTTGCTTTTCCAAGCCCTCAATCTGTTCTTCTTCGAATGCCATAACGTGCTGCCTCGCTGCTGACCCTCCACCTACGATTTCATTGGACCCCGATAACTGATCCACGCTGCTCCTCCCGGAAACAGCGCTCCCATTCACCCTTGATAACGCATCACTATCCCCGTCCTCTGCAATTTCCTTGTCCTCATCTTTGATCTTCACCTTGGACGGCGTGCTCTGTGCTGATGAGCTCCAGGCCGAGTTCTCGGAAGACGAGGTTGACAGCAAGTCCTCTATCTCTGTGGACCCCCTGAACTGATCTAGGAGGCGTTCAAGGAGCCGCTCAGCATCAGCGGTCAGGATCGGGGGACAGTTCTCGGACGCGGCAAGCAAGAACAATCTGGAGAGAACGGCGTCCGAACCCGATGCCTCGGCAGCAGCGATCAAGGTTCCGCCAAAGAACTTGGCGATCTCGGAGGAAAATTCAGGGGAGACCTCAGCCGCGGCAGTAATGTAACGTAGGAAATCGGTGAAGAAAGTGGAGATAGACTCGATGGGGCAGGACTGCGGCCAGAATGACGACCGGAAGGCAGCGGACGGCGCAGCGCGCAGAAACTCGATGACGATGGATCGGGCAGTGGAGGCGGACGAAGCTGCCGCGGAGTGGGACTCGGCTTCCGCGCCAGGGCACCGAGAGAGAAACCGGGCGATGGCGAGCAGAGCGTTGAGCTGGGAGCGGGAAGCGCGAGGAGGCACCCTGGCCCCCAGGAGGGACCCCTGTGGAGGACACCGGCTGCAGATCCATGCAAGCTTGTCCGCAAACTGCCCGGGATTGGCAGCGATGAGGTCGCAGAGCTCCGTCAGGGCTTCCATCGCGGCAAATGCGTCTACGATTTCCAACGATCCCTACCTCCCCTTTCCTCCTACCTCCATCCAGTCCCCATCGCCACCTTCCTCGTCCTCTACCTTCTCCTGCCCGGGGAGAATCAGAGGAGCCTGCAGATCCCACCTCCGTCCTTCCCTCCCCCCGGAGCGGTCTCCCCCATCGGAGGGGCAACTCTGATTCAAACAGCGGAATAGACGGGGCCGGATGGCCGGTCCGGATCGGTCCAGCAGCGGCCCGATCGGTGGTTGGGGTGAACCGGACCAAACCGGTTAGTGGCATTCCCGTAATTGTATTTTGGGGAAAAAATAATGTAACTGGCACTTTTTTTCCAAATATGGACATCAAAACAAAACCAAAAGCATTATGAGAAACCTGTTTTTATATATCTTGCATAAATTACTAATATATCCCCATATATAAACTTAATTGGAATAAACCTAATTCGAATTTTTGGGGGCATATCATTAAATAATCCTACATACACACTAAATGTATTAATTTCCATTCAATTTAGAGGATGAAAATAAAATTAAAATTAAAAATCAACCCCCAAAATTTCAGTATTTGAATATAAAAAATATAAATATATGGTATTAGTTTTGACTGAAATCATGATACTATAAAAAGGGTGTCAATGCCCAAAACCTACCTTGGGACAGGTAAGAGGCCGAAAAATGGAATCTGGCTAGGATCGGCTTAGGTCCACTCTCGACCCTAGGAGTGAATACCAATTGGGTCCACTGGTCCACCTTTGGACCACGACCTGAGCCCAAAAAACCTCAGGCCAGGGAGCTTCTGGGTTCACTTGGCCCGTTGACTCCTTAAATTGCATAATTTCACATATTTGCCTACTTTCCATAGATTTTCTTATATAATAATATTTTAAATATTAATGACACATTTTACTATTTTATTACCTATGAAATGCAAAGAGTTTAGTTTTAAAAAGACAGTTTTTTATTATAAAAAAACATTTCTATTAAGGGAAAGATGGACGAATTCCTAATTTCAGTAGGTCCTTGCAGTCAGTTTACCGGAAGCAATCTGGAAAGGCCTAGATTAGGAGAATTTGGGCCTTCAACCCTGGACCGAAACTACCAGGAGGGGGCCAATAAGAAGAACTGGGGCCTTCCACTCTTGGAGCGAATGGGCCCATTAAGAAGAACTTGGGGCTTCGACCCTTGGACCGAAAGGGCCCAATAAAAACAGCCTGGGCCTTCGGCTCTTTGACCAAAGGCTGACTGAACCAATTACTGAGCGTCCTAGATAAGGAGAATTTTGGCCTTGGGATTTTTTGCTGAGAGATAGGCCCATATAAGGCGTATCTGAGCCTGCCTCCAGGGGCTTTGGGCTATTGATCCATTAAGTAATTGAAACGCATCAACCATTTCACTAGAGAGACGAGAATTGGAGATATTAGCTCTTCCGGTGATTGAACGGTCCAGATTCAAGGGATTTGGGCTTTCGGTTCTTGGGCCAAAAAAATATATCGAAGATGGAAATTAAGGGTCTGGATTAGCCTTAAAAAATATGGGAGAATAAAATAAAATAAATTAATGTGCCTATAAATGGTAAGCAAATAATGAAAAAAATACATATATTTTTTGGCACAGTAAGATGGGAAAGGTCCAATTGTCATTCGAGAAAAAGGCCCATTGATGTACACAATTGACCCACTTTGAGACTTGGAGGCCTGCTTCGGATGTGATGGCAGCATCTGGAGAGCTTCACAAGGTCCAGGCGGTTTCCTCTCTCTCTCTCTCTCCCTCTCTCTCTCTAATACTGGGCTCGCATATAGCAATACCACAGACAATCGGTGACCTCTTTCTCTCTCACACACTCTCTGAACATGTCCCAATATCACATACATCCCGGTTGCACGATGTTCACAAGGTGCCCTCTTTCTCTCTAACAATCCACGGGCATAGTAGCATCACGTATATTCGGTTGCCCCAGATTCAGACTTTGCCTTCTTTCTCTCTCTAACATTATAAGATCGCGAGTATAACATATATGTCAGATTATATTCGATAGATGGTATGACCCAATACCCAAAGCCCTGCCGGAAGCTGAAGCAGCTGTGACTGGCTTCCCCCTTCACGACAGTCCCATCGGTCTCTTCTCGCCCCCCTCGTCGTCCTCGTCGGATCTCCCGTCGTAAGTGGAGGACCACATATTGATCCACAATTCCATCGCTTTCACCGGTTTTCTCTCGTCACCCTGTCGGCGTAGATTCTCCGGCGGAGATATGGGTTAATCCTCTATCACGGATTGCTGCTCGCAGTTCCCTACTTATTCTGCCTCTTCTCTCTTTCTTTGCAGGGGAGAACTCTCTCTCTCTCTCTCTCTCTCTCTCTCTCTCTCTCTCTCTCTCTCTCTAAACTCTACGAGGGGTTTCTTGTAGGCTGCTCTCTCCACTGAAGATGAAGTGGAAACGGGGGAGATCGCGCGTTACCGACAGGTTGCAGGAGTAGATCATAGTAATGGACGTGAGAAGACGTCCGCATGGGAGTGAGGTCAGAGTGCTGCGTCCGTCTCTGCCGCTAGGGCTTGAGGCCTCCGCCTCAATTGATCTCTGTTACACGTGGGAGGGACTCTCCCGTGTTCTTTTTAAAGGGTGTCTAAAGTCGAGTGGCCGTATTAGATCATCTCACGGAATGAGACAGGAGCTTCTGTTCAACTGGGGATGACCCACGGGTCGTTGTCGATGTCGCCGAAGAAGCTTAGAACAGTTCTCGGATCTGTAGGTTTTCGGCCGGAGGGCGTCGTTTTCTGAAGTATCTGGTCAACGGACGGGGTGAGTGCTCGGAGACAAGCGCAATCCCAATGACGATCCCTCGCTCGTGCATGCAACGATGGCCAACAGTGATGAAGGCATCATGTAGATCAAAAGAGAGCCCTCCCAGACTTCGCCATCCGTCGGTCTTTTCGACTATGCTCGTCTAAGAAAGAGAATTACTTTCCCTGTGGGATGTCGAAAGGAGCCGCTGAGAGCGTTTTTTTTTTTTTTCATGTGTCACGCTCGCATGCGGAGAGAGACAGGTAGAAGAGAGAATGAGAGAGAGAGAGGGCGACTTAACTCTATATTGTCAAGAGCTCAATTTCTTCTTGTGTTTCGGGGGGTAGTCAAAAAGGTCTCCGGCAAATAAAGCTCTGACAAGTGCACATCATCAGATTAGAACCATCCTTTTTGAAAGCACCGCCTGCTGCCCGCCCATGCCTTCTCCCAATGTGTACTAGCTTTTGTCTCGGTCAACCAGATTCCCTCCCTCTTTATCGTAATATATCACGGTTGAGCGCGGACGAAAGAGCCGGCAAAATCCTGCTGCGGGGCAAAGGTAGGTTTTCTAAGCGCTCGATGTGTCTGTGTGCCGGGGGAATGCCATTCCACTCGGGAAGGATAGCCGGAGTGGGTGGGTGGGTGGGGCGGCGGCGCCGCCGCCGCCGCCGCTGAGAAGCGACGACCGCCGACGCAACGTCCAATCATAGCACAAGAAAAACCCTGTCGGAGAGGAGAGGGAGGTCCGTGATAGACTGCTCACGTTCTTCGTCGCTATCCGACAGCGTCAATGTCCGCTTCCGACAACACTGCTCTTTGGCTCGTCATTGTTGTTCTAGGAAGCTTTTTGCATGTGTGCAGAGAGTGACCGAATTTCCTTTGTCCTCTTCGTTCACTGATTTTAAATGGGTCTCGAACAGGCTTTTGAGATTATCAGATCGTTGGTTTTCACCACTCGCATTCAGTGTTTAAGATCAACTGAGTGGTTTTGGCAAATAATACCCATTCAACGTAACACTGACGATTTCATGGGACAGTTTCTAAGATGGAAACCTTAAGAGATGGGTTTGGGTTAGTATTCTAATCTTAGATCTCCGTGACTGTTTTCCCCTCGTTCATCTGCAAAAATATCGATAACATAAACCCAAAGAGAATGTTCCTCTTTAAATACTTTAAAACCTATATTAAATGCATCACTGTCTGGTACATTATGTGTTGTCCATAGACAATATTACGATTAAATTAAAAATAATAAAGCGAATAAACAAAGGCTTCAACAGGAGCGAGCAGGATGGAATAATCTCATTCGATATGGGACTAAATCCTAAGCTGGGAACACGAATAGATGCTCGTTTGTTCCGACATAATGAGGCCAAATCACCACTGGGGGAGTCGTCTGAGAGTGATATAATCTCGCGTCCTGTCCAATCAATGTCTGAAATAACCTTTAGCCAGGGCCTGTTCTCATCAGTATCTCTCTGCGAGTGCCTTGCACTGTATGGTAAAACATCCTCTGTTACCCGGAAGGAAAACAAATCCTCCTGACAAGACAATGAAGTTTCCCGTATGATTCTCTGAGTGAAGAGCTACTCACCCTGACGTCTCTCCTCTCATTATTTTGATAAACACTGGTAAGGGACCTGATCGTCCGCAACGTGTTTATCTGCACAAAAGGTTTGTGCCTGCTATTAACAAAGGAACCAGCTCAAGAAGGGCCCATTGATCCATCTGATTCAGCCAATCGATGGGCCTCCAATCTAATAAGAAGACAAGCTGTTAGAGGCTTGTGCTTGAATAGTCAGATCTCTGCTTTTCTGTGTGCTAATCATAGCTGGAAACATCCTTTATGAAAAAATATATTATCTGCCTCTAAACCTTGTTTCATGTGAAAAAACAAATTGTACCACTATGGCATGGGCCCACTGTGAACGGGGATAAAAGGAAGGGACGTCTCCCTTAACTCTTTAATTTGAGGGAGTGCCATGATTTCCATTGCATCTAAGAAGAAATGAATGAGCGTGGGTTTTTGCGTGCCGTTATTTTCTTGGCAGAACCACGAATAATAGATGAATAAAATGAAACTTCGAGCCAAAAAAGGCAAAGATAAAGGACCTGATCTTCAAGCTCACCATCTTCATAATCATAAAGTCTTATAGACGTATCTATCAATGCCAACTTCGTTCCACAGATTTATAAATCTCTTTATTTTGAATTAGCGCACATGACAATTATCCATGTGTATTAATTATGTTGGGTGTAATGCTACAGCAAGAGTTGAGGTATTCGTCAACACTTTACTGAATCTTGTGAAATTAGATCTCTGATGATTTACATGTGATACTCATCAAAATGTGTGATGTGAAAATTATCATCAATTTTTTCTGATCAATATTTTATCCATATTGATGTTTTTTTTATTTTTTTGAAGAAACATAGTGTGGATATGGTGTAGGACCTTGTTTCCAATGTGATGTCTTGTTGGATAGCAGAAGTGCTGACAACCATTGGTGGAGGGCAAAAAGTGCCCTTTCAACTATGCATGCTTTAAGGCCTAAAGGTATTTCAAAATTAAATGGTAAATTATAAGGAATGCAATCTTGCAACTTTCGTTGCTAGACATTGGTAGTAATAATTTTTTTACAATGAATGTATGATTTATCTAAAATTCCATAAACTTTGTTTCAAATATCATCAGAAATATTTATCAGAAATTTAAGTAAACAATTTTCTCTTTACCTCAAATAGTGAATATCATTACCTTCATTTGACTGTCATAGGTATGCTAATTATGTACACTATGGTCTAATTTATTGATCATAAATTAAGGTAAATTCCATTTTCTACTTTATAGCCTCATTTCAACTTAATTCCACTTCCCTCATCCCTACACATAAATGAAACATCACTTGAATTGAAATGTATTTTATGTACAAAAAATACATAATATATGATTTTTTATTGATTTTGTGTGAGTATCAAAAGTATAGATTTTACATTAAAATTGGTAGAGTATATTTTGTAATCAAACATTTCTTGTGTCACTATCTTTGCCATATTCATCATTCTCTTTTATTAGCAAAATAAATAAAGGAAATAACGTCTAAAGGCCAATGAAACGAAGTACTTTCCCATCTATGTGACTCTTGTAAACATCTTATTCAGTTCCAACCTTTATTATTCATCAGGATGGCGTTCAGCTGGTATGTGCACGATAAAGGGGAGGTTGACTTGCCAATGGACATGCAGAATTTATCCACTTTTTATTTAGGCATATTATTATTTTTGAATACCCACTTGTATGTGATGGACTATGGCCTTTCCAGTGAGCATAAAATATAAAGTATATCTTCTATGTTTGATAAACTATTCTTTCTGATTCATTGTGTGAAAAGTAGGGAACAAGGCCATAAAGTGATTAAGATATGCAAGGATAAAGATGTAATAAATAATTTGCTTCTAAATGGGATAAAGAAAAAGATTGGCTTATTAGTCTCATCAATTTAAAATCATTTTATCCATATCCGAAAAATGCGGAAAAAATTATTAAGATTTCTAATGGAGATTGCCTTGTTTGGGTAAACTAAGCTTACTTCGAATATTATCATGACTATAAAAGATCATTTTTTGTGTGCTTAATGTTAGCATGTTGGCAAAAAAATTGGGAGGTCAAAGACTTCTTATGATAACATCTAAGAATAGGCAAATATGATCAACAATTATTTTCCATTATGACATTTTTTAACATAATATTACAAGAAGAGCTTAAGGCTATAGTAACTAGAGGTTGTGTGGGCTTTTCTTCTTAGCTTGTACCTTTTCATCATTCTTAGTACTTAAATTTCCACTTTATGTTGAATTTATGTGAAAGTAGCCATGATATCCAAGCATGTAATGAGAAGAAGCTTTGGGGTTGAATATGAACTGGATATTTAATAAAAGTTTGAAATAATCAAATGTGAAATGCACCAATAATGTTTCTACTGCCTTGACAACTTAATATGCACTTATTGAAGTAAAACAAGAGAAATATTCATGTAACAACAAGAAGGTTAATAGTAAGAAAATTGTTGGTCATGATTATTGATCTTCTAGACATTGCAAAGTACTTTAGCCTAAAAACTTTTATTGAAATTTCTGTTGAGAGCTATTTATTTTAATTTTCATTTAAAAGGATAGAGGAAGACTATTAAACTTGAAAAAAATAAAAAATATTTTTATGCTAATATAGAACGCATAATAAATAGAGGAAGACTATTGAGATTTATGTTGAATGCTATTTATTTTAACGCATTGATAGATTCTCAAAACTACCGGTATTTCAAATTCTTTCTAGCGAGGTAGGATTATGAGGCTTTACCTTTCCCATTGTGATTGGATACGACCGTTCTGATTTTTTATTTTTATATGAAGTGATAAAAGAACTAGGTATTGGAGGATTTATTTCCAGCTATTTGTACAGGAATATGAATAGGGCAATGGTTTCCATAGCCGCTTTTTAGCAGTAAAAATATTCAAATGACTATTTTGTAAGAGGGGACTATGCACCATAAATGGAAAAGAGATGAAGATTACAGAGTTCCAATAGAAGAACCTGCGGCCTTGCCCTCCGTGCGCCTTGGTCATACTTGTTTTTTTTTTTCATTTTATCTCTGAAATTTAGCCCAATCGTTATTCTTTCATTCTAAATCTGAGTATCATGTAACAGCTTATATGTTGACGAATATTCCTGGCCTAACCGAGAGGAGTTTCTCGGCTGCAATCTATCCCAGGTCAACAAAAAATTCGCCACCCCATTGACACGATGCCATACTATTGAATATTGTATTGACAAACTTTGAACAATGTCACGTGAATTATTCCCGTGATTTAACCTAAAGTAATGATTGTTTAACTTAGAACAAGCACCAATGCGTCTTTTCCTGCTCTTATCTTTCCAGTCGACCGGTAATGTATACTAATCACTACTTTAAAGAGAACTTATCCCACTTTTGTGAAATGACATTTGATTGATGATACTCCTGATATTTTGGTTAACTAGTCTTAATGGACTCTAAGAATTCTCAAAGTCAAGATAAGTCATATAATATTTTATTTGATGATTTTTTTTAATATCTACGTATGGAAGCGAATTAAGCGTTAAGGAGAGCACTTTTAATGATCAGATTAATCAGTGCTGAGACTTGTAAATCGTGAACCTACGTATTTATACTTCTCTAGACTATTTTAAGAGTCAAATGATGATCCTGAATGAGAACGATTTTATAATGTAACTTGCGTCATCAGATGATCCTGTGGAAGAGCATGAAAGAGAACGTTGGTAAGCATGGATAGCTTTTATCCAGTAAAAGTTACCCAACTTCGCCTATATATGACATTTTGCCCTCTTTAATAAGTGAAGAGTATACAGAATCATGTTTTCACTGATATTAAACGTCAAAAAACTAGAATTGCATGATAATTAATACTAATAAAAACATTTCTGAGATATCTTTACTCTTTGATGGAAAATATCATAATTAAGGAAAAAATGTGGATTTTAAGAGACACTACCATATACTTCTTAAACATTGGCTCATATTTTACTTAATTTCAAAATATAAAAAAACAGGTAAATTGGAGATTGAAACCGATATTGGCTAGTTGATAAAACATTTTCGAGACATACTTTATCATGCAAGGCTTCACGACAAAACCATATGAAGGTTCCGAAACGACTCTTTGGTGTAAGCTACTATCATCTTCATAAGATTCCATGCAATTGATTTCTGGTGAAAGTTAAGTGGATATTCATTAATGAAAAAAATTCGTCGTTGTTTCATAATTTTTTCTTTAACACCTATAATTTTGAAAGGGTCGTTGATTTTATAAATGGTAATATATCTAGCCTAGAAATAATAGTGGCGCTTGAAGGACAAGATGATCTTAGTTCTTGGTATTTCTAGCATTAGTTTGAGCATCTTTCTTGAGGTTAAGGTTCAACTCAAGGCCAGAAAAAGGAGGTAAAAAAAACGACTCTTATTGATTACCGTCCAACCCAGGATTCTCCAACCTTTCTGTACCTGTTTGAGAGAGAGAGAGAGAGAGAGGTGTGTGATAACTGTGATCTATAGTAGTTACATATTAGAAAAAAGGACACGAGACATTGAATTCTGACATAATTTCGATAAAGATTTCAGTAAGTTATATCGGAAGTATTTTTTTCTTCGGAATTGAATTTTTAGTGACAAAGCCAAAAAAAGCACATGCCGAGGTGCCCTTCGTGCTCAGAGGAGACAGTCACAGCCACGAGCGTTTAAAAGGCTCATTGTTTAGAAGATTCAAATTTGCGAAGATGTGGAACGAGCAGTAATTCCTCGAGATCTCCTGAATCAGCTCGGAAGGATGCTTCATTATAGCTACTTCCTCACACGGAGGTACCAATCTCGCGGTGAAGGACCCTGCCAGCCGTCCCCCCACCCCAAGCTGCATCGTCTCTCGTCACGTTTCGCTGGAATAGCCTGGCCTCCACACGTTAGGTTTAGATCATCCTCTTCCGGGCATTCATCTCCTTCTTAATCCAGAATTTAGGCATAATTACCTTGGTTAATCCGTGCTTTATCGACCCAACTCGTCACCTATTTGCCCAACCGTGAAGGAGTTAATATAATCTAGGAATATCTCAGCTTAGACGGTTATAATATTTTTGTATCGCCTGCAAGATTAGGTTAGACTTAATCTTAATTAAAGATTGAAAAGAGTTTCTATCCCTAGGGTTGGAGATGGGACTCATCCCTTGGTCTATAAATAGATGGGAGGAGGAGGCGAGGTTAGCAGAAGACAGGCTCCTGTGCTTCGGCCTTTCCAAGTGTCAAATGGGTCTCGTAACTATCCTCGCGACCTCCACCTTCCTCGTCTTCTTCCTCAGGGTGGCATGGGTAACCATTTCCTGCTACTACGTCACCCCAAGGAGGATCAAGAGGGTCATGGCAAACCAGGGAGTCCGCGGCCCGGAGCCCCGCTTCCTCGTCGGGAACCTCCTCGACGTGGCCGCCCTCCTCTCCAAGACGACCTCCAGCAACATGACCTCCGTTGATCACGACATCGTCGGCCGCCTTCTCCCCCACTACGTTCTCTGGTCCAAACAATATGGTAGAAAAATGTGTTGATCTTCATCTCCTTGCCCTTCCTGTTCTTCTTTATCAACAATTAACGAGAGATGGGGTTTTGGTTGGTCAGGGAAGAGGTTTATTTTCTGGTACGGGAGCGAGCCGAGGATGTGTCTGACGGAGACGGAGATGATAAAGGAGCTGCTGTCGTCGAAGTACACCCACGCCTCTGGCAAGTCGTGGCTGCAGCAGCAAGGTTCGAAACACTTTATTGGCCGGGGGCTGCTGATGGCCAACGGTGACGACTGGTTCCACCAACGCCATATCGTAGCCCCGGCGTTCATGGGCGACAAGCTAAAGGTAACTTACTAGTAGATTATTACTTCCCACGGCTTCTCCACAGAAGGGCTTCACTTTCTAACTTCGGGATGAGCAGAGCCATGTGGGGTACATGGTGGAGTGCACCAAGAAGACGATCGAGGCCCTGCATGTGGCGGCCGAGTCGGGACTCAGTGAGGTGGAGATCGGTGGGTACCTGACTCAGCTCACTGGGGATATCATCGCGCGGACGGAGTTCGACAGCAGCTACGAGAAGGGGAAGAAGATATTCCACCTCCTCACCTGCTTGCAGGCCCTCACGGCTCAATCGAGCCGTCATTTGTGCTTCCCCGGCAGCCGGTGAGTCTCCGTTTCTCATTTCTAAACTCGTCTTTCTTCGTACACTGTGTTGGGACGGGAATAACGACGGCCAGTGATCAATGGGTGAGACAGGTTCTTTCCTAGCAAGTTCAGGAGGGAGATCAAGAACTTGAAGATGGAGGTGGAAAGGCTGATGATGGAGATCGTACAGAGCCGGAGGGAATGTGTGGAGGTGGGGAGAACCTCCTCGTACGGGAACGATCTGCTGGGGATGTTGCTAGCGGAGAGTCAGAAAAAGAGGGACGGCTTCAGCTTCACCCTCCAACTCCTCATGGACGAGTGCAAGACCTTCTTCTTCGCCGGCCACGAGACCACGGCACTTCTCCTCACCTGGACCGTGATGCTCCTCGCTACCAATCCCAAGTGGCAGGAAAAGGTCCGCGCAGAGGTGCTTAGCGTCTGCGGCGGCGCATCCCCCTCCACTGACCACTTCTCCAAGCTCCCCCTGGTAGGTCTTTGAATCCACACCATTGATATTTGATTATGATTAGATCTTTCCGATCCGACGGCAGGATCATCTTCTTCTTCATTTCCGTAACGCCAGTTCCAGAATGGGCAAGTGAGGATTCTGCTCGTCGGAGGGGCGATTCGTTGGACAGGTGTCCTTCCTCTGTGGGCGACAGAGTTTATTACAGTAGTTGCACTCGAAAATCAGTACAGTATAAAATATTTCCATCATCGAAGACGACGAGCTCCTCGTTTCTTGTTTAATGGGGGGGGAGAGGGGAAGGAGTGTTGGCCACAGCTAGATACCACCACCTTGTTCACGGTTGATATCCGAGAAAGGCTGGAGAATATAAAACTCTGCCCTTCCTCGCCCGTTACCCTTTATCCACCGCCGCCATGGCTATCTATCCTCTTCCTCCCAGAGAAGGTGAACTTTCTGGAGGTAGAGAAGAAGGTGGTGGGCGATGGTGAATGGGGAGGGACACGGGACGCTCACATATTCACTGTTAGTTCCACTGGTGGCTGGCGAGACGTCAAATCGGCGCGTTTCTGCGGCCAGGATAGAAAGCTGCGCATGTCACTGAAGAACCCACTGACAGAAACGGCGTTAATAAGAATTTGATGCTTCTGGTCGCAGCTGAACATGGTGATCAACGAGTCGCTGCGGCTGTACCCGCCGGCGTCGCTCCTGCCGAGGATGGTTTTTGAGGACATCAAGCTGGGCGACCTCCACATTCCCAAGGGACTCTCAATATGGATACCTGTCCTGGCGATCCACCACAGCGAGGAGCTATGGGGGAAGGACGTGAACGAGTTCAACCCGGAGCGCTTCGCCGGGAAGCCCTTCTCGCAGCTCCGACACTTCATGCCTTTCGCTGCGGGCCCACGCAACTGCATCGGGCAGTCCTTCGCATTGATGGAGGCCAAGATCATCCTCGCCATGCTACTGTCCCACTTCAGCTTCACCATCTCGCCGAACTACCGGCACGCGCCAGTCAACGTCCTCACCCTCAAGCCTAAACATGGGGTCCTGGTCAAGCTGAAACCTCTGCGACTCTGAGCAACTCCTCTCCCTCCATCCATGGATAGAGTTGTCAGCCATTTTGATTTTCCTTCTCCGGTTTTGTCCTCTCTTCCGTCTGGTTCTCCCCATCTTATTTACCCTCCGGGACTGCGTACTGTATCGTTTGTAAGTTTTTTCTTCTTGGCTGAGCTGCGTCATTCCCCGAATAAGAGTCCGAGACGGAAGAGA